CTGAGCGCACAACATATCCAAAAAAGCCCTCAGATAGGTTCAGTAAAACTAAAGTTATGTTTGTGCAAATATGAACTGGCTGCCTGGTAGACGTGGTATTGTCCATTTCAAAAGAGTAATTTGTTTGTATGGGAGGTCAGAGTTTATAACCTAAATTCCTCTTTGAAGCTAGGACCCCAGCAGAGCTACTCTGTAAGGTGTGAGAAGTCACACATAAGTGGCCTGGAAGTCTGGGACATAATTGGGTCAAGACATAACTTAATTTCCTGCTGGACACCAAGACACATAGCACAATAGCTTTTACATAATACAATTAACACAATAGCTTTCATCCAGCTCAACATTTTACATAACTCAACATTAACACAATGTACCCCCATATCCTATATATCATTTTAAAGTCTGTGACCAAGCCCATAGACTGTGGGCAGGAGGCTAGCTGTTATGCCTCTCTAGCTTCCGTGACACATACATTTTTAAATATTGCATTTTTAATTCACCAATCTGCCTCATGGGGTTATGGTGTAAGCACCAATTTTTTTAAAATAAAATAAATTTTAACTTTGGTGATCAGGTTTTGGTTGATGTACTAATATATGAATGACTTCTTCGATATTAATACAAAGATGTAACAAATGTGTTCGTTACTATTGCATATTTATATATAATTTTTTTATCTCTCTGGACTCCAACTAGTGTGAGCCTGTACACCCAATTTAGATTATTTCTACATAAACTGATCAGCCACAACATTAGAACTACCTTCTTAATATCGCGTTGGTCGCCCCTTGTGCTGCCAAAACAGTTCTGATGCGTTGAGGCATGGACTCCACAAGACCTCTTAATAGTTCCTGTAGTATCTGGCATCAATATATTAGCAGCAGACCCTCTAAATCATCCTAATCAAGTTGTGAGGTGGGAACTCCATGATTCTCATGTGTTGCTCCAGCACATCTCATGGATTAAGGTCTAAGGGTTTGTCCGCCAGCACAACACCTTCATGGCAATGGTGTTCCCTAATTGCAGTGATCTTTTTTAGCAAAATAATGCAACCTGGCACATTGCAAACATTGTTCTGGAATGGTTTGAGGACAAAGTGTCATGTTCCTCGGGCCTTTCCAGAACAATGTTTGCAGTGTGCCAGGTTGCATTATTCTGCTAAAAAAGAGATCACTGCAATCAAGGAACACCATTGCCAAGATTGGTGGTCTCCAACAATCTCTAGGTAGGTACAGTGGTGTATTTTGGATTCGTGCTGTCCTAGCCATGACGAAACGGAGGTACCTACCCTAATCTAAATTTGCCCCACCTGTTCCTGTCAAGGCCACATATCTTCCTGTTTAAGACCAGCTTGCACTTTGACTGCAGGCACACACTCTGAGATACACATACGCTGACAAACACACACACACACTCACTCTCATGCTGACAGAATCACTCTCATAAACACTACTTCAAACAATCACAAATTATTAAAGGATCACTATAGGGTCAGGAACACAAACATATTCCTGACCCTATAGTGTTAAACCACCACCTAGCCCCTCTGGCCTCCATAAATATAGCAAAATATTACTGTATTCAAGCCTGAAGTTGTAGATCTGCATGCTGTTTGCCTCAGAAAAACAAGCGGTCTGCTGACATCATCAGAAGTGGTAGCCTGATCGAATCACAATACTTCCCCATAGGATTGGCTGAGACTGACAAGGAGGCAGAGTCAGCATGATTCAAACACAGCCCTGGCCAGTCAGCATCTCCTCATAGAGATGAATTGAATCAATGAATCTCTATGAGGAAAGTACAGTGTCTGCATGCAGAGGGAGGAAATACTGAATGTTTGGATGCATTTTAGGCAGCCATGACCCAGGAAGGAACAGCTATCTGAGGAGTGGCCAGTGAAGTTATCACTAAGCTGTAATGTAAACACTGCATTTTCTCTGAAAATACAGTGTTTACAGCAAAAAGCCTGAAGGTAATGATTCTACTCACCAGAACAAATGCAATAAGCTGTAGTTGTTCTGGTGACTATAGTGTCCCTTTAATTAAAAAAAAAAAAAAAAATTAAATGTCTAATTAAAATCCACCCAGTCTCCCTATCTTTTTGTAAAGCTGGAGTGGATTATTTCCCTGGAGTCCAGTGGGGCTGCTGCTGGGCTGTCTCCTGTGCTGGCTGGCGGCTGCTAAATGGGTGGGCAGCTGGTCAATGCAGGCAGCTGTAATCTTCCTGTTCAGCTCCCTCAGGCACTGCTTAGTGATACTTGGAGCTGGCGTGATGTCATATTCCAGTTCAGCTATCACTGCTGCCGCTCAAGGAAGCAGAGCAGGAAGAGCTCAGAGGATGGCTCTCCCTAACTGCCTGCAATATTAGCAGCTACTCGTCTCTGGGGATCCCAGAGGTTGTCAGCCGGTCAGGTTTTGGGTCCCCCATGAAAGAGGCTAACAATGCATGTGCAGGGGCGCTTGGAGGGGGCAACATTTTGCCCCAGGCAAATGTCTAGTTGGCCTTGTTGTAAATACAACCCTGTGGGTAGCACATGTCAAATTAAAATCCAAATCAATGCAGGTCCCAAAGTTTTTGAGCATAACACTGCCTCCACCAGCCTTCTTTCTTCCCATAGTGCATCAGCTGCCATTTCTTACCTAGGTAAATGACTCAGTCATCTAACTGATTAAAAAAAAAAAAAAAAAAAAAGTGATTCATAAGACCAGACACTCTACTTCCAATGGTCCATGGTCCAGTCGCTGACGTCTCCAGTGAAGGCACTTTCGGTGGTGAAAAGGGTTCATCATGGGCACTATGAGAGATCTGTGGCTATGCAGCAAACTGTGATGCACTGTGTTCCGACACCTTTCTATCAGCTAGCATTAAAGGACCACTATAGTGCCAGGAAAACACTTGTTTTCCTGGCACTATAGTGCCCTGAGGGTGCCCCCACCCTCAGGGTCCCCCTCCCGCCCGGCTCTGGAAAGGGGATAAAACTTACCTTTTTCCAGCGCTGGGCGGGGAGCTCTCCTCCTCCGATCCTCCTCTTCTCCTCCCATGCGGCTGGCTGCGCGTGCACTCAGCTGGTCACATAGGAAAGCATTCATAATGCTTTCCTATGGACGCTGGCGTGCTCTCACTGTGAAAATCACAGTGAGAAGCACGCAAGCGCCTCTAGTGGCTGTCAATGAGACAGCCACTAGAGGAAATAGGGGAAGGCTTAACCCATTCACAAACATAGCAGTTTCTCTGAAACTGCTATGTTTATGAAAAAAATGGGTTAACCCTAGCTGGACCAGGCACCCAGACCACTTCATTAAGATGAAGTGGTCTGGGCGCCTAGAGTGGTCCTTTAACGTTTGCAGCAACGTGAGCTACAGTAGCTTGTGTGATTGGACCAGATCGGCTAGCCTTCATTCCCCATTTGAGCCTTTGCACTACTTTTCGTAGATACTAACCCACTGCATAACAGGAACACACCACAAGACTTGCCTTTTCAGAGATGCTCTGACCCAGTCAACTAACCATCACTATTTGCCCCTTTCAATATCACCAAGATCTTTTCGTTGGCCTATTTTTTATTCTCCCAACGTATAAAATTAAAAAACTGACTGTTTAGTTTCTGCCTTGATCGGTACCATTGTAACAATATAATGTTATGCACTTGACCGGTCATTGGTTTTACCATTGTGGCTGATCATTGTGTATAATAGATAGACATATTGGCATAAGATAAAGTGAAATCCACCAGATACAAGGCATATAAATGGTGGAGCCTTACCACATGAAATATAAGGAGCAACGTGTGTTATGGTGGAGACTTTCCTTTTCAGCGAGAAGTTGGAAACCAACAGTGTGAACAGGCTACTTCAGGAATGCACGCTGGGACTTGTTCCTGCTGGAAACTTGGTGAATTGGTAGAGCGCTGTAAACTTTAGATTATCTGGTCTGTCCAGTCAGAGGATACCTGAACCCTAAATTCATCTCTCAGGAGGTGAGCAGGAGCTTAGTCTCATTACAGAGCAATCGGCCTATCCTGTACGATTTTAATCGTTTGCAGGTCTAATAAAAGGTGTATTTACAGTACACACTGTGCGTCTCTTGGTTTCATTTGCAAACTCAAATCATCATTACATACAAGCATAAACCGTGGATGGACCTTTTTTTTAAATTCCTATTAGATATTTAAGATACAGGTGTATTTTGAGGCTATTTTTTCTCAATGCATTACCATTATTCTTACAGTGATTTATAGTTCTGACTAGTTTGTCTACAACTACTGTGCTACCAATGGTACATGACAACCAACTAAATCTATACAGCCTTTACAAAATATCTTCACACTTACTAATAAGTACAGAACTAGACACAATATAGGGCTTATGAGTCAGGAATAGTGCTGTAATAATTAAAGCAGCACACCAAGCTAAATTCCAATTATTAGAATAACGTCCTATGGTTCGTTTTTTCCCTAAAGGGGTGGTCAAGTTTAGCCTGGAGTGACAAATAATAAAAAAAAAAGAATAAAAACAAAACACAAACTGTGCCCATTCGTTCTGTCCAGAGTAACGACTACATTCAGTATTGTACTGACTTAGCAGCAACTTTTTTCCTTCAAAAGGGACATTTATTAGTATATTACCAATTGTATTCTTGAGGACAATTTACTTCTTGTCGCTAACCATAAAATACCATTCACGAAAGTCATAATGTATGCAAATTAAACCCAAATTGAAAAAAAAAAAAAAGAAGAAAAAAAAAAAAAGTTGTGGCTTAGTTGAAGAATCTATCCAGTTCAGTAATTTGTGTCTTAATTTTCTGATCGGGATTTAGTTTGCAAAAAAATAAAGTTAAATGAAATACTGGGCAGTTGGATGTTACAGTACCAAAGAAGCAGAAAAATAATCTTAAATATTTGCCTTGACAATATTTCTTTCTTTTTTTTTATTGAAAAACAAAAGTCTGCGACTTTTCAATATAGATAGAATATTAACAAAAATAAATGATTATGTTGGTATTTCAATGAACTTCCAGCTCTTTATGTAAAAGATATGCATATCTGGCTGGGTGAGCTTACCCCATTAATCACAGTAAATTATAGGAAATGAATCACTTTGTATATGACTAAGATATAGGGAGGACATCGTGATCTAATGGGATTTATCATGGATCTTGTTTTGCACTCTTGTTCAGGTGCAAGTGTTCAAATGCCTGGAGGAAGATACAAAGATAATGGAACTGAGGAGGAAAAATTAAAGGTATGCCGATCATCTCACTCTTTTTCTCCTTCCAAGTGCCACAACACAGAGGACATGTAACGTAGTGTATCTGAATGTATATTTAATACATATATTGTGCAAGGTAAATTAACAGAGGTATAGATACTATTATTAAGATTGCTTCCTCCTCCAAGATGGCGTACGCATATGAATGGGATGAATGCATTTGAAGCTACCTTGTCTCTCACCCCCAAGGAACAGCAACCAAAATTAGTACGTGCTTTTTAGCGTATACTTTTTTTGGTACTGTTCTGGTACCAATGAAGGCAAACAAACGATAACACTTTTTTTTTCAAATTTTATTTTGCATGTTTTCTTTTTCATTTCACAGAAAGTTTAGCTGCGTCTTATACTCCGTTTGCTGATACGCAAATTCGAACATCGCCGGCCGGGGATTTTATTTGACGGCTTTATTTTTTTTAAAGTTTTTTTTTTTTCATTTTTTTTACATCTTTTTTTTCCTTTAGATTTTCTTCTATTTTTTTTTAATTTTAAAACGAGTCCATCAAGGAAAGCTCTAAACCCTTTGCCCCCACCTCCTTTTCCCGATCCCTCCCATCCCAAAATGCAAATGTGGTGCCCAAGCACTCAACATTGTTTTGAGAACCCCTTCACCACCGAGGTCTGGGACAACACTACACGGCACGGCGGGAGAGTCGGTTGCCAATGCACATCTGGCGCTGCCTGCTTGTGGAGTGCCTTATTGCTGTGGAAGAGGGTGGAGAAGCACTTCAACACCTTTGAGCCATTGCCCTTCATCACAGCTCTTTAGGGATGCTTGCCACTGCTCAGAAGTGAAGGGGTTAATTTTAAGCTTTTACTTTTTTCCCCAGTTTTGCTATAAGAATCAGCACACGGTACACAGGGACGCTTCCTCAAAGCTCGCTTGACATTCTTTGCTCTCACACATGGTCTGCGTCCCCCTTTTGGCATGACACACGCTAGGGGGGTATAGAAGCCAATCCACAATGGTTCTCTGTTCTGGAGGTGCCGTCTGAGTGGGCTGGGTAACCTGTCTTCTCTGGAAGAGTAAACAAACAAATCAGTCACTGGTAAAAAAAAAGAAACTGCTGGAAAGTCACTCAATAAGATTGGGTGATTTTTTTCCACTTAAATTAATCTATGTACTGGTATAGTATGAATAATTAGTGGTCACTTATGCACCTTTAGTTGGTTTTTATTTGCATGAAATATATTGTAAGATTATTGTGCACTGTTTTAATTGATAATACTGCACCAATGTATGGGTTGTTTATAGGGAATTTCTTTAACTGGGATTTTTTGGTTGCTGCTTATATTAATTAGTGATACCGTAGGATGTAGGTAATTGTATAGTTGCACTTGCAAATCGATTTTTTTTGTCATCTTATTCCTTCTTTGGTGTTATACTAGATTTAACTAGTAATTATAGAAGAGGATGCATACAAAATATGTCTATCTTTGAATTTAGAAAACAATCATACTTTAATTTTGATAAGAAAGATAGATGAGGGGGACAATACAGGGAGCAACATTGAGTTTTGGGTGTTTTTTTTTTTACATTTGGAGATGTTGCTTTTTACAGAAGTGGGCAGAAGTAGTCTGGGTGCCTAGAGTGTCCCTTTAAAAAAAAAAACATGTATCAATGGGAAATGGCTACAATAGAGAAATACTTGACAGAGAATATTCTAAAATATGGGATGCTGCTTTAAAGCGCTTCTCATTCAAATGTATGAATAGCCGCATTGCCTGTCGGTCAGATCTATCAAAGATAGATGAGGAAATACATTCCATACATGAACAACCACAGCCATGTATGTGAACTGAGGATCTTAACGAATTATCAGACAGGACAAAAATAGTTTGGAGAAAATTGAAATGGAGGTAAAAGAAACTAAATTTCATAAATATAAAAAAGGGACCAAAAAAAAAAAAAAAAAAGGATTATGATTCTAAAAAAATAAAATGATTTTTAAAGGAGAGTGCCCAGCAAGGAGGGTAGATTTTACAACCCCAACTTTATTGGATGTGTGATAAGAAATTCTGGAATAAAACCCCACAAAGAAGAGTGGATATTCCATGTTGAAAAGAAGAGGGAAATGTGAGGATGGAAAAGAAAAAATATTGGGTCCAAGAGGTAAATAAAGGATGGAATCAGAACCAATTTAAAAAATTACCAAAGTAGATTAAGGAATAATGTGAATAAAAGGAATAATGAAAGCACCTGCTTAAGCACACATTAGAATAGGTTTGAAGTACTCAAACGGGAAAAAAATGGAGTCGGATTTATTTTTTTCTCCAACTAGTGGTGATGAAAACAAGATAATTTCTGAAATACACCACAGATGTCAGTTACATAGGCTGAAAAAAAAAAAAAAAACCACGACGTGTTCATAAAGTTCAGCCTATCACATCTATTTTTTTTGCTGTTGATCCTAAAGGAGGCTAAAATAAAATAAAAAAAATAATACCAGTTTGAAGCGACTCTCCAGTGCTAGGAAAACATATCCAATGCAGTGCCCACCTCTCATACACCCCCGATTTCATGTTGCTAAAGGGCTTAAAGCCCTTTCAGTCACTTACTTGAATCCAGCGCCGATATCCCTCGGCGCTGGGTCAGGCTCCGCCCACACCCCTCCCCCACCGACGGCAGCCGGTGGGGGAGGCCTAACGCGTATGCGTGGCAATGGCCGTGCGCACACTAGACCACCCCATAGGAAAGCATTATTCAATGCTTACCTATGGGGATTCCAGCGACGCTGGAGATCCTCACGCTATCGTCCAGCGTAGTTTAAAACACTTTTCGTGTTCTAAGAACACGGAAGTCCCTCTAGCGGCTGTCTGATAGACAGCCGCAAGAGGAGGACTTAACCCTGCAAGGTAATTATTGCAGGTTATAAAAACTGCAATAATTACACTTGCAGGTTTAAGGGTGGTGGGAGTTGGCACCCAGACCACTCCAATGGGCAGAAGTGGTCTGGGTGCCTGGAGTGTCCCTTTAAGATGTTAAGGAATATTTGTTTGAAAGGAAAGGCATTTGTTGGTGATGTGACTATTATACACCTGCATTCCACATGACAAGGGTTGTGCTGCCATTTGATATTTTTTATAATGTAATCATACATTACATTCCACACAAATATAATTTATTTTATGGATTGTATTAAATGAAGCAATACGAATGTACGCATCTATGTCAAAATGTACAATATGTGGGGAGAATAACACACCCCCTACTTGAAAAGGAATAGAGAACATATTTATAACATCTGAAGAGGGGTAAAGAGCCACAATGTTTCAGACCATTTTAAAAATATGCATAATCAGGATCCAGGAGGCTAGGAATTTTCATGGATAAAAAGAGTTTTTAAGGATTAGAGAGGAGGGGATTTTATTAGGAAGATTGGCCAGGAAGAGAAGAAAAGGTTTTTTTTATTTGGAAACATTAGCCCCATCTGGTCTAAATATAGAATCTGATTTGCAGAATTTTTTATTATAATTTTTTTTGTTTAGACAATCTACCCCTTTGTTTTTTAATTGGTAACATCTTCCTGGTATGATATGGCTAATAACTGTTATTCTTTGGTTTGTAGGTTGAAAGTCGTTGTTTAGACAAACTACCCCTTTTTTTTTTTTTTTTTTTTAAAGCTGGCGGTATTTTTTTGAGATTACATGGTTGTTTGTTAATTTTGCCTATATATTGGTTCAGTGTGTGTGTGTCTAATATATATATATATATATATATATATATATATATATATATATATATATATATATATATATATATATATATATATATATAGTGCCTTTGTTACATATATATTTTTAATAACTCCCTGTTCTTCGCTTTTATTCCATAATTACATTATGGAATAGAAACTTTTTACAGGATATATATATATATATATATATATATATATATATATATAGATATAGATAGATATAGATATATATATCTATATATATATATATATATATAGATATATATATATATATTTTATATTACTTCTCTGACTTGAGATTTATTTATTCATAGAACCAGGTTTTTTTTTATTTTTTTTAGCTTTGGACATACTGTTTTTATATAATCTGATTAAGTGATTTATGTATTTCGTTTCTTTATGGTATGTTCGATTGGTTGAAATATACACCCAATTGACATCAGAATATTTGAGGAAATCATTTTGTGATTGATTTAATGGATTGTAATAAATAAGTGTACTTTGATTGTACAGGGATAAGTCGTATAGTCTGCAGAGCAGTCTACACAGTCACTATATAAACTGGAGAGGAGAGGGAGGACTCCTCACACGTTTAAGAAAGCCCCAGGAGGTGGGGCAAAATGCATCATGTGCCAAACCCAGAAGTGCAGAGAGGGAATGTGTCGCAGTAAGATAGTAAGACCAACAAGAGTAAGGGACTGACAAGGACCTAAAGTGCACCCCAGACTGTGTCTTGTAAGGGCAGGTAGCTGGACTTTGGATCTTGGAATCTGCCTTCAGTGCTCCACAACATTAAAAAAACAAAAAACAAAAAAAACACACTTTTGGGGGGAGTATAAAGATTTTTAAAGAGTTTGCCTGATAGTGAATCTATTGGATTCTAATTTTACAAGGAGCTGAGCCTCCTTGAACCCTCACTTTGGAGTGGTACTACAACCACCATGTTTGTGAGTTTTACATATCAGATTTTTATCTAAGTTGTTGATATATGACAGTGTTGCACTAGTAATATTTTTAGATCCTTGAGATCATCGAATGGATAATGTGTAAGTATAGTTGTTATGTTTGCTAATTGCTGAAAAACCACTCTTAAGATTTTGGTGATTTTTTTTGCACTTAATACATCTACCATTATTGTGTGAAGAATTAGTGGTCACCTATGCACCTTAATTGGTTTAAATTTGCATGATATATATTGTAAGATAATTGTAAACTGTTTAATTGATATTCCACACCAATTTATGGTTTGCTTATTAAGAATCTGTTTTTAGCAGGCTTTTTGTTGCTGCATGTATTAGTGATACAGTAGGTAATTCTATAGTTGCACTTTAAAATCAATTATGCACCATCTTATTCATTCTTTGGTGCTAATGTAAACATAAATGTGTTATTCAGATTGTAATCTACCAAGAGAGTGGACAGCATAACTAGGCCTAAAAAAAACTTGCGGCTGGTGGACACCCATGTAAGAAACGATTTGCACATTCATTGGGGTGGGGGAACAGGACAAAGTTTAGATTAGCTTTTGTCAAAATTTGCCCAATATTTTCCATTTCGGAATAATGTGATCTTTCAGCTGTTTAAAATAAGCAATTTGGTACCTTTGTGTGAGATTGGCCTATTTAAAGGTACTGAATTAGGGAGGGGCTGTGTTTAGTAGATGGCTCCCTATTTTTGTATTGTTATATATGGTAATCCCACAAAAAGGATACCAAATAAGGGAGCCATCTACTAGACCGCTAAAAGCCATATTAAAAATTTTTAAAAAAAGATATTCTTAATGTTGCTCTATCAACTTTTTAGTAGATAATTCTCTAATTATAATTGGTACCTTATGTGTGATTGCCATATTTAAGGCTACCAAATTAGGGAGCTGTTTAGTAGGTATGGTTCCCTTATTTGGTATCCTTAAAATATGGCAGGCTCATAATTACCATAGTTAATGCATCTGTAACCCAGTTGACATAGGTAAGAAGATTTTATAAAAACCTTTCAATGCAGTATGAAAAACCATACACATCAATAGTGTTTACTTCAATGAACCTGATCTGAAATGTCAAAAATAGAAACTTGACAGTTCTTTCAGTGTCTTGGTGGCATTGAAAGCAGAAGTGAGAAGACAGGTGTTGAGGGCAGAACTAGAAAATGAATCATCAAGCAGGATTTGCAAAAAAAAAAAGATAAAACAAGGTACAATGGTAAGTTTTTGAAGGATAAATAATTATCAAAAATGCACCTCCAAGATAAAACCACACTTTTTAAAAACAAAGACTCATGGTATAGGGTGTTTCTATGTGTAACTTCATAAGACAAATCGCTATCAAACATTGTAGGCAGCGACTGCCAATGTTTCTGGTTAATCAGGATGTATCAGGAATATATTTTTCTCTTCTCAACATCATTGAAGATATGTATATGTACATACTCACCACATAAGACAGGTTGGGTGAACGAGCGCAGCTATCGGAATAACCTAGTGAAATCTCTCAGAGCCCAGCAAACCGGTTTACATTCCTCAGCACTGCAAAGCACATGCAATCCATTATATACCAATTTCATGATTACAAAGTAAGGAATGAGCTAAAACATACATGCATGATAGTATTGGGTGAAAATTGCTGCCACTATGCTCATAAACAAACTAAAGTAAAGGAAAGCATGTCCTTTAATTATACCCACTATTTTTGTACCATACTGCAGTTGCACAGAAACTAAACAGAAATGTACATTATTTCATATAATTCAACTTCACATATTACTAATACAATCTCTGTTTCAAAATACACAAAACATGGCTCAATACTTAAATTTATACTATAGTGCTAGTAATACAAAGCTGTATTCCTGGCACTATCGCTCCCACTGCCTCCCCCGTCCCCTGCATCCCCTCCCCACACCCAATGGGTCGGCACTCTGCCCTGAGCAGGGTCTAATGTGCATGTGCAGCAAATGCCACGTGGGCATTAGACATCCCCATGGGAAAACAGTGAATCAATGCCTCCCTGTGGGAGAAAATCGGACGCTGGAGATCCTCATGCAGAGCATGAGGACGTCCAGCGTCAGATACTGGACCAAAGGTCAGTTTCAAACCAGGAAGCCCTCTAGTGGCTATCTGGTAGCCAGCCACTGGAGGCAGACTTAGTGCTGCAAAAGGGTCTGGGTGCATACAGTGTCCCTTTAAAATACTATGCTACCAGCCAGGCCAAAAAATTACTCCCCACTGCAAGACTGGAGTGTTCATGTTACACTCGCCAGGGTTGAATTTTCACTTGCCAATAGCTAGTGAAAAATTGGGTTTTGGAGCCATGCTTTCTTTTTCTATAAAAAAAATAAATAAAAAAATATGGAGTTTCCCTGATATGCATTTTACTGCTGCAATTAACCCTACATTTTGCAGAATGCCTGAGGGAAGAATCAATTTTATTCAAGTTAAAGGTAAACTCCACTTCCAAAAAGAAAAAAAATATATTTTTTAGTAGATCTACCCTAAATGAAAACATGGAAGTGTTTAATTATACATTGGGAGTATATCTAAAAACAGCCTATAAAAGCTGCATATCTAATGTCTGTAGACATTGCAAGCCCCCCACCCTTCTTTTCTGCCCCAGCCCAGACTTTCGGTGGCTGTACAATCACAGCCTTTCCAATACAGCTCAAGGAGAAGTCTTTGCAGGGCAGGAGCTCTGGGCAATTGCTGCCTCTTGAGTTTAGCTTCACTGGGCTAAACAAACCAGGAAGTAACAGGTCTGGTTGTCTGACTGCACATTTTGTGTAAAAAAAAAAAAAATAATTAAAAAAGGAAAATAAAAAGATGACACTTCACACATAAAGCACTACAACAAGCTGAAGTGCTTTATGTGCTTGACACTGTACTTTACAGGAACAATATAAGCACCACAACTACTACAGTGTAATTTAAGTGCACCCAGTCATATTACATGTTGTTTTAAGGTAAGAAATACAACATGAAGTATGTAAAGTGTTATAAAAGTGCAAAAAATTCAATACAAATAATCCCTTTCAGTTTTTCTTTTACACATCAAGTGCAATTTATGGAAAGGACTCAAAATTCACTTATCGGTCCTGATTGTTTAAGGGATAATCTGAGGCAAGCATGTCAAAATTCAAATATAGTGCAAAATTGTAATTTTTTTTTATATACAAATTGAATTTTAATGGCGAGCTTTACAGGTCAAAAGTTATTTTCTCAGTATCATAGAACCGAAGAAGATGCTACAAACCTGTGATGCTACAAACTAAGCAGCTGATGCACTGTGTCACATTCCAAGTCCTACCAGAGGATGGATAGGAACTAATACAGCTAGGTCTACATAACAATAAGACGCTCACACTCAGACACATTATTGAATGTGTTGGTTTACAGGAGCTTATCAGCAAGTAGGGACAAAGATATTTCCACTTCAACATGTGATGAATATACGTCATTCTACTTACAGTTTGTTTTTTAAATTTACCTTGTGACTTGCTTGTGGAAGTCTGTTAACTGCTTGTGTGTCACTGTTACTGCTCCACCTGATGTCTCCTTTGGTAAACATTTCAATGCGGTTTCCAGCCACCGGCAAAATGTCTGACAAGAAATTGAACACTTGTTACAGCTGCAATATAGAACTACGTATAACTTACTTCTCTCTGACTAGTAAAAGGCTTTACAGATGAAAGGAACAAATTTCCACTCGCATTGGCAAGAGAAAATGTAACTGTGGCATTCACCTTTGGTAAACTGGACATGGACTCTCCATGCTTGCAGCGGCGAGTAACTTTTAAAAACTGGTTAGTGGCAGAGGATTTTTTTTTTTTTTATTTAAGAAGGGTTTATTGCAAAGGTAAGATAACATTACAGAAATCATAAAGTTATGTGTTCATTGGCAAAATTATAGCAGTACAGAAACTTTTGACAGTGGCAAAGATATTGTAACTATAAAGCATTGTGAATAGGATATAGTATGGCATGCATAAATACTGTAGCTTAGAACCTGTATAATCTGTTAATTAGCATGCTAAATCGAATAGAGTGCTGTGTAGAACATTCATAGTTTCGCCTTAAATAGTATATAGAGATAAGGAAAATGAAAGATTCAGACAATTCATCACACAATTTACACAACTGCTGCAGAAAAATCAATATGTGAGATTCATTGCACTTGACTGGCTAAAATCCTTTCCAGCATAAAAGTATAAGCCACAGGAGGTAAAGAAAAAGACAGAAATGACACTACAGGTATTTCTTGCTTTATGAACTCCCGCTTTCTGAACTCCGGCCTTCATGAACTTTTCCCTGGATGCGCCGCCATTTTGTGTCAACTGTCCATGGATCAGTACCGAGGAGAGTGCTTTGGAGCACAAACAAGAAGAGAAGAAATAGAATTTGTGTCCAGGAGTAGAAAAGAAGAGAGAATAGGATCAGGAACAGTTCCTGAAGATAAAGGTAAGTCAAAAAAGGGGTTTAAACTGTCCTGTAGGCTTTCTGCACTTTCATAGAGAGAGAGAGAGAGATGTTTTTTTGGCAAGCAGCATCAGTAAGGAGGAGGGCTGAATAGCCTGAAGACAAGGGAGAGGGAAGTGAGTTTGAGAGCAGTAAAAAGAAAAGGAGTAAAAGAAAAGTGTAAAAAAGAAAAGGAAAAGAAAAGTGATAAAGAAGAAATTGAATAAGTAGGAAAGCTGTAGAGAGGTGCCCTCATTCAACAAGTACGGCATGTCTCTTCATTGAGGGTGATGATGATTGATGATAAGTTGATGAAGATTTCAGTATGTTATGTATTCCTTTAACGTTCCTACAACATACATGTATTTGCTATGCTTTCATTTTGTATTTGTATTTAATAATTTAGGTTTTCAATGGTAAAATTTGTTGGTCAGGCACAGAACCCATATTTATTACATTGTGTCTATGGGAAATTAGTTCTCACTTTATAAACTCTCACTTCATGAACTAGGCTTCGGAACCAATTAGTTTGTTAAGTCGGGAACTACCTGTATATGCATGCCCAATATATGTGCAGTGTGTTGGGATAGTAGCAGTCAATGTAAAAATTATGCATTTGTATTGTGATAACTCTGCAGCTCCTGCTGACTGAATAGAAATGTGTACATTTACTTAATGCTGGTATGCAAATTAGTGCAACCAAATAAGTAGTTGAGGGTTTGTTTTTTCTAATAATTATTATTGTTTTTATAATTCTAAGCAGCATGCCAGATTAAGCGGCCCTCCACGCCATTTGTGCACAGAGAACTCCTTGTTCAGAGCCTGTGGGTCATCTTCTAGGTTCTCTCCCTCCACACCTCGCTGTTCTGGAAGCTGATGTCTGGTCGATGAGCAGGGGCGCAGGAACCCTTCAGGATTTGGAAGCACCGGATCAATAGTCGGTAAGTTGAGCTGCATGGCTCTCTCCTCCAGAAGCGTGTGTGCAGATCCTCAGAAGCATGCCAACAGACCTCTTTCCACCGCAGGTGCATCTCTGCTGCCTTGTGTTTAGGAAGAGTAGTTGCCGCCATCTTAGATGAGTTTAGCGGTTAGTCTCTGGTTGTCTTTATCAAGTAGCAGGTCCAGTAGAGAAGTGTGCTGGTGGGGATCGGAATGACCCCCATCGGTCCTGGAGGGGGGAGAGAAGGGGTAACAGGACCAGTCAGTTGTGCCTTTGAAGAGCATGTGTGGGGCAGTGAACTAGAAAGCAAGGGGGCGGCCGTCCACCTCGCTCCTCACTCGACTAGGCCTCAAATTCTGAGGTCCCATATAGATTCAGGCTTTAGAATTTCCGGATTTAGGCCCGGCACCAGCTATCGTCCAAGTAGCAGTTCCCCACCTTTTGGCTCCAGATAGGGTCAAACTCCGCTGATATTCAGCTCTTCAAGCCGAAGCCCCCAGGAGCTGCTCAGGCATGCAACCTGTCGGCATGGCGGTCTGTCCCCATCACCTTAGTAGTTGAATGTTTTGTTGCTTGATATTGTGTTTGAAAAAAAGAGTTACACATATATAACGTATTAATTATATTTGCTTGTTCTCCAATGTCCTATATATTTCCATTTTAAAATGGTTTTCACCACATGTTTAAGGACAAGCAACTAAATGTAAAAGTATTGTGTGCTTGTTCCATTGGGAACTGTGTCTCCTGTCTAGTTTATTTGGGGATTCCAGTAGCAGAGTCTCCAAACATCATGCTTCCTGGCTGCATTACTCCATGGTGCCGGATACAGATTAAAAAAAGAGCTAGGCCTGAAAGCCGCAAGTACCTTTGTAAAAGCAGTAGGTGGAGGCAGGACTGCTGGCAGAGTGGACGATTCCTGCCTTGGAGACGGAGCAGTGGCAGGAAGGTTAATACCTGCCTGGGAGAAGCAGGCTGGCCAGACCTTTCTAAACCTGCCTGGGAGAAGCAGGACTGGCAGACGGTTTGATACCTGCCGGAGAGAAGCAGGATAGGAATACCTGTGTGGCGAAAGCAAGAGCAGGGGGATCAATACTTGCCTGGGAGGACAAGCCATTCCAGAGGCCAAAAAACTGAGGGTTGCTGTAGCCTCTGGCTTGACCTCAGTTATCAGTAATGGTCTTTGCCGGTAGACAGGCATGCACAACCTGCGGCCCCCCAGATGTATTCAACTACAACTCCCATGATTCCCTGGCTATCTGTTAAATTCAAAGAATCATGAGCGTCTGTGGTAGACTAACATCCCAGATAGCTTTCCGTCACAAGTATAGATGTCAAAATATAAAAAAAAAATGGTCAGTATTAGAAAGGAAAGTATCTAGGTAGATATGAGCATGTTGTACATTAAAAGGCAGGATGTCTAAGGTTCTGAGTCTCTTAGCTCTTAGGAGCTAAGAAAGATGGCTTAGGAGTTCAAGCTTTCATAAAAGGACTTCAATAAAAATGTGGATTTCTCTTAAAAGTAAAAAAAATTGCTGATTTTAATTTTTTTATTTTACATTTAAGACACTTTTAAGAGAAAGACCCATAAGATGTTCCAATCAGCACCCTAGCATGCAAAGCATTATTACATTTTCATTCTGAAATGTGTGTAATCGAGAACATCTGGCCCACTAGTGTTGTGAAAAAAATGTATGTATTCATCATTTAGAATATGGACTCTTTCTTACCGGTCTGTCAAATATCATGATCTCCCATACGACTTCAGCAACATCAGGCAGAGTGTAAGGTGGGAGACAGAAACAGCATGCATGAAGCAACTGGCTTACTAGCTGCTGTCCAAACTGGTTCAGCACTTCCTGGATCAACGTCTTGCGTACCTCAAAGTTTTCCTCATGCTGCAGATTTAAAAAACAAAACAAAAAAAAAACCCATATTTATTTGAGGTGAAAAACAATATGAAATACAAATAAAATGTCAAACGAAACACCTCACATTTGACATTAATGCAAAGCCTTAGACCCTGCAACTTGAATGAAATTATGCTCAATTTAAAAAGTAAACAAAGCACCATAATCACTTAAGCTGCTGAGTACCTTTGGCCATTTTTGCCTTAAAGTGACACACGCCTTCTTGTGCTGAAGACCATATGCAGAGGAGATGTGGCTGCAGGGTAAATTGTCAATCAATTTGGCATTCTACAATAGAATTGTGTCAGAGCACTCCTGGCACCATAATCACTACAGGGCCAGTAAAGGTTCTTTGAATATTTATTTTACATTTTAAAGCACTACTGTTGCTGGTGTGAGCACTGCTTTGAGATTGGGGGAGAGGAATAATTATACCATGAATTCTAGTATGTGACTGTGTATGTACGTTTCTGATCAAGTTTAAAAAAAAAAAAAAAATACAAAAAGGAGAACCCAAATGATAAAAATCGATATTTATAATAAACTGACATACATTAGCATTTCCATTTTAACCCCTTAAGGACAGAGCTTCAGAAGCTTGTCTTTCACTTAATGACAACAGCATTTTTTGCTGTTTGTGTTCAACTGGAATTTGCATTTTACTAATTTATTGCACCAACATATTATATACAGTTGTATTTTTTTTTATTCTTTATTTTTTCATTTTCATAGCGCATTAAATGGGATTCACACATTCCCGCATCGCCACAACAGCGATTGCGAGCAGAGTATTGCACATGGTCATATAGTATTATGCTGCGCCGTTATGAGTGTTGTTTAACAGAATAACATTTGTACTGTCCGAAGACGGATCTATATGTGCGATAACTTATAGCCATGTACTGAAATCATTTTAGTAGTGTGGTAGAGAAACAATATTAAGTAAAGTAATGAGAAGAGGAAAAAAAAGGGGTTTATTGGTAGGACAGTTACGTCATATGTCTCCCCCCTCTGGGACGGTTGTTGGGTTACTGGCGTGTTATTTGTAGCTGGTCGGGTGTCCGTTCGGTGTCGGGTATCCTTATGTCGTCCTCCAATGGGGGCCTGGCTATTTAAGTGTCGGTGCTATATGTCCCTGGGTGGGTCTTCGTGTGCGACATAGTGGGTGTGGTCTGTATCCGTCCATGTTCCCCCCCTTACTGTAAGCGTGTTGGTGAAACCCACATGGTCCCAAGGGTCTCTACTTGTCCGTGAAACTCAGTCATGGTGGGGGTCTGAGTAGTAAAACCAGTCTGAGTAAAAAGCATTGATAACGGTAGTCATGGCATTACATGTGAATAAACCAGAGGGAAAAAAAAAACATTAAAATAAAAATAAAGAATAGAATACATCAGCAATTAGGAGCACTCGTTTAGCCTTCAGTTATTTACATCAACACATTGGGGCTTGCGTGAAGGCCCTCTATGGGGTTAGTGCAGGTAAGGATTTGCAGTATGGAAGCCCAAGAGATCAGTCCCGGGTGTGCCATTGTGGGCGGTAGTTGGCCTCCCCTCCCTGCCATCACGGCTGGGTTATCCCTGGGTTGGAGAGTCCTATGGAGGGTCTTTCCGCTCTAGTGATTGTGCGTCCAAGGCTAGTTTCCTTTTCCCTGTGGGGTTCGCGGTCGACTGGGCTGCCACCGCTTGCCGTGCCGCTGGAAGCGGTGCTGGCAGATCAAGGCCTCTCAGGAATTCTGCGTGATCCTCAGAGGCCGTTAGAATGTGTACTGTGTCCCCATGTGGCACCACCAGTGTTCCCGACAGTCCCCATTGGTATCTAATGCCTTTGTCTCGAAGGATCCGGGTGGTCGGTGCGAACCTACGCCATTCAAGTAAGACTGCAAAAAGTAAGTCGTCGTATACTGTGATTTTTGTGTTGGCTATTAGCAGACTTGGTCTTTGTCTGGACCGCGCCATTATAGAGGACTTCACGTTAGTGTCTCTGGTGGTGGCTATGATGTCCCGGGGTGCGTCCGCGGGTGCTGTGAGGGCCTTCTGGACCCTAAAGGCTGTCACTATTGGTGGTTGCTCTGCGTCCGTCTGAACTCAGAGTTCTCTCAGGACCTCGTGGGTAAAGCTTATCAGGGCTTCTTGGCCTATTGACTCTGGGGCCCCACGGATCCTGATGTTTTTCCCGTCGGTGCCGTGTCTCTAGGGAGGTTACTGTGCGGAAGAGGCGCTGCACTTGTTGGGTGAGAGTATTTAGGCGGGAGCTGGTATCGTCCAGCCTCTTTCCCCTCTCCACTTCTCTCATACGGCGGTTCAGACCTCCGATCATCTTCTGTACTCCAGTGAGGTCGGCCTTCAATACCTCCCTCAGGAGGTTTCTGATATCTCCCTTGGTGGAGGGGGATTTGTCTGAGTCAGACCTCTGGTATATCCCGCTGCTGGAATTGGGTGCTTGGGATGTCTCTTTCTCCAGTGATCGCTCTGAGTCGCTGGAGCTGTGTGTTTCCACGGGCGCCATATTTAGTCGGGCCTGCGGCAGTGGTCTGGTGAAGGACAGTCGGATATCTGTGTGACTGTTGCTCTCAGCTTTGGCCAATCTTCGGTGTTTGTGCCCCATCTCTCTCTTGGGGGAGGAGGGGGTCCCTCAGGTGTCGGCAAAGTTAAAGTTTGCTCTCTTTTGTGGCAAAATAGGCAGTTTTACACTTCTGGAGCGGGAGCTCAGTAAAACCTGGACCGCTCTGTAGCTCGGCTAGCCACACCCCCTCTATATACCGTTTTTTTAAAGGACAGAAAGGGCTTTAATTTGAAAAAAAAAAAATATATATATATATATATATATATATATATATATATATACTTATAAAAAAATATTTTTGCAATAACAATGTGTGCATAATTAGTGGAGATTAAGGATAAATTCATTTAGTTGTTCTGATTTACAGAATATATAAGGTGTCTGGGATTTTAAGTTTTTTTTGGTAGTTACAGGTCACAAAGCACATGGAGTAAAATATACTTTTAATGTGGAGCGATTTTAGAATTTGGTATGTTTGTCTTGTAAGCTTAATAGCCATTAGAGAAAACATAATTGCCACACAAAAGTATATATTTATAGAAAGTAGACATCACAGGCTATTTACCTAAGGTTGTTTTGACACTTTCTACGTAGCCATTTCACCGCCAACCTCTGCTAAATATTGGAGTAAAATTGTGGCTTTTTTTTGGTTTTTGGCACACAAACTTATAACAAAGAAATTCTCATGTGTATTTTGTAACGTTGGTGTGTGCTATTCCTGTACAAAGTTTTATTTTGTGTTCAGTTACATCTGCTGAGTAAAATGACACCCCCATTGTATGTCTTTGGCACTATTTCGTGAAGCTACAGTGTCATATAGGAGACCTGTCCTTTTCAGTATTCACAGTAGAATTTTGAGAGACGGATTTAATAAGCCTATGCTTCCATTTGGGGTATTATAACAGTTTGACTGTTCAAAAAAAATAAAAAAATAAAAAAGACCCACAAAGGCCTACCATTTGTAAAAGTAGACACTCCAGGGTATCTCATAAGGTGCATATTGTGCCTTAACATGCCCTAATTTTTTCACCAATATATGCCAAATTATGTGATAAAAAATAATTTTGTGCGTTTTTTACATATGGATTGCATTTTTGCTGGGCATTTTGTATATTTCACATGTGTCACTAAGTTCATACCCCCCAAATTATGCTCAGCTAAGTCTTCTGAGTAAAAAGACACCCCCAATGAATGTCTTTGGCACTATTTTGTGAAGCTACAGTGCCATATAGGAGACCAAGCCATATCAGTTTTTACCGAACTCTGAATTTTGACGCTGGGTCTATGTGCAATTTCCAAGCATCTTAGCAGGGTTTAAATTCAAACTTCCCCACAAAGGCCTACCATTTTTTAAAGTAGACACCCCAGGGTGTTTCAAAAGGTATAGTTGGAACCTTAGCGTGGGATCATTTTTGACACACAAAGTGAGTTTGCACAGTATGTTTTGCAAACCTTATGTGTGCTACCAATGTATAATACTTAATATGTTGCTCATCTATGTCGGCTGAGTACAGCAATACGTATGTACCTTTGCCAGGTATATGTGGACTTCGGAGGGGCACATTTGGGACACAGCCATTCCAGTTTTTTCAAACTTTACATTTTTACACTGTGTCCATGTTCCATTTTAGAGTATTTTACCAGGCTATATAATACAAATACCACATAAAGCCATACCATTTCTTAACCCCTTAAGGACCAAACTTCTGGATTAAAAGGGAATCATGACATGTCGCACATGTCATGTGTCCTTAAGGGGTTAAAGAAGACATCCCAGGGTATTTCAAAACGCATATTTTGAACCTTAGCGTGGGATAATTTTTCTGCTAGCTTGTACCAAGTGTAGTGGTAATGAGCATTTTTAAATGTATTGTTTTACTTAAACTTTTTTTACTTTTAAAAACGAGTTTTTAGGGAAGGCCATGACGGAAGAGGAGTGGCGACGCGCCATGAAACGGCACGACCTGAGGTAGCTGATCCAGAGGACTGCTCTCCCCGTTTATTAGTTTTGCGGTTGATCAATTTCACTAAATCCCTTCACTCAATTCGGGAGATCCAGCTTATATCTTTGGCTTGTTCCAGTTAACTTATATGTGCCATTTTATGCATATTACAAACAAGGCATCTATAATCACGGCCGGCGATTCTGTAATAGACATGCGGCAGTCAGAACATCAGCAGCATTCCTGAGTGGTATTATATACCAGCTACTGTGACGAACTAACTTGCTGCTTAGTCCTGAACTCAACTGCAAAATAGTTTGAATTGGTTATACAATTAATTTTTTCAATAATGTTCTCCTCAGATGTAAACTAAACCAGAAGAATTAGAGGATATTAAAACGACAACTTATTGTATCCCACTGCTTCCTGTGACAGGGAGATATTCTGCATACTGTTTTCAAACCCCATCAGATGCTACACAAGATAAGTGAATATTATTTGCTATTTTTCTGAACTCTTACTCCTATTGTGACTCACCAGTTATTGAATTATTTTTTTAATTTTAAAATTGGGGATTTGCAGCCTTAATTAATACCGGTCAATTGTTTCATATCAATTGGCTCCCGCCCAGGTGGCTTTACACCATGGCGGCTAAAAAGTCACATGACTCAAAATCTTCTATCCCTCACTGTATAAATCATTATCAACTTATTTCTCTCCACAACACAAAAGTCTTAAACAGAAGATGAATGATACGGACCTCAGCTTAGAAAGTCTGGAATTAGAGGGTAAAACAACCTCTGATAAAGAACTGTTAATCACTTTTCTATGTTCCAGTTTAAAGGCTAATTTGCAAGAGATAAAAACTGAGTTGGCCGTAACAGCCGCAGAAATTAAATTAGAAATTAAACAGGAAATAAATGTGCTCGCTGTAAAAATTGAGAAATATGAGGATCAATTTAAAGAATTGGACTTTACTGTAAAAAATCTAACAGATGATTGCCAAAAGGCACACTGTAAGATCTCAGATCTGGAGCTTAAATTGAACGATTTTGAAGACCACTTCAGACGCAAAAATCTGGGTTTTAGAAATTTAGCAGAAAATGGAAATATGGAAGATTTAAGGCAAATTTTGACGGATTACTTCTCTGCTTTAACTTTTTTTTACACAGGGGGCAGGATCATCATTGTTCCGGCTCCCTGCACTTCACACAGAACCAGGAAGTGCAGGGAGGCGGAAGGTAAGTATACTGAGCACATGTGCTCGCTCTGACAGGCTGTCAGGGCGAGCGCATGTGCTGGGGCAGCACTATCGGGTGCTCCCGGTCTGCCTCTAATACAGAGGCAGACCGGAGCACCATTAACCCCGCGATCGCGGCGATCTGGTGTTGATTTTAACGCGTGAAGGACGAGGTCCGTCACTCGTCATTATGGCAATCCCCTGAGTGACGGACCTCGTCCGCACTTAAGGGGTTAAACTACATCTTAACTGATCATTAAAAATAAATAATTATAGATTTATATTTTTTTCTCCACACACTTTTAGTCATATATAAACTAGTGCCCATGTTACTACAAAATAGATAAACTTATACATCCTTATTTTGGGAATAAGTCATACCTGGGATTTTTTTCCTCCTTTTTTGTGGTTTAAAGCAAAGTATAAAATATAGTAAATAGAATAGTATAATATAATGATCAATAAGTTTTTTGCTTTTTCTTTTAAAGAGGTTAATTGCAGACACTGGCAGTGATGGTGCAGTGTTCATACATGTCCCCAAGCCTCTCACTCATGATAAATATAGAATAGTAAGAATTAGAGTGCTCCTATTTCACTGTACAATACAGTTAAAGATCAAGGAGTATTTTCTTCTTTCCAAAATGAAAGATGAATCAAGAGAAGAGAGAATTTCTCAGAGAGATTTGATAATGTATATATCAGATAAAGAGGAAGAGAACACAGTGAAGTTGTTCCTGTGCTGTGATTAACAGAATACTCACATCATTGGCCACCCCGGTGTGTATAAGATCACGCAGGAACTTCATGACACTGCAATTGGCATCCCGGTGGTCTAGAGCAGTGGCTGCAATAGCCCATTGTAATACGTGACCTAGCACCTGACTCCGGAGCAGGACAATGGGACAACGCTGAATGAACCTAAAGAGAAGGGAAGGGTTTCATGCTACAATCAAATATTTTTTTGCCACTGTGAGAATACATTCACATTATTCGAACTGATAAACGTCCAAATAGATATAAATAAATAAAATTTTAAAAAGCTACGTTTTACCCTGGGGAATAAAATTGGTGTAAATAAGACTGCTTTGGAAATAAAAAAAAAAAAAAAATATATATATATATATATATATATATATATATATATATATATATTCACTAAAGTTAGAATTCAAAGTGATTTTCAAATTGAAGACCAAAGTAGCTGAACTGAAAGCAATTTAAAAGATGGCAGCTTTGTTTACATTACGCTTTCAAGTACATAATGCCAATATTATGGACGCCTTTTTATCAGTGAATTGAATTCATTTAGTGTTTACCATTTCCATTAGAATTGTTAAAGGGACACTGTAGGCACCCAGACCACTTCAGCTCATTGAAGTGGTCTAGGTGCAAACTCCCATCACTCCATAACCCTAGTGTGGCAATTATTGCAGTTCTTATAAACTGTAATAATTACCTCTCAGGGTTAACTACTTCCGGGTGGAAAGGCGACTTGGTCGCCTAACCGACACTGGACATCACGCCCTGCATAAGGACTTCCAGCGTCACTGCAATCCCAATAGGAAAGTTTGTTTTCCTGGCAATATAGTTACCCTTTAATATTATCAACTATGAATTGATAAGTCATATTGAAAAGATGCAGTTTAATTGATGCAAACTATGGACAAGGGTACAATTGGTAGTTTCCCTCAAAGTGAATATTACCTAGTGAACAGCCGAAACAGATCATCCACAGTATCTGGGTGATTTTGAGGACCATTCTGCTGCTCCAGAAGTTGGAAAGTGGGGACACACAGGGCCTGTAAAAACAAAATGGAAATTTAATGCAAATATTGACAGTTCTTCTGGATTTATTACATAATTATTTTGTGCGGTCACAGTACACTCACTTATCACATAAATAATAACGGACTGCTATCAATGCAAGTCATGAATGTACCTTGAAAATTAAAATTTTAATTACATTTAGTTGAACAAAATGTAAAAAAAAAAAAAAAAAAACAAACACTAAGAAAATCCCCAAGATGAAAATATACTTATTTCGGTCTTTTGGTAACCAAATACCTATCATGTGCTCAGTAAAGGTTGTTCAATGATGAACACAGCTTAAAATATAAGCAGGCATGTCCAGTGCATGCTAATGCAACAGGTCTGTTCATTTCAGGAAGCTTATGATAAAAAACTTCAGAAGTTCAGTTGTAGCAAAATATTGCGTTTAGTTTATAATTTTGCTTTATGCTATAAATTACTGGGATTTTGCACACAATATTGTCATTTTGAGCATTTATTTGCAGAAAATGACAACTGGTGAAAATAAAACATACTAAATTAAAAAAAAAAAAATTTCAGACCTCGAAAAAAATGCAGAGAAAACTGTATTATCTTAGTATATGAATACTAATGTTTTCACTTAGGAAGAATTCAGAAATCAATATTTTTTTGTAACAACCTAGATTTTAATTACAGGTTTCATGTTTCTTGGCGTGCTCTCCACCAGTCTTTCACATTGCTATTGGTTGAGTTTACTCCTGGCGCCAAAATTCATACAGCTCGCCTTTGATGACTTGTGATCTTCTATCGCCCTCATGATCACATAACAGATTTTCAGTGGGCTTTAATTAGGATATTGGGCTGGCCGTGATAGGGACGTAATCTAGTGTTCTCCATCCACAAGTTAGCTGACCTGGCAGTGGGTAATGGAGAATTGTTTTGCAGGAAAAATATTCCTCGGAAATGGGGAACATTGTCAGAGCAAGTTTTTTGCTAAGATAACCTTAATTTATGCATCCATTCCAAAGATGAATCTATTGGATTTGACTAAAGCACCCTCACTTCATCACTGATTCAATTTCACAGAGGGTGAGAGATACGGTGGTTTGTGAGCCTCTAAAGAAGACAATTTTGCAAACTTCACCTGACTCTGAAACCACTTTCCTGTTGTTCACTTCACCCAGCTGTCATTTCTCATTCTTTTTGTAGGTCATTTGATGTCAGCCTATGGTTGTTGAGTGACATTCAAATGAGTTGGCAGTCATCCAGGTCAGTTGAGATTCATTTTTGCCTTTGCTGGTCTTCAGGTTTGTTGTCCCCAATGTCTGCTGCTTGAGCTTGTTGTTCTTATTTATATAGCACCAGCAAAATCCATAGTGCTGTACAATGGACGACTGTCTTTGAAACTTTTAGGATAAAAGCAATCTGGCACTCTCAAAAAATCCAGAATGGAGCACTTTTCCTCATTCAAACTCTTTCTTTTTTAACTTTTTTGGCATGGTCAATAATTATCTTTTTATTCCAAATTACTTTTGAAGTACTATTAGCCCTGTTTTTGTTATTCAGCTGACCCTATTGCAAGACGATCATGATGATCACTGCAGTGATTAACCTTACCTCATTAAATAAGATGTGGTTCAGGTAATAATCTAATCAGTACCTCATTAAGTAGAATGAGATGTGTCTGTGTTGGAATTCAACAGACAGTGAATTGAAATGGCTGCCATACATGTAGAGATAATTATTTTTAAAAAAATCTGAGTGGTCTCTTCCAGAACCCAAATCGGGTATATCATGCAAATCCCTGACAATGGATTTATTTGTTTGGGCGTAGATTAATAGGAATTCAAATTATTTGTCATTGGCGAAAAGGATTTGTGCACAAGCTCAACATATTGTTTGCATAAATGATCATAAATATATTGTTCTATAACCTGTTAAATAGTGATTATTTTAAAAATTCTAAAAGGCACCATGGATTGAAAGTAGGGATCGACAGATAGAATTTTTCTAGAGCTGATTCCGATACCTGGTCACTATATTCTGTACATTTAAAGTTTTGAAAAAGTAACAATTTCTACACAAATCTGGCATTAACTGAACATGCTGAAAACAATCACACCTATTACTTTCAGGCACACAGTACGTGCTAGAATCCGTGAGATCCCAGCATGTACAGTGCTGTTGTGGATAGGGGTTTGACTGTGGACAGCAGTAGGTATCGACCAATTATTGGTCTAGCTGATATTCTGCATTTTTAGCAATATCGGTATCGCCCTATAAAGATACAGATATTGCCAATAATGCAGACAGTGGGGCAAGGGAAGATCAGTGATCTCCCTCCCCAGCCCACAGGCACCCGGCAGGGGAGAGAGGACCCAGGGGAGCTCCTACCTGCAGCTCCGTCTGGTTCTCCTCTCGCGAGCGTTGCTGTGCTTACCACGGCAATGCTCCGCTCTCGCGAGAGTGAACTCTCACCAAAGGGACCACCAGGGCTTCCACACCGGACTCCCGGGGATGGAAAGCAATGTCTCCCCCTCCCAGGCAACATTTAAGAAGGGAGGGGGGATTAACAATATATTTGGTTTTTAAAAAAAGTTATATTTGCTTTGATCTGCTTCCCTCCCTACCACACACACACACACAATAACACCCTACACATTCACACACACATAAAACTGCCCCGCTCACACAAACACTAACCCCTCATATACACACACACTGCACCCCTTCACACACACACTGCAGCCCTTACTCCCCCACCAGGGAGTGTAATGCACTTTGTACCTGTGGCCAGTGAGAGAGGAATAAAAATTATTTTTATTAATTTTCTTTTAAATGTAATTATATATAATTATTTTTATTTATAAAATAAATAAAATCCACAGATTCCAACCCCACATATTTTTACACACACACACACACACACACACACACACCGCATTCACTAATCAAATACTCTCACTGCATCCACTACACATATATTCTTGAAAACAAAAAATTCCGACTGGCATGTATATTTTGTGCATTTACCTTAATAAAAATAAATAAATAAATAAATAAAATAATAAACATGTTCAGTTAACAGTAGATTTGTGTAGAAATGGTTTCTTTTTTCAAAACGGTAAATGTACAGAATATCGGTAAGTTATTGGCTATCGGCCTGAAAGTTCACAGATTATCGGTATCGGCTCTAAAAATATAAAAAAAAAAAAAAAAAATCAATATCCGTTGATGCCTAGACAGCAGTAGCTTATTCGTGGTCTTATCTCCCTGCCTTCAGCTGAGCTACGCATCCAGGGACTCTCAGAAAGGGTTGACATGAGGTCACAACGTGGCACTTCATTGGTTAGCAGGTAGAGTTTCCAAATGCAGAAGACCGCATGTGGTGACTGGGAGAGGTGAGTAAGTTATCACTAATATCAGTAAATTACAAGGCCGATATGAATTATCGGTAAAATGCAAAACATCGTCTCTACCAATCTCCATTAATGAATAAACAAAGAAAGAGCTATAGACTACAAGTTGAAGCACAAAATGATACAAAGGCTAGGCAGAAATAGAACATTTACCTGGAGCATATCCAGCAGTCCCTGCTGACACCCTTCCTCCATCCCATATTCGTCCACCAGGATGCTGCCCAAGTACAGGAAGCACGAGTGTTGGTGAATTTGGTATACACTTACCATCTGAATGAGACAGGAAATGAGAAACAAATATAAAGCTTCAGGTCTGTACAAGGACATTTTACGGCAAATTCACGTTGTAAACAGAAACGGTGACTTCCAGAGAAGTAACATTTTCTCAATTCAATAAATATCATTTAAAGGAGCACTTTAGTGCCAGGAAAACAAACTTGTTTTCCTGGCACTATAGGGTTATTAAGTTCCCCCTCCTGCAGGGCTGAAGGGGTTAAAACCCCCATCATCCACTTACCTTAAATCCAGCACCGGTGACCTCTCCTCCCCAATCGACGTCAGCTCCGAAAGCGCATGCGCGGCCAGAGCCGCACACGCTTTCAAACCGTCCATAGGAAAGCATTACTCAATGCTTTCCTATGGACGTCCAGCATGTCCTCAATGCGATTTTTGCAGTGAGGATTGCGGAAGCACCTCTAGCGGCTGTCAGGGAGACAGCCACTAGAGGCTGGATTAACCCTCAATGTGAACATAGCAGTTTCTCTGCAGAGTTAAAACTAGGGGGACTTGGCACCCAGACCACTTCATTGAGCTAAAGTGGTCTGGGTACCTATAGTGATCCTTTAAGCATTTACTGGGATGAACAGCACAGCAAAGTGTGTAATATCTCTCACTCTCTCTCATATACATACACCCACACACCAACAAACTACGGTATTGAGGTCACCTCACAACCCCATGATGCCTACGGCAGGTGCGTATATGTAAGAAACTTCCACTCGCCACTAGTAAGTGAAAATGTAGCCCTGGCAAGTAGAAGATCCCCTACTGTGCAAAATTCTATGGCTAGCAGTGGCGAGTCACTAATAAGGCCTGGCTAGTAAACCTCAAATTGTAAGACCTGGTAGAAATGCTGTACATAAACATGGCATTTTCTAAAACGGTGAGATGCATGCATGCAGCAAATAGCGCATGTTTAGTTACCTATCCAGTTGTGCTTAAATTCTTTAAAAAAAATAAAAAATTTTATCACAATTAATCTGGCATGCTCACCATTCTAGACATGAAGAGCAAAACTTAAAGAAAACAGGCCTGATACAGATAAGCCATAGCTTCCATGAAATATACATCACAAGCATTTTAGCTGTCTATGTTAAGGTTGCAGGACAAACTGACCTTAACTCCTCTAGTTATTTTATAGTGTAACACTAGAAGACTGCACAAACAACCAAACTATTTCAGTACCACACAACACAAGAACAATTAAATCTTACTATCCATGCTACATATGCCTTCTGCATAGTAATATTAACTGTCTTCAACATAAAGAACAATGCATTCTAAAGATAACATTTTAACATTATAGAAAACTCACAATAGACTATCAATACAATTCACGGATATCTGCACAATACCTGGGTGACAAGAGGCTGCAGGAGGGCAGCAGATCCTTTCCCAACACAGCGAACTGCAAATCGTAGACAGCGACAGCAGCGCTCAACTATCCGATTGTCAGCGCGGTGCTTGTTTAAAGTCTCCGACATCACAGGCCAGATCTTAAAAAATAAAAACAAAAACAGCTGTATTGAATTATAGAATATTAGACAAATGTGGTTTGGCCATCCAGTTGATAAAACAAATGGATACTCATTTACATGAATTTTAACAGATGTTAGACTGATCTGTGTCCCACCTTCTACATACAAATGGCCAAAACACAGAAATAATAGAATTTCCTGCAGTTACTTACTTCTTGGATGACTTTTTGGCACGGGTGGGTTTGTCCATTCTCTACTATAGGATTTGTATGCCTAGGACACAAAATGGAGTAAAGAAAAAATACATTATAAAAGTGATTTTAGGGCATAGAACTGTACTTACACACAATTACACATGTTTAGATGCACTAGAAAAGAGAAGAGAGAATGAAAAGCGCACATTTGTTGGTTGCTGTACACTTTAGAGGAAATGCAATCTCCCAGTACCAAACATTTTATGTATAGATGACAAGCAGATGATTCTGGATACATATAACATACAAACACTATGCAATATAGAGTAAAAGTGTAACAACCGCTGTTTACACAATTCTGTCACAAATTAAAATGGAAATTGTAGTCCATCAATTAGTTAAAGTTCATAGTGGAAGAACCATGCACTCTAGCACCAACATGCAAAGAACCTGTTATTTATATTAGTTCTCGGGGCATTAATATGCATTTGTAAACTCCTAAAGAACTAGAACTACTACCGCCAGCTTTTGACAAAATGAGTACTTCACACAAGTTCTCGCTCTTAAGCCATACACTTAAATAGGCAGTCACTGAAAAATGTGCGATATGGCATAACCAGGGCAATGCATTTCCCTACACCTCTATATTAATATTTAAATCATCAACTTTTCTGGTACTGGCCAAATGACATGTAAATGACTCATTCACGGACTCACAACAAGTGTTAAGAATACAGATAAATAAGGTGACTTACCTAAAAATGACAGCCAGTCTGTCCAAAAACAACGTAGGATCAGAAGATATGCCATTACTAGAATCTTGGGAAAGTAGCTGTGTATAGACAGATAGAACATGTTTTCAACTTACTGCATTAGAATACTAATAGGGTTATTTACAAAAGTAGAAAATATTAACAAAACATATAGAGATGGCGCTTAAGGATAAATACAATGTGAGGTGCTGCTATACCAAAGTATATTGCCACCACATATACTTAAAAAGATACAATATAAGTAGAAAAAGGTAAAAGCGAACACAAAAGGGCAGAGGTTAGTTACCTGTGATATAATAATTTAACTGAAATCTGCTATCAGTTACCAGTAAAATTATTATATCACAGGTAACTAACCTCTACCAATTTGTGTGCGCTTTTACCTTTTTCTACTTACATTATTTACAAAAGTGAAAATTCAAATTTAAGTTCAAAATGCCTTAACTGGAAAAATTCTCTAAGTCAGCTATGCTTTCCATGCAGCTACTGTGGCTTTAAATTTGAAATTCATTGGAATTCATAATTCGTAATAACCTTGTTTGTATTTTTTTTTTTTTTTTTTATAATGAAGCACCAATAAAGATCTCACATAACAGTGGCTTACTATACATGTATAATGCTTTTAATAAGAAAATATACATGTAGCACAATTGTTTATGATATATATGTGATTGAAAAAAAGAGCACTGAGTGGATTTGGTCCAAAAAGTTAATTGTGTTGTATTCAAAACATCATCAACGTTTCGACCCATAGGACGACCAATGGGTCAAAACGTTGCTGATGTTTTGAATACAACACGACTTGCTTTTTGGACCAAATCCACTTAGTACTCTAATTTTTTCTATCTTCTATATTTACGCTGTGCAGCACCATGGTTTATTTGTTTTATACTACTTTAAGGAAAAGTGCCAGATTCCCAACTTTTTTTCTCTTTTTTTTACACAATCCATCACACTAACATACACTAAACAATGATTTCAAATCTCACAGATTGTAATAGTTTTATTTAAAAACACCTCACCTAGGCAAAAAATAATGGGGGTTTAGCCTGCAACAACGTCAATGTAGGTCCTACTCTAGCAGCATAATGCTTGCTCTTATGAGATTAATCCACTGACTTGGGAAATACTTCCTGCTGGGACTCTCTGCAGGCCAAGGCTAAATAGGGTCCTGGAATGAGGAACCTGTGACAGGGAGGGGTGCAAAACCAAGGAGCTGGCCTAGACTCCCACATTGTGGCAGGCTTATGCAAGCACTATTATTTTTTGCCTAGGTGAGGTTTTTAAACCTTTAATGACACATGACATGTGTGACATGTCATGATTCCCTTTTATTCCAGAAGTTTGGTCCTTTAGGGGTTAAATAAAACTATTACAATCTGTGAGATTTGAAATCATTGTTTAGTGAATAAGCGAGTGCGCTGGATATATATACTCCACTGTTCCATATTGTTCAGTATGGCAATTGATCTTATTTGGGTGAGAACCATACATACAAAATGTTTACAAGGCAATACACTGTTCTAAATAACAATTATTTTGTACCTAAAATAATATATTAAAGGGACACTATAGTCACCAGAACAACTACAGCTTATTCTATTTGTTCTGGTTAGTAGAATCATTACTTTCAGGCTTTTTGCTGTAAACACTATCTTTTCAGAGAAAATGCAGTGTTTACATTACAGCCTAGTGATAACTTCACTGGCCACTCCTCAGATAGCTGTTCGAGATCCTTCCTGGGTGATAGCTGCCTAAAATGCATCCAAACATACAGTGTCTCCACCCTCTGCATGCAGACACTGAACTTTCCTCATAGAGATTCATTGATTCAACTCATCTCTATGAGGAGATGCTGATTGGCCAGGGCTGTGTTTGAATCATGCTGGCTCTGCCCCTGATCTGCCTCTTTGTCACTCTCAGCCAATTCTATGGGGGAAGTATTGTGATTGGACCAGGCTACCACTTGGGCAGTGGGCAGGTCTAAAGAAAACAGAGCCAGAGCTAGTAGCTTCAGGCTTGAATACAAGTAAGTTTTCTATTTTTAGGGAGGCATGAGGGGACCAGGGGGGTAGATGGTGGTTTTAACCCCATAGGGTCAGGAATACATGTTTGTGTTCCTGACCCTATAGTGCTCCTTTAACCCCTTAAGGACACAAGACATGTGTGACGTGTCATGATTCCCTTTTATTCCAGAAGTTTGGTCCTTAAGCGGTTACAGGAATACCTCTGTGCCCTATAACCACTTGAGCGCACTTCTCCGTTTGGAGGGTTCCCTTTATTAATTAATTATCACTATTGAACTTTTAATCAGTGCCATCACAGTCTTGCTGCTGCAGACAGAGGCATTCTGATTGGAACATTGCAATTTCTCTGAAAGTATAAACATGGTCTTTGAACTAAAACTGCTGTGTAAAAAGACATTTTGGTGCTTAGAGTATCCCTTTAAGTTTTAATATCAAAGCCTTTAAAGTATTACAATTTTCTACATCAGACTAATCCAATACTTTAACTGAGTTTATGTAGAGAGGCAAGAATCTCCACTTCCCAAATTACTTCAAGTTCTTGTCTTGTTTAGGGCTTTGCCACCGTCATAAGTTTAAGTTTTAACTACTACTGAGCGAAGTTTTTTTTGTGTTTGTTTTTTTAATTACATGGCACTTCATTAATGTTTTGTCCAAGTTGAACAAAATATTGCAAATCAGCAGAGTGAAAAGTATGTCATATTTCTATTAGAAATAGTGGAAAACAACACACACAGTCCAAGTCAAGGGTGACCCTTGAGAAATCAAACACCAGGTCAGGCATGTTTTGTGGGCACAGTATACCATAATCTCAAGCAAAGGAATACTTTTGGGCTAGAATGCAGAGGATATATCAACCAATGTGTGCTCCAGAAACATTACATTCAAAAAACTGAAATATAATATAAATTTTGGTGTCCTGCAGGAGGACCTAAACCTGTACCTTAAAAGTGACATTTTATTACAGTACAGTATATAACATTGTCAAAAAATATATATATATATATATATACACACACACACAGACACACTCACTCTACAATGGTAATGTACTAGTGTATTGTATCACGTTAAATGTGGACCAAATGAGCACGTGTATCACAAAATTACAACAGTAAGTGTGCCATATTTCTTTTGTGCTCCTTTTAGAATTTCTTTTCTGCTGTAAAAATTGTGATTTAGTACTAGATTAACTAATAATTTCAGACCTTATCATAGAACCTTTTTTATTTTAACCTCATAGTGTCAATGTGTTTTGCTAGTTTGGTGTAGTTATTAGAATAAGCATTGCTGGTAGCCTAACAGATTCAATAATGAAGCTATATGGCAAAAGCTTTCCACATGTGGGATTTCCAATTCAATGTGGTCTCACAGGCTTATCGAGCTGTGCTTACATGCACTTTGAGCAACAAACCTGATAGTAATTTGACAGGACAGACACTCAGAGTTTATGTAAGCAGAGCACTCTAAAACAAAAATAATGCAAATTGCAGGGATAAATTACAGAATTACTCAGAAAGCACTGCACCAGAAAAAGAAGTGACACTGATTGTAGTGTAAGTAGCATCACATTAAACCAAATTAAATCCTTTTAATGTCTCTCAAGGAGGATAATAAAGAACTGATTAGATATCTAACTTTCAAAGTAATTATATATACACACATACACTTTAACCACCCTTCCCTCCACCCCCCCAGAGATGAGATGCAAAATTCTGCCCTACATTTAAAACAGATAATATAGGAATCAAAACAACTTTAATTTAATGAACCAGTTTCGTGAATGGATCATTTTCCTGCAGCCTCACTGTTCAATTCTCTGCCATTCAGGAGTTAAATTAATTAGTTTCTGACCATACATCCCTACCCATACCTCCCCAGAAAAATTTAGCTCAATGTAAACATTGTCTTTTCAGACACACCTTTTAGTGGCAGTCACTAGAGGTGATTCCAGTGTTATGGCTACACAGTGTACAGCACTGGCATTCAGAGTATCCACGCTCTACATGGAGACGATGAATGTTCCTCATAGAGATGCACTGATTTAATTCATCTCTAAAAGGATAGGCCAATGGTGCAGCATGCTGTTTTGCAGTGCATGCACAATAGCTCCCCGATGCTTTCCTATAAGAAAGCATTGGATTGACTGAGATAATCAAGTTTAATGGTCTCAGCCATGGAGGCGGAGCGAGGCAGAGCCAACCGCTGCAATATGAGTAAACATTTTATTGCATGGAGTGGTAGTAGGGGATCCAAATATTTATTTTTAACACAATATTGTCAGGAATACATGTTTGTGTCCCTCACACTATAGTGTTCCTTTAAAGAGTTACTCCAACCCTTTTTATTAAAGAATGCATTACTGGGCATGAGCATTACTGTTTAGAGACTCTCTCAAGAAATATATATTTTCCTGGAGTAGCTTTCCACGACCCCCATGATGTCACAACAACCATGCAAAGTCCAATCAAAGGCTTCTCATAGAGGGGAAACTCTGTGAAGGACAACCTCAATAAGTCTGTTGCCAGCAAGCTGTGAGAGTGGACGACGACATTTTATGCACAGAATTGACATTTGGCAGTCTGGAACAGAGCTCTGGATTGCCAAAGTCACATGCAAGGAGTGCAATACCTTGGCACATTAGTGCCAATATCTCAGTATGTGCAGTGTTTCAAGCTGAAACACTGCACATGCTAACTCCTACCACCATGACCACCCCCCCTTAATGAGCCTCACTTTGACCATAGAGTGGGGAATCTTGATCCCTGGTGGGAGATGTTGCTGCTCCAGCCAGCTGGCGAATGGAAATGTATCAGAGCGCTGCCACAGTAAACAGCAGCAATGCTCTGGATGCAATAGAACAGAGCTGGTGAAGAAAATCAAGCAGGGCTGACAAGACCACCTCCCAGTCTGTTTAACTGGCCCCACTACAGGGGAATAGGCCGGTGAGGGAGATCTATAAAATTTTTTCAAGCAGCTGTGCCACTCCGAGGCCTTATGCAACTCCAGCCCTGTGCGCAGCAAAGGAAGTACAAACATTACATCTCTCTTTACAGAAGTGTTTAGGAAGGCTGAGCAAATCACATGCAGGGATGTGTGACCAGAGCTGCATAAACAAAGTGATTTGACTCTTACATTGCCGAGAATTGAGCATTGAGACTACAGGTGCTGGGCTATACACCTAAACTGATTCGTTAAAATAAATTGTTTCAGTGCCTATAGTATCAGTGCCTATAGTATCCCCTTAAGGCAGTAATACATCCGTGCATAATCAAAAATAATCATAACATCATAATAACACTGCATTGTGTAAAACCACAAATAATGAAACTCTGGGAAAATACTTAGCCACTCACTGTATTTCCCCTCACCTTCTTCAGTGATGAGACCTGAACAGTACACAGCTCGCTCATGCACTCAGAGATCTTCTCCAATGGCAGGCGTGCCAAGACGAGTGCAGTGCCTGAGCGGAAACATAGCACAATAAGTATAAATACATCAAACTCAGAAATCTATGTATTAATGTAATTATCACATAATTTATAACAAATAAATGCGATGTTCATGGAGTTGGTCATTATACGACTGATTGCACTTATTACCATGCATGCATTTCATGTACAAGATCTGGTGGACAATCCTACATTTGGAAGCTGGGACACAAACCTTGTCGACACCAGATGAAAATGTAAAAATGTCAAAAAAAAATTTTTTTCAAAAGTAAAGTAAGTAGTCATTAAGCAGCACTCTGTGCAGTTCTGGTTGTCTAGCATCTTGAGTGTACATTCTCATCCCATGCCAGTACTGATATGCATGAATTTCAACTGATTTGTCTCTACTGTTCCCATCCTTCCTTACCACTGTCACATTACAGGAATGTCTTTTTAAAAAGTATCCTGCATCCTTACAGCTTGTTGGCTGCAGTTTGAATTTCCCTGTCTAATTTTATGAAAAGTGATTTAGAAATATATAAATCTGAGCCTCAAACATGACTTGGGATGCTTTTACAAGTCCAGGAATGTAGTACCTTTTAAGAGTCCAACAGCAGCCTCTGGTGGCAGTGTAAAGGAGTCCAGGGACCGTGCAATATTCAGAAGTCCATTGAAATGCTGGGCCATGTGGTCCCGACATACAGAACAAATGTTCTGGATGGCTTTGGCGGAAGGAGATGCCAGTGATGGCTGACAAAGGCCTTTCATTAGGTAGGATAGCACAGGCTCTGGAAAGCAAATGTAATCATAATTATATACATTATTGTTGTGCAACAACTGCATAGCTAAAGTAGGAAAGACACCCTTGTGCAAAGAAACTCAATAAATCATGTTTCCACAGCTATCCTAGAGTTTCTCATTTTGCACTGCAAGTGCACAAACACAATATATATTAATCATTTTTCTTTGTATGGAGTTTAAAATGTACACTTCCTTTTATACCATGAGCAGAGTTCAAACTCTGTATTGCAGCTGTATTATAATTTCAGATACACATGTAAATATACTCACCAAGGAATTGTGGGTTTCTGTCTACCACTTCGCTCATCTCTCCTACCAGCTCAATGCTAGTGTAACGTACGGCGACATGTACAGACTCAGGCAGTCGCACAATTCCTTCAAGGACTTCTACCAAGGTTGGATTGTTCTCTCTGGTTAGATGTCAGAAGAAAAGAAAATGAATATCTAATTAGAAAACCCACACAGAAAAGAAAACATTATGAATCAAAACAGACAACATAGCATGTGGATAACGTTGTGTTTAACTTAAGGATAAGAAAATGTAATTTATATTATGCCGGTGTTCTATCCCTCGTCACTTCCGGGAAGGGGAATCAGCTGGATCCTGTGCTGCACATGCGCTAGCACTCCTGCTACTCCTCCACAGCAAGGCCCTGGAAGGTAAGTAAAACTAGTTTTACACTTTCATTATAGTTAGTGCATTCACTAAGCTTAGGCACACGGGACATTTAGGGTTAAGTGAGGGTACAAATTAGGGTTAGGTAAGTGCTTCTAACCTCTCTCACACTCTATTCTTACCCTAACCTTTGGGGTAAGGGTTAAAATAAAGTGTGAGAAAGCACTATTTAGTGATATTCCCCTAATGTGAAATATCACTAAATATGAACAAGTCCCTAATCCTAACCCTAATTTGAACCCTAACATTAACCCTAAATGTCCCATGTCCTAAGCTTAGTGAATGCACTAATTATAATGAAAGTGTAAAACTAGTTTTACTTACCTTCCAGGACCTTGCTGTGGAGGAGTAGCAGGAGTGCTAGCACGCATGTGCAGCACAGGATCCAACTGATTCCCCTCCCCGGAAGTGACAGGGGTATAGCAATCTGACGGGGTATAGAAGACTGAAAGAACACCGGCATATATGCAGAATGCAAGACATTCCTCTAATTCAACGGTAATAAAGCCAGCATGTGGGCGTGATAAAGGAATTTTTACCCTTTTCTAAAAACAAGGTCAATCTGGTAGAAGGGAATTGGGAGAGACTGACAAAACCAGCATACTGCCAGCTGGGGAGGTGGTAGGTGTAAAGTTATCAGTTACGAAAAGAAAATACTGTATCTGTATTATAAGATATGTATTTGTTGCTTCAAGGATTACTCCAAAGCAATGTTTCAATGAGGACTTACACCGCTGCTGAAATGCTGCACACACTCCAAGAACCATGACCAATTAGAACCACTGAAGTAACTATGGTGCTGGGAGTAACCCTTTAAGAGGTTGTTCTATAAATTAAACCCTGAAGTTCAATTTAAACATCTAACTAAACAAATGCATCCGGTTTTGTCCTTGCCTGGGTGTAAAATCACTTATGCCAAAATATGAATAAAAAGGAAGATGCACTTACAGGACTTTGTAGATAAATCTTGAAGTTTTATTGTGCAATTATACACCAGAAAATGTGTCTACATTTCAGTCATCTGAGACTTTTTTCTAAACTCAACACAACCACAAGCTCATATGTTATCTAATTTCCATATCATGGACAACGTTACTTACGGATCAACACTCTTTGCAATAGAGGCCATAATAAAAAGCACAGCTTCTGTCACTTCCCAGGGTGGGTTACCCTGTTTCAATGTAGAATACAGCTGCAGAAAGGCAAAGCATAATTAGATCCTTTACATATATAGTGATTATATTGACATGTTGCTGTGGTAAACGTGGGACAAACAGACAACATGTAAAGTGAGTGTGCTGGATTTTCACATGGCAATTCAATAAATAATAGTTCTAAAACTTATATCACATGAAGACACCAACATCTATACATTTGACTAAATAAATGGTCACTATAAGACAGGCCTTGGCAAATTTCTTAAAATTTAGTCCAAAGGTGCAGGGTACAGTTGAAATAAGGTTTGACTGAGAAATAGTTTTAATTATGAAGTCCTGAACTCAGGATCAGCAGTTATTCATGATACAACGGTGTTATTTTAAAGGACACTAAGTACCAAACCTTTATCTTAAAGAAGTGGTTTTAGTGTATAGAACATGCTCTTTCAGACTCACTGCTCAATTATCTGCCATTTAGGAGTTAAATCACTTTTGTTTCTGTTTATGCAGACCTAAAGCGCAGAATGTCAGGTGAACAGATAGAAGTTTACATATTTCTATTACTGACTGTTTTGTTTGGAAAAACACTGTTTAGAAATAAATGTGTATACATTATATATGACATGTAAAACACAATAAAACATTCTGTACCTCACCCTGAAGAGTGAGTGTATCCTCATTTGTGATATACTTACTACTACATATTGTAATATTTGCTCTTATAATTGATTATGCAAGAATTGAATACCTATCCTGTTGTAATTTTTCAACTGATTTAATTACCACTAGGCCACATATATCAATTTAAGGTTTCGTTACAAGTGCCTGTAAAGCAATACACATTTAACAAATAGCGTGACTACTACCTACCTGAGAGAAACACTCCATTGAGCCCACCAGAAAGATTAGATCCTTCACCAAGTCAGACACTCTCATACGGAATTCTCCAAAATCATCTGTTTCCTCAGGGACACCCTCCTATAGATATATGGAAAAGTGAGGGTGTTAAAACCTTTATGAGTCTCACATTCAAGTAAGTGATCAATTATTTGTGTGTGCCTGACAATGTGTATAACCAAACATTCTGACCTTGGAGGCACAATTGGGACCATTTACAAAATAATTCAGAAACAAGTAAAACAGCCGCTAGTGGCGCTTGCGTGCTTCTCACTGTGAAAATCACAGTGAGAGCACGCAAGCGTCCATAGGAAAGCATTATGAATGCTTTCCTATGCGACCGGCTGAATGCGCGCGCAGCTCTTGCCGCGCGTGCGCATTCAGCCGACATCGGAGGAGGAGAGGAGGAGGAGAGGAGGCAGAGAGCTCCCCGCCCAGCGCTGGAAAAAGGTACGTTTTTACCCCTTTCCCCCTTCCAGAGCCGTGCGGGAGTGGGTCCCTGAGGGCAGGGGCACCCTCAGGGCACTATAGTGCGAGGAAAACAAGTATGTTTTCCTGGCACTATAGTGGTCCTTTAATGAAACTCAATTTGTTATAAAAAAAAAAAAAAACTGTTAAAAAAACATTTTTGTATCCAAAAGGTAAATTTCACAATTTACATTTAAGCACAAGGAATCATAAACATGCTTTAAGCCATGTCAGCAATGACTTATAGAGAGAGAGAGAGAGAGAGAAGAAAAAGAGAGAGAGAGAGAGAGAGAGAGAGAGAGAGAGAGAGAGAGAGAGAGAGAGAGAGAGAGAGAGAGAGAGAGAGAGAGAGAGAGAGAATGAGAGAGGGATAGAGTGAAAGAGAGAGAGAATTAAAGAGTGAGAGAGAATGAAAGATAGAGAGAGTGAAGAGAGAGAGAGAGAGAGAGGAAGGTATTGAGAGAGAGAGAGAGAGAGAGAGAGAGAGAGAGAGAGAAAGAGAGAGAGAGAGAAAGAGAGAGAGAGAGAAAGAGAGAGAGAGAGAAAGAGAGAGAGAGAGAAAGAGAGAGAAAGAGAGAGAGAGAAAGAGAGAGAGAGAATTTATACTAGTCTTTGAAGTATGTGTATACTCTTGTCCCAGGCCAGTAACTTAGAACATGATAGGGAAGACAGAGTTGCTATTTTTTCACTTTTAAGAGATTATTGTTGTGAATAAAAATAATCTTATATGTATATGGCCATGAGTATTAAGAGATATCTTTACTTGGTATGGTGCACTTGCATTGTCATAGCTATGACACTTTAAAATGCAAGAATGTATCTTTTCCTAGGATTGCCTTCCTGGGGGCTGTAATATCTGTGCACAACATGAACTTTCTTTTTCCAATGCCTGCATTCTTTTTTATCATGCATGGCAAGTCTTTCATACAAAAGAGATTCTCCAGTGCCAGGAAAACAAACCCGTTTTCCTGGCACTAGAGAATCCTGGAGTGCCCCCCATCCCATGTCGCAAAAGGGGTTTAAACCCCTTCAACTACTTGCCTGAATCCAGCACCGATTTCCCTCGGCGCTGGTCCAGGCTCCGCCCACGATCCTCCCCCGCCATCAGGGGAGACCTAATGCGCAGGCGCGGCAATGGATTAGACCTCCCCATAGGAAAGCACTGATGCTGGAGGTCCGTGAGGATGTCCAGCGTCAGATAACGGACCAAAAGTCTGTTTAGATTCCGGAAACTCGCCCAGTAGCTGTCGGATAGACAACCCCTGCAACGGCAATTTTTTACATTGCAGCACTAAGTGCCAAAGGGTCACAGCCACTTTCCTGTCGGATTCTTGTCTTTCCTCCCACAGCCACAAGAGGGCAGAGTAGCTGTCTGCAGAGCAGGCCAGCCACTCCTCCTTCCCTCCTGTTCGCAGTGCCAGAGGAGCGTCTTGTATGCTTGAGTAGAGAAGAGCAGGGTTGGAACTGGAGGGACAGGCAGCTCATCTTAAGGTAGGGGAAAAGGGGCTGGCGAGACCTTCCCGTGTAGTGTGTTAAATTGGGGAGAGGGGGCAGTGCATTAATTTGAGGGAAGAGCCCACTGTATTAAATTGAGGAGGGAATGGGCAGTGCATTAATTTGAAGGAGTGAGGGGGGCAGTGTATTAAATTGGGGGAGGAAAGGACAGTGTTTAAGAGTGGTGTGTGGGGAGGGTCAATTTATTAAATTAAAGTGGTGGGAGTGTGGGCAGTGTATTCAATTAGAGTGGAGGGATGAAGGGAAGTGTATTAGATTAGGATTGGGTGGAGGGGGCAGTGTATTGGATTTGTAAGCAGGGTATTAGAATGGGGGGAGGGGCAGTGTCTTTGATTTGTGGGCAATGTACTTGATTTGTGGGAAATGTATTAGAGTGGAGGGAGGGTGGCCATGTATTGGATTTAGGGGCAATGTTTTAGAATGGGGGAGGGGACAGTGTATTTGATTGGGTCTGCATGGAAGCGTTGAACGCTCCCCATTTAGATGCTTATTGTCTGTGCAGCGTTTTGCCACACATACACAATAGCCTCCCAATGCTTTCCTATGGGAAAACATTGGATTGGCTGAGATCATCAAGTTTGATGATCTCAGATAAAGTGCAGAACACACTCATAGGACTTCAAAAAAATCAACAAGATTACCAAATTACCAAACTTTTCTTAATATGTCAAGGTAGTTGGACTAAAACATTGGTTATATGCAAATGCACGTCTCCTTAAAATAAATTAGCTTTTTAGTTACTTTGAAGCCCTATGAGCGTGAGGACATCCAGTGTCCGTGAGGCGACTTTTTATACTGTACATTCCTAAATAAACCTACGTTTCTATGAAAACTGCATTTTCTGGGTTTTTTGCAGCCCACAAACTTAAACCTTGTTTATTTGCCACATGTTAACCTTTGAGTTTGACATGCTTGCGGTAAATAAAAAACACAAACAAAAAAAAAAAAAAACTGGTAGAATTATATACCATTTTGTTTTCTTCCTGACATTTTGACAACGAACTATCAGCATGTGCTATGGAGGACTTTTGCAAGAAGGGCAAGGTCATATTCATATGCAATCTATACATTATACAGGTTAAATCACCAGCAAATTTATAGATTCAAATATATAATAATTATAGCTCCTGCTGAACAGGGGCCTGGTCGGGCGCAGTGACCAGGCCCCTGTAACATCAGCAGGCTTAGAAGAAGTGACAGCCTGTTACTTCCTCCCAGCTTCATGCACGCAGACAGTGCAGGAGGCAGCCACAGCATGAGACCAGAGGAGTACGAAGAGCTGCTCCAGACCCCTTTCTCCCACCAGCAGCAGCTGGACCAGGACTCCAAGCCACCTTCCTGGACACACAATGTAAGCTAACAGAAGGGTAGCTGCAGATATAAAAAAAATATCACTTGTATGTGTGCGAGTGTAATTAATATATATATGTCGGTGTGCTTCTGTGTTAGTGTGTGTGTGTGCGCACACACATCTGTGTGTCAGCATGTGCATCTGTGTATGTGAATCTGTGTGTCAGGGTTTGTATCAGTGTGTGTGCTTTTATGTCAGTGCGTATCTATGTCATGGTGTGTACGTGTGTGTATATCAGTGTGTATCTGTGTCACTGTGTGTATGTATACACATCTGTGTGTCAGGGTATCTGTGTTCATACACATCTGTGTGTATCTCAGTGTGTACATGTGTCATGGTGCGTGTATCAGTATTCACTGTATATTATCAGTATGTGAGTCATGCTTTGTTTTTTTTTCTGATTTGCATTGTGAGATATTGAGCTTTTTTGTACCCATCCAATAATAAAAAATGTTTACATTATTGGTTGTACGCTTTGATTGGATATTCATTGCGTGTATCGGTTTGTCAGAGTGTGCATATGTCAGTGGATGTATTTATACATGTGTGTAAATGTGCATGTATATCTGTGTAAGTATGTATGTAGTAGTATATGTGCATACAACCAAACAGTCAAACACCAGCACAACATACAAACACACTCCTGCACTCAAACTCCAATATGATATACAAACACACACACACCTTCACTCAAACACAAATACTTCACACAAATGTACATCTGCATTTAAAAGTGAACATTACATTCAAACATGTCTGCAATCAAACATTACATACAAAACACACCCCTGTATTAAAAAACTAATACTATATACAAGCACTCCTTCAAACATCAACTATACATTACTCTACAGCGCCAGAATATGCCGCAGCGCTGTACAAATATACAACCTAGAACTTTTGACTTGGAGCACCTTGGAAATATATTGAAATATTAAGGGTGCCTTGAACCTAAAAAGTTTAGGAACCACTGGATTAAAATATATACTCATCTATGCTCACGGATGCCACCCTCCCCGCTGTGGATGTGATATGCATCCCCAACTCCCAGCATACAGGATGTATTTTGATTCACATGAGGGCAGCCATACAGATGCATTCCTTACTGCTGGGCCAATGGCATAGACTCAGAGGGAACGCTCAGGAAGTTAAAAACATTAAAATCTTATCTATACTTGTGATAATACAAAGTACATATTACATTTTATGGTCTTACAAGTAACACCAAGTCATCTTAGATTTGATAGCTTCACTTAAACCGCTTTGTTATAGTAATCCTCCAGTAGGTCATCTTACAATGCAAACAAATGGCGTACTACAACATTAGCTCCTGGTACAGGAGAGTCCCTTTAACTGTCCCTGGGCGACAGTTCTCACAGATCCATCCACAGCACACTAAAAACTACAATGAGCAGTATTGGCTGTTGTTAACATATGGACATCTTAAGGCAAAAGACAAGGAGCAAGAAAAAAAAAGTTGACTTACGTGGTCTGGATCAAGTTGGCAGTGTCTTGCTAATGCATGAAGGAGCCTCTGGATGTATGGCTTAAAAATACCATGCAGTGCCAAATCATTTGTTTTGTAAAGATGCTCTCCAAGTCTATACCAGAAATTAAAGGATATTTCAGCAACCTGCAAAAAAAAAAAAAAAAATTAAAAAAATAAATAAATCAAAGTTTAAATCTAAAAATAAACTGGATTAGTTCAGAGGATGCACATTGGACAAGTTCAACAAAGAAATTAAATTGCCAAAGGATCTAAGACCCGTGTCAACATATGCATGGCAGGGGTTAAAGTTAGGGTCAGGTTATCTCTGAGGGCTGTAAAGCATACTAGGAGTCTCTAGACCAAGCATGTCAAACTCGCAGCCCACAATGGACAGCTTTGCGGCCCGGCAAGCATATGCCGGATTGCCTAGTATTCCAAGCAGAGTAGGCACCTGCTTTCCCCACATTGCAGGTGCCTACTCTGCTATAATTTACCCGGCCAGGGAATAGTCGACGGTGGATGCAGCGAGGGAGCTCAGTGTTCCTGCTCCCTCATGCGCGCCGCCTGTAGTGATGCCGGGCGCTGGAATATGACGTCATATTCCGGCGCCCAGCATCACTAAACTGCACGTGAGGGAGGAGGAAGGAGATCTCCAGACAGAAGATCCCCACTGGACCCCAGGGATAAGTACAATAATGTGTGTGCGTGTGCGTGCATCAGCGAGTGAGTGCCCGTGTGTGTCAGCGAGTGAGTATTTGGGCAGATTTGGAATTCCTGTGTTGTGACAAGGGACATAGGGCAAACTGGAAATTGGCTGGTATCATGGCTTGCAGAAGATTGGCGGGTAAAGGAATAATATAAAATCGGGTTTACTTCTGCCACGTGGAAGACAATTTGAGGAAGACAGGAAAACTGTGTACTGCAGTGTCTAAATCACCACACCCCCTTTCATCATTTTAATTTTAGGAGTTATTTTATTGTTTGCTTGTTTTGATGTTTTTCCGGTTAAGTACGGGGGAGGGTGGGTGGGCATTAAGAAGAGATCCTATGCAATTTGCATAACAGACTACTCCCACCCATAGGGTTATAGATATAGGTTCTCTTTGTAATTGCACAAGTGAGCAAAAAACTTTGAATCCTTAGCAAGGATTAATCAAAGGGCAAGCTACTGCCTCGCTCTAACTTTTGCCCATTCTCAGAGTTCTCATTCTCTGTTATTATACATGATGTATATTTCTGGGATAATAATAGTTGTATTATAAATGACTATGTAAGTATTCTAGAAAATGTCAAGTTAATATTGATTATATGTTACAGACATTAAGACTTTTTTTATATTTTGGTATGCCCCTCCTATGATAAACAATGGCCTTTGCCAAATTAAAAGAATATGAAAGTGTCTGTCTTTATTGTGTGGACTATTTATTCATGGTTAATTTAACACTGTAGGCACTATAACTGCTTCATCTCATTTAAGTAGTGTTAAAGGACCACAATAGTGCCACCCTTAGGGTCCCCCTCCCGCATTCGGTGGATGACGTCGGAAAAGGGAGCAGAGTCCCCAGCGCCGGGCTCCCCGCGTTAAACTACTCAAAAATGGCTTAACACAAAGTTGAGAGCCAGAGGACTGAGATGAACTGGTTATAGGGCCCACCGTTTCCCTTTAAAATAATTGCCTACCATGCATATTATTGCTTCATAAAAAAAAGATACTGCAGGAGAAAGCTGTAACATATTTATGGAAGCATCTTAAATATATATCAGTTGATTGCACACTGCTAGACTTGCAAATCCATTATACCTCATACTGAGGATGTCCAGCACAGATCAGGAGGAGTTCCAGTGTCCGCAGGTCTCCCAGATCCCGACATGGGGTAGACACTATTTTTTCCAGAAAGGTTTCACAAAGCTCGGTGAATATTCGACAGTAATTCAGCACCCTGAGAACAAAAATGAAAGTATAAGCAGGAGAAATTCAATGACATTAAATAAATTGTTATTACTACTAAAACTAAAGTAGCCATCAATAAGATCTTATTAAAATGAAGTAGCTGCAGTCAGGAGACAGTACAAAGGAACACAAAACTTGTGATATATACATACACACTTATATGTGAATATCGTAATCTTCATACTGATTTTTAAGGGGTACTTGGCACTATAGTCCATTGTAGTATATATGGTGCTATGAATGTCTTTGGGAGTATACCTCTGTTTACTGTTGGTAAACATGAAGTACCCAAAAGCAGAACATCCTTAAGGCCACCACTATAAATGATTGCAAAAATATTTGACCATAGGCATTTAATAACAAGAGAAAACAAAAGGTTTTACATGTCTGGAATAGTAGGCAATCTGCTTATTTGTAGCTTGCAATTCTCAATTAAAAAAAAATACAATTTAAAAAAAATAATTGACTGATGTAAGACTTACTAAAGATCTAAAAATAATTTGTGACTGTAAAACCAGCAGAGCAACATGCAGAGCGCCTCCCACAAAAAAAGAAATACATTTTAACCTGTCACGCTACTTCATCCAATAAAGCAACATCCATTACAACATTCCTGGGTCCAGCATTACCTTGATTTTCATATGCTGCAAGTGACTTGACTTTAATAGATCTGAATTTTAAATCTTGTATATATATTTTATATCAATTTCCAACTAGATCAAAAAGAGGCCCTAGCTTGTTTGCATCCTAAGTGAACATTCTACCATGACATGCTTTAGGCCTGTACATTTGTCTGGTGTGATTTGAATCCAGACCAATTGAAGGGCTTAAGGAACACCTGACTCAGCTGGCAGACGCAGTGGATACACACAGACAGGAGGCTAGTGTTACATTGACAGCATGTGCTACTGTGTCTAGTGTTACATTGACAACTTGCATGCACTAACTTTCAAACTTCTAAATTTTACTTATTTTGTAGACAAAATTTTTTACACCATTCCTGTGACCAGACTCTTCCTATGGCAATCAACTTTGTAGTCTTTTAAAACACATGTGAATACATGCTTTAATATTGAAAGAACACACACAGAGCAGCAACTGCCATGTCTCTTACTTATCTATATCCTCACGGGCTACTGCCATGTGGTAAGCAGTCTCAAGAGTGAGTACTCCCTGAAAGAGCTGTGTTCCCAGATGCAAATTGTTGTCTATGTTCTCGATGGCATACAGAGCTGAACAAACGCAATCAGATGCTGCTTCATGCAAATTGGAAGGTGTCTGGTCCTGTTGCTGCATATTAAAAAAAAAAAAAAAAAGATACTCAAATTAGAACACAACACTATTGCTGCAACGATATATATTTATATTACCTAAGTCAGTGGTTCCCACCCAAGTCCTTAATTACCCCCTACCAGTCCAGGATCTAGGGATTGTCCAGTTGTTGGAGGTTTTTTTAAACACACTTTAGACGTAACAGGGTAATTCCTAAATCCTGGACTGGTAGGGGGTACTTGAGGATGGGAACACCTGACCTAAGTGAAACTTGAATTAGGATAACAAAAATTAATCCCTGCGATGGTGAGTTTCTCTCTACCCTTCAACACCCCCCTTCCCTTTTAATTTTTTACTCTTTTTCTTGAAAATTTGAGTACTGGGGGCAACCGCTGGTTCTGCTTCTACATAACTGCATCACAAATGTATACAATTGTGTTTTTCTTTTTCTGTACGAGTTCCACTGTGATGATGTGGATGTTTTGTAAACAATTTAATAAAATATTAAGAATAGTAACCAAAAATGTGATACTAACCAATGAAGAATGGCCTATCTTATAGTTAAAGGGATTATTATTTTTTTAAACCACATATTGCTGGCACTATTACTTCCGCTCAGTGATGAAAGTGGGAACAGGGTGCTCTAAAAATGATGTTTAGAGCACCCTGTTCCCACTCTCATCACTGAGCACAAGTAATTTTGAAGTAATGCAAGTGGAGTATGAAACTCAGACTAACTCTTTAGTTAAAACTCCACAGGAGAGGTCGGGGGACCCTGCTATAGCGGAAGATCAAGCTCACCCAATGTCGCTCATACACATGCTACCAAAGGGCAATGGGCATAACAACAAATTAAGAGAAGCTGTTTGTACTAGATTACCCTGAAAAACGGTTTTTCAGTTGTTCGCTGGGGGGTGCATGGGCATTTAACAGCTTTCAAACAATCCAGCATCACATTATGTCTGTTAAAGGGTTTTTGTTTTTTTTATTTACCATCCTATAGTTTAGTATGATGGGACATATAAAAAAAAACAAAAAAAAAAAACTTTGCCTTTATATAAAGTGAAATCCAAGGAGATTGCTGTATAAATAACATTTTAGGCTCTTCCTTCCTTGAATGCACTACTGTTACAGAGCAACAGCAATTCTGACTGTTTCAAACCGATAGTAAGGTAAAGATATACAGATTTAAAAATTTCAAATGAATCAAATATAATTTTAGCTTTAAAAAAATAAACACTAAGAATAGTTAACTTAGTATAGAGAGAAGGAAAACAAAAGGTCAATGTTGCACAATACATGACCATACAGGTATTAAGTAAAGAAATGAAACAGCAGTTATATTTGTGTGTAATTACACTAATGAGCCATCAATACTTACCAGGACCTGGAAAAGCAACAACAAGAGGCGGTTGTTGGCCATGAAGTTGCTATCCAGGACTCCCAAATTAAACCAGCTGCCCAGACAACGGAAAGTCTTTATTAACATCTTCTCATTGCTGCCAGCTTTCTCAACACAGGTCATCTGGAGCCAAGATATAATAAGGTAAGAAACCAGAACCATAAAGCAGGAAAATATACATATCTACAAATACACATCAAAGGAAGTCATTTAGCATTGGTTGTCTTATTCTGATTTGCAACAAATTTCCCCACAGCATGTCTTTTTAAAATGAACTTTAAGTCTAGAGTGTGGGTTCCTACAAACAGGGGGACTGTCCATGGTCTTGAAAATACAGTAAAGTCAGTGTCCTCTTAATCAAAAAGACAACACCGATGACTTTCACCAGGGCCCAAAACGGTAACAGGTGATCACTGGGTCGCTCTTTTGTGTGCTTTAGTGAAAAATACAGAAACTATTTACCATGACCAGACACAGCTTAAACCAAAAATATATACTAGCATTTAATATTACATTATAGATTGTGACACTGAAATTATAAACTTGTAATAGAGAATAAATCAATGTGAAGGAGGGCCCATTTCACAATATAGGAGAAACTATTTGAAAACTGATGGACAGTTTTTACACTGTATGTGGAACGATAAGAGTAAGCAGTTGTCATGTAAACAAATGACTGATCTCAATAGGAATCTGACATCTGTACTGTCAAGTCAGCAATATACATCAGACAAGATAAGTTTTGTTCACATCAGCAAAAAAATGCGTGGGCCAGGAAGATCAGGAGGGCTACCCAGAGTGAACATATCAGTGAGCTAAGGATACTAAGGAAAATTCTATCAGGCTGATCCTACTACTTAATACCAAATACTTTTTTGGTGTGTTATACTGCACTGCATGTCATGCATAAATAGTGCATTACTTGAGCAAAACACTACTGATGCTTGTTTAACATATCTGGAAAAGCATCACATGAAAACTCAAAAGGCAAAGTCAGCAAAGGCATTAGCGATGACGTTTAAGATAAGAAGAGGATTGCTCCTGCAAAAAAAAAAAAACTGACAAATTAAAAAGCAGCATAGCACATGCCTACTCGTACACAGATAAGCTGGAATTTTAAAAAAATAAATAAAAACACATTTTCCTGTATTTTACTCTCAAAGAAGGTATGTGATATTCTGCTTTTTGATTTTACTTTTTTTTTTTACATATAAATGGACACTTGAATAAAGGCTGAGTTTTACATCACATGAAGAGGAGCACAATTATTATTTTTTTTTTTTTACTTGATTCTACTACACAAGGTTAAAATCCGACTGTGTTTGCTTTTCATTGATATAGGGAATGCCCTGTCCCTGGATTCCTGTCTCCACCATCTCTGGCTAGCAAGTTTGTTTATTTTTACTATTCTTGAAATGGTAACATCTAAATAACCGATTACAGTTCAAAGAAGTAGCTTGATTACTCTCAATGGTTGAATGCTAGTTTTGTTATAAAGATCTCCAACAACAACAACAACAAAGCCCTTAGGGAAATAGTTTCAGTTTGCTTGTTTTGTACCAAACGGGATGTTATATAAAAATTCTCTACCCTCGTCACTTCAGGTGACGTGGTTGCATCGGAAGTGAGGCCGAATCAGCTGGATCTCTGTGCTGCACCAGGAGGTGAGTATGAGATCTTTACGGGGCGCTGTGATGGTGGGCTGTGTCTGAACATAAAGTCACTGATGTGCAGTATCGGAGTATGGTTTTCTGACACTAGTAGTGCATATGCACCAATATCAGCTGTGCAGGATGCCTGCGCATTACAGGGTATTCTGGTCCAGCGTATGCACAGTAGCATTATCAGATTAACCTACCCTGTAGTGGGCATGCATCCTGCACAGCTGATGTTGGTGCATGCCCACTACTAGTGTCAAAAAAAGCCTACCAACTACCTCGCATGCGCAGTATACACATCACATGGCGGCATCCCATAAGGATCTTATATCCCCCTCCTGGTAGAGTGCAGGCCCACCATACGGTTAAGCAGACATCCAGCTGATTCAGCCTCATAACCGGTGAGGTTGCATCACCGTAAATGACGAGAGTATGGAATTTTGATAACAAGGGACACTTTGGGTCCCTAAAGCACTTTATATTGATATCCAATGTAGTTAAATTGGCACTTTTATCAATTAATCTTGGTACACATTCCTAGCTGTCAGATAGCCAGTCATGTTACTTCCTGGTTGATTAGCTCAGTGGAGCTAAACTTCTAGAGACAGGTAATTGCTCAGAGCACCTGCCTCGCAAAGACTTCTCATTGAGTTGCATGGGGAAGTCTATGACTAGACAGCCAAAGAAGTATGGGATGAGTTACAAGTGCATGCAAATTCTTGAGATAATATTTCTGTAGATTTGCAAGCTGTTTTAGATATTCTCCCAATACAAAAATGCATAACTAAAACTTATGCACATTTTCATTGAGGGGTTTATCAACAAAATAGGTGATGAATACCAAAGCCTTTGCTGCGTGGAAGACACACAGAGAAAATAACCTTTCTCCCTTCAAAATTCCAGAATACATGCACCTAGCACCAAGCATCACATAGGCAGGTAAATTTGTCATGATACACATAACTTATGGTCATTTTAAAAAGCATACAAGTTTATCTATACATCGTGCAACGGTTTACATTATTACAAATTTCCAATTTAAAATCTCTAGCCTCATCTGTCAATCACTTTATAGCTTATAAGCCAACTATTTTCTGAATGAATTACGGTTTTTGATTCATGGTATTGATGCTCTCTTTGCAACTATCTGCTTACCAAAAATAAATATTGCTATAATTTTTTTCCAGTGCATGCTTTTAAAGCAGTTGCATTAAACCTACAAGTTAACACACAATCTACTCACCAAAAGAGAAACCACAGTACTGGAATAATAAGCCAAGTCTTCAATGATTTCTGCGCGTCGATTCGCACCAATGCGCAAGGATCGACTGTGAACCTCTTCAGGTAATACAGTTAAAATCTCCAAGAGGAAGGGCAATGAAGACACATCATTACGATATCTACAAAGAGAGGCAACACCTTTTAGTGCAAATCAGAAACTGGAAAAAAGCTGTAATTCTGTGAGATAGGAAAAGGCAGTTTCATTCAGGATTGGTAATATATACTTACGATTCTACTAGCGTCTGAACACAGCCTTTCCAGGAAGCCATCTGCAGGGCCAGATCTGCTATTGCTAAAGCCAGCTGCAAAATAAACCAGTGTTAACGGTGTGCTTTTGGCCAATGTATAGTAAAAGAGATTTGATATACATGTGTTCTGTTTTTAAAGGAGCCTATAGGGTCAGGAACACAAACATGTATTCCTGACCCTATAGTGTTAAAATCACTATCTAGCCCCCTTTGCTTCCCTAAAGATAGTAAAATCTTACTTGTATTCAAGTCTGAAGCTGCTGTCTCTGCCTGTGAACTTCCTCTGACAGACGTGGAGGCCTGATCCAATCACAATGCTTCCCCATAGGATTGGCTGAGACTGACAAGGAGGCAGATCAGAGGCAGAGCCAGCGCAATTTAAACACAGCCCTGGCCTCTCCTCATAGAGATGAACTGAATCAATGAATCTATGAGGAAAGTTCAGTATCTCCATGCAGAGGGAGGAGATACTGAATGTTTGGATGCATTTTAGGCAGCCATGACCCAGGAAGGATCTCTAACAGCCATCTGAGGAGTGGCCAGTGAACTTATCACTACGCTGTAATGTAAACACTGCATTTTCTCTGAAAAGATAGTGTTTACAGCAAAAAGCCTGAAGGTAATGATTCTACTCACCAAAACAAATTCACTCAGCTGTAGTTCTGGTGACTATAGTGTCCCTTTAATAAGCGTATGCACCTGCAATGTACATCACTACCTAATAGGCTGTTGTAACCTGCATCATTTGATATAACCTACCAAGTTAGAAAAGGCAATCAAAATACACTCTAGGCATTATAATCACTTCATCTCATTGAAGCAATGTGCCTTTATTCTACATTAAAAACTATTTTCAACAGTTTAACACTGAATAAGAATTCCCAGCAGCCCGCATCCTAGCAAAGGCGGAGATTACCATCTGCAGTACAGAGGGACCAGGCTAGACACGAATGCAGCATTAAAATTTTTGAAAACCGTTTAACGTTAAATGTTGGAAACGCACAAGAAGGAAAGAGGCACTATAATCACTTCAATGTGATAAAGTGGTTATAGTACCTAGAGTGACCCCTTTAATTCCAGGTTAAGAAAAAAAAGCAGTGTTCAGTTTTGTGCTAAAAAAATAAGGCAGTATTCCTACCTGAGTTACAATTATAGGAGATAAGTCTTTCAAGTTCTGGATATGTGACAACAGGGAATCCCTCAGTGAGGCATGGGAGTCTGCAGGGAGTTCATAGAAAGAGGTCTGAATCTTCATCTTCATCGTCTGTGCAGCAAAATAGCAGGACTCCACATCTTGACGGATCTGAAGCAGCTGGTCTGAGATTTCCCAAGCATAGACCTTGAAAAACCACAAGACAAGTAAATAAGTAAATTAACAACGTGAATGACAGCATTTCACCTCATACAACACATTACCTACTCCCATATGGTTAAATTAATCTGGTCAATTGTCACATAGTTTTAGTACTACAAATGCAATTTAAAAAAAAAATAAAAAAAAAATACACACACACACACACACACACACACACACACACACACTAACTAACTTCTATACATTACAGAATTATGCAGGAAAGAAAAAGATAATCCAAAACAGACATGACATTTCCAAGGTTCCTTAGGAATTTAACACACACAAATCAATACCACGATAGCATGAAGTGCCATGAAGATGTTTAGTAGTTAAAAAGTTTAGTGTAAAAATCCCTGGTCCAATATACAATTGCTAACATGACAGATGAAACCCTATTTTGAAGATATCACATTTCCCTTCACGTTATTTAGTGTTTTCTTAAATGACCTCTGTTATGGTCAGTTATGTCAGACAAGTTTCAAAACATAGTGGATCTTTCCACTGACTAAATAGGCTGGGCGTGGTAAACAGAAAACAAAACTTGCCACTAGTGTAAAAGTAGTCACACCAAAGAAAGATCAGCTGTCTGTAACTAAACTCCTTTACAGTGCCAAGGACAGTATAAGATCCTAATGTGGACAACTCTGAAGGTATAAGTCCGTGCTCGAATACATGACGGCAAGTTTCAGTTCACTAATAAGGTGACTTTTTTTATTTGGTGGTTACTCAAACAGCATGTTTATGGTTATGTGTAGAATTTGAAAATATTTCACAGGTTAAAAACCTTTGCTGCAAGAAAGACAGAGTGCCAAAAAAAAAAAAATGTAATGAAATATGTGGAATATAAAAGTTTTCTTAGAATTCTCATCTGAGTAATTGACACACCTAGCATATAATAATAGTGCTAGGCTACAATGCCACCCAGATACTCTTTAATCACAAACCACAATACACTAGTCAGGTTCTAGGGCTGGCATAATTTATAGTTGTATATCTGGTTTGGGCACATATGACTATTTTAAAGAGTTGCAAAGCAATCATGGGAGCACATTAATAAGATCACAATTCAGTATTCGAATCTCAGCCAACTTATTCTACCCACAGTAAATCAATAGAAAGAATGTAGGTTGGCAAATGCAAGTCAATTTCAACCACTGCCCCAATAATATTTGTGCATAATTATATTAAACAGAAAGCACACCATTTCCAAGTTTCAATGCAATTCCTTTCTTTGACAAACATGGTATGAGCTACTGCAGTTCTATTACTAAAAGTCTGAATCAGGTCATGTCCCATGCTAAAATCAGTTGAAGTTACATAGACCAGTCAAAGTATTTAGTGAGTCTTGGACTCATGTCATTTTATCTCTTAGAATATGAAGATGATATCAGCCAATGAGGCAGAGATATATGTAGCTTAGATCAAATGGATATTCAGTGATTCCCCTGTGAAATTGCACAGTGAAAGCGTTTATTAGCTGGTATGGCTTTTTTTTTTTTTACCTATGATGAATGGGATGAATATAAATTGAGGATCTATTTAATAAAATAAACTATGCAAGTACTTTAGATCATTATGGTGCTTGTGGTATTTTCACAGAGTATCTTAGCAATCACTGAAATTTACATTACTTTTACTTTCTACATCATAAACAACTATTTACTTGACAACTAGAACCTATAACAGACACATTATCAAAGTCTCCCAAGGTAGGAGAAATAGTGTTTTTATATGCCAGTTACTAACATTACAGTTTGGGTAAAAATATTGTAATTAATTGGCTGCACCACCAGGGAAATTGTAGTACTAGGTGTAGTTGTTTAATAACTTGCTGTTGTGAGAAGATAGTGGAAATAAAGAAAAAAATATATACACAAAATGTATTATATTCAAGAGGTTGTAATGTTCATGATCCCTGAACATAAATATGAACAAGCTAAACATTACACAAAATGTCTGAAATAATAAAACCGTTTCGCAAACCAACCCCTAATTCAGGAGTGTGGAAGCAGCTCTCTGCATCATGAACATTGCTATAAAGCAAAACTGTTATGGTACTTCAGAGTCTTTTTATAGTGATCACTTTCCTGGAAATTACACAATTGAATAAAAACAAGGAAAATCACCAATAACGTGTGCTAATGGTTTGTTTTCTGTTGGGGATGTCATGTAATGCTCCACATGATTCTAAATTGTATATTAACGATTTATCAAGTGACATAACTATCGAGTTCAGGCTAGGTACAGCAAGGAAACAAAGTGCAGATAAAAAGGAAAACAAACGTTTTGGCTTCTCCTCTAAAAATATATGGTTTTGGGGCACAACTCTTAATTATTGATCTTCCGGTGTTTCGATCAGACACACTGCCAGATGTGTATAAAATCAAGCACCTGGCCATGCAGTTTGCATTTATAAACATTTGTGTAAAAAAAAAAAAAAAAAAAAAAAAAAAAAGGTTCTTTCTAAATCGTTCAGAGAATCCAAGTGTATTACTGTGGTAGATTGCCACCTGCGCAACAAGTCAGTTCATGAAATTTCATCCCTGCTAGGTATTCCACGTCCAACTGTTAGCAATATTATTGGAAAATGGAAGCATTTAGGAACAGCAGCAACTCAGTCACGAAGCATAAGGGCACATAAGGTCACAGATCATGGTCTCAGAGTGATGAGGTGCATGATGCGTAAGTCACCAACGCTCTACTGATACCATTGCTGAAGAGTTCCAAACATCAACGGAAATTAATATCAGCACAAAAACGGTATAAGGATTTTAATTGAACTGGTTTAATGGTCGAGCAGCTGCATGCAAGCCTCTCATCCCGAAGTACAATGTAAAGCATTGGATCGAGTGGTGTAAAGCATGCCACCAAATGATGCTTCTGATTGGCAGTCTTCTGGGTGAGTCTTGATTGGCAGATACCAGAAAAACATTGCATGACAGCCTTGCACCAACTGTAAAGTTTTGTTGTGGAGGGATAATGGTATGGGGCTGTTTTTCAGGAGTTGGGCTAGGTCGATTAATCCAGTGAATGGAAATCTTAATGCTTCAGCATACCAAGACATTTTGGACAATGCTATGCTTCCAACTTTTGTGGAAAGCAATTTTCTATCACAGCATGATTGTACCCCACTGCAAAAAGCAATGTCAATAAAACCATGGTTGGACAAGTTTGGTGTGAAAGAACTTGACTTGCCCACACAGAGCCCTAACCTCAACCGCATCAAACACCTTTGGGATGACCTGGAACAGAGATTACGAGCCAGGCCTTCTCGTCCATCATCAGTGCCTGACCTCATAGATGTTGTACTGGATGAATGGGCAAACATTCCCACAGAAACACTCCAAGATCTTGTGGAAGGCCTTCCTAGAAGAGTGGAAGCGGTTATAACTGCAAAGGGGGAGGGGTCAACTACATATTAAAGGATCACTATAATGTCAAGAAAACAAATTCGGTTTTCCTGACACTATAGTACCCTGAGGGTGCCCCCACCCTCAGGTTCCCCCTTCCGTGATGCTGAAGGGGTTAAAACTCCTTTCAGTTACTCACCTTCTTCCACTGCTGGGCTCCCTTCCCTCTCCTCCCCAGCCGACGTCAGCGCAGCGGAATGCGCGGCAGTGCCGCGCGCGCATTCAAAGTGTCCATAGGAAAGCATTTTTCAATGCTTTCCTATGGACGCTCTGCATGATGAAAGCATAATATGCCTCTAATGGCTGTCCAGAAGACAGGTTTCTCTGAAACTGCTATGTTTGCATCTGAAGGGTTAATACTAGAGGGACCTGGCACCCAGACCACTTAATTGAGCTGAAGTGGTCTGGGTGACTATAGTGTCCCTTTAATGTCTATGTATTGTAAAATCCAATGTCATGAAAGTCCCTGTTCGTGTAATGGTCTGGTGTCCAATACATTTGTCCATGTAGTGTATGTTCAATGTCAAAATATAATACCATATCTATGATTGACAAGGAGCAAGGATACCGGTGTCCAGTTCCAGAATACAAGTAAAATACAGCAATGTGGAGTTTTACATTTAATAGTATTTACAGACCTCACAAAACACACATTTGCTAAACATAAGGGATAAATATACATAATATTAAATATGTTGAAAAGTCATAGTTCATCCCCCCCTTTAAAGCCAACTGAGGTTCACTAAACCAGGAATAGTGGAGTATAAGCAATTTACTGCAAATTTCAGAGCTGGAAATTAATTACATTTAGCTAAAATTCTGTAATTCCTTAGACAACATCTTCAATTCTCAGTTTAGTGAATAAACCCCGCTGACTCTTTACTCAAATAGCATTACATTAATTTAATTATTATTTTGACGATCGTTTTAAATATATCTTACATAGATGATCCAAATGCAAGTCCAATATAATCACACGTTCACAAGTGAATGTGCAATATCAACTCCATCTCAAAAATAACTCAAAAATTTCACATTCAAAACCAACAATCACATTAATCCACCATATTAACACCAGGCCCATCGTTGCAAAACCCAAATCATTCAGCAGTTTGCTAGCCCAGTCTGCACATCCATGTAACCAGTGATTACTGTCGGTACATGACTAATATGTTACATACATGTAACTTCCTGTATGTCTCTACCGTGCCCTAGTGAGAGCTCCACCCAAACCCCAATCCATGTACCCGGCTTTCAGCGCTCACCGAGCCTAACTCGTGTTCCCCAGTCCCCAACACGCCCATCCCAGCCATGCCGCCCAGCCAGCCAGCCCTCACATATCCCGCCAGCCATGCCGCCCAGCCAGCCAGCCCTCACATATCCCGCCAGCCATGGCCCATGCCGCCCTCCCCCCCCGGTAGTAACACGCTAGCTCTTGCCCGGCCGCTGACACCAGACACCTGGTAGGCCGCTCCCCCGGCTGGCACGGGCTCCCCTCTCCCAGGCATGGCATAGGCCGCTCACCGATCTCTGCAGCTCCCCCAGCCATAGTGAGGCCCTCTCCTTGCCGCTGGGATCCGGGTCGTGGTACAGGGCCTGCACGGCCTGATACACGGTCTGCAGGCCGGGCTTCCCCTCCATGTCTCGGTCACGATTTCTCAACCTCCGGTACTTTTACATCGGAGTAACCCCAGGCTTCATCCTCCTTCTCGGCCGAAAAACCGCGGCTGTGCACCCGACAAACAGGCCCGGTGGGGAATAAGGGTCGCGCGGCTGTGCGTTCCGCCTCCACTCCCCCAGGTAGGTCAGGGAAGGGGGTGGCTGAACACCTGTACGGACTCGTTCCCTGTGCACAGGCAGACTCTCCACCTCTCCGGCACCTCAGGAAGGCGGCTGCTTCCCGGGCAGGATGTGCGTCACCGGATACTACCTCCGAGTCCGTTTGGGATGTGTGTCCCCCTGTTGTACGGAATGGTCATACCGGAAGCGTGTTACTCGAGGCTGTGCGTGAGGCCGCAATAACAATCAGCATGAATAAAATTAAAAATAATAAATAAAAACTGCCCGGGCCCTCTTTGACTTGTGGTTTATTGTTGAGATTGCTGTGTTTGTAGAGGGACTGACTGTGGGACTTGTACTACACAACCAAACACAGACATTCTATCCAGCCAATACGTACGTGGATATCCACATGGCCAAAGTTCGCTTGGCACTCCATTAGCAATGTGATGTTAACAAACATTTTCTTCTTGTATGATTACATTTGTACTTAATCGCAGATGTGTTTTATTTATGCCGCACAGTGTATTGACACTTGATAAATAGCAATTAAAAATATATATGATGAGCAGATTTATTAAAGTGTCCCAGAAATGGAGCAAACACCATGGAAACCAGTAGAATAACATTATATTGGTAAATATGCTACTTTTACAACTTTGCACCATGTTTCAGATTTGTTTGTTTGTTTGTTTATTTTTAAGAAAGTTGTGTAATACTTATAGTGGTTTTTTTTTGTTATCCAGCAGTATATGAAAGCTTTTCTTTGCACATGCCTGTAGCTTTTAACATATTTGCACATTTTGGTAGGTATTATTCTACCATACTATAAACATGTTTTTTTGTTTTAAATGGGAGGTGCTAGAATTAGTCCTGATTTCAGTTTCACAAGGGTATGCAACCATCAGCACTCCACGTGTTGCAGACTAAATCTCCCTTGATACTTTGCCAGCAATATGTCTGTAAGAGCATTACGAGAGAAGTTCAACCTCTGAAGTGCAAAAGGTTGCCTAACACAGTCCTCCACATTCCTGATTTTGTTCCCTGGTGTCCTGCGGCAGGGACATAAGGGAATCGAAACCAGTCATCACAGAGAGAACATACAGGTGATACTTGAAAAATTAGAATATCGTGCAAAAGTTCATTTATTTCAGTAATGCAACGTAAAAGGAATACTAATATATGAGATAGACGCATTACATGCAGAGCAAGATAGTTCAAGCCGTGATTTGTTATAACTGCGATGATTATGGCTTACAGCTCATGAAAACCCCAAATCCACAATCTCAGTAAATTAGAATATTGTGAAAAGGTGCAATATGAAGACTGCTGACCTGACAATTGTGCAGAAAACCATCATTGACCCCCTCCAAGGAGGGAAAGCCTCAAAAGGGTAATTGCGAAGGAAGTTGAATGTTCTTAAAGTGCTGTATCAAAGCACATTAATAGAAAGTTATGTGGAAGGGAAAAGTGTGGAAGAAAAAGGTGCACAGGGATGACCGCAGCCTGGACAGGATTGTCAGGAAAAGGCCATTCAAATGTGTTGAGGACTTTCACGAGGAGTGGACCGAGGCTGGAGTCAGTGCATCAAGAGCCACCACACACAGACAGATCCTGGACAGGGGCTTCAGATGTTGTATTCCTCTTGTCAAGCCGCTCCTGAACAACAAACAACGTCAGAAGCGTCTTACCTGGGCTAAAGAAAAACAGACCTGGTCTGTTGCTCAGTGGTCCAAAGTCATCTTTTCTGATGAGAGCAACATTTGCATCTCATTTGGAAACCAATGACCCAGAGTCTGGAGGAAGAATGGAGAGGCACACACTGCAAGATGCTTGAAGTCCAGTGTGAAGTTTCCACAGTCTGTGTTGATTCGGGGAGCCATGTCATCTGCTGGTTTTGGTACACTGTGCTTCATTAAGTCCAGGGTCAACGCAGCCGTCTACCAGGAGATTTTGGAGCACTTCATGTTTCCTTCCGTAGACAAGCTTTATGGGGATGTTGACTTCATTTTCCAGCATGACTTGGCACCTGCCCACACTGCCAAAAAGCACCAAAGCCTGGTTCAATGACCGTGGGATTACTATGCTTGATTGGCCAGCAAACTCGCCTGTCCTGAACCCCATAGAGAATCTATGGGGCATTGCAAAGAGAAAGATGAGAGACATGAGACCGAACAATGCAGAAGAGCTGAAGGCCGCTATTGAAGCATCCTGGTCTTCCATAACACCTCATCAGTGCCACAGGCTGATAGCTTCCATGCCATGCCGCATTGAGGCAGTAATTGCTGCAAAAGCGGCCCAAACCAAGTACTAAGTTCATATGCATGCTCATACTTTTCAGAGGTCCGATATTGTTCTATGTGCACTCCTTGTTTCACTGATTGCATGTAATATTCTAATTTACTGAGATTGTGGATTTGGGGTTTTCATGAGCTATAAGCCATCATCATCACACTTATGACAAATCATGGCTTGAGCTATCTTGCTTTGCATGCAATGCGTCTATCTCATATTTAATTTCCCCTTTTACGTTGCATTCCTGAAATAAATTAACTTTTGCACGATATTCAAATTTTTCGAGTATCACCTGTATATTCCTACATTTCAAAAGGTCAAAGAGACACTTTAATTTTAGGGGTGTAAGTGGTGGTGGGCTGTTTTCAGAACATTTAGATGACTTACAAATAACAATATATACAACAAGAGTGTAGTGTATTGCAACAAAGACAGAACTCTCGGCAGGGGCAAAAGTTTAGAGAAGCTCAGTAGCTTTCCCTTCGGTTAGTCCCCGCTAAGATAAAGTGTAATGTAGAACAAGGGACCTAATTTACACATGTATCTTATTTTTCTTATCATTTACTAAGCACTCCCTGCTTCCCCACATTTAGCTTCGTACTTTATTAAAGGGACACTATAGTCACCCAGACTACTTCATCTCAATGAAGTGGTCTGGGCGCCAGGTCCCTCAGGTTTTAACCCTTCAGATGTAAACATAACAGTTTCAGAGAAACTGCTATGTTTACATTGCAGGGTTAATCCAACCTCTAGTGGCTGTTTTCCTGACAGCCTCTAGAGGCGCATCTGCGATGCTGGATGCGAAATTTGAATCCAGCCTGCAGAACATCCATAAGAAAGCATTGAGAAATGCTTTCCTATGGACTGTTTGAATGCGCGCACCCCGCCTGCGCATTCCGCTCCATTTGGGAGCTGACGTATGTGGGGTAGGAGAGGCCACCAGCGCCGAGGGAGCACGGCGCTGGAATAAGGTAAGCTGCTAAACGGGTTTTAACCACTTCAGCGCCACAGGAGAGGGACCCTGAGGGCACTATAGTGTCAGGAAAACCGCTTTGTGATCCTTTTACGCTCCTTCCCCTGTCCACCCCACACTCCCTACCAGAGCATGCACTCTGAGCGAGCAAAACGGTTAGACCACGGAGGCCTCTATTGATGTCAGACAGAGGAGGGAGGTCAGCATTAGTAGCTTCACCTGGCGCTGGATGTCATGTACGTTTCAAAACCTATTATTGCAGGATTAGACCTAACAGTAATGCCGAATAGGGCATTTTAACTTAATAGAAATATTTGTTGCATAAGGGTTACAGTAAACCTTTAAAGGTACATTTCTTTGGATATATAATGCTCTGTATTTTAAAGGGACACTGTGATCACCTAAACAGCTTTAGCTTAATGAAGCCGTTTTGGTATGCAGATCGTGCCCTTGCAGTCTCACTACTCAATTCTTTTCCATTTAGGAGTTAAATCATTTGTTTATAGAGCCATAGTCACACCTCCCTGCATGAGACTCACACAACCTTCCTAAACCCTTCCTATAAAGGTCATCTAATGTTTACACTTCCTTTATTGCAAATTCTGTTTAATTTAGAATTTCTTATCTTCTGCTTTATTAAAAGCCCTGCTCTGCAGGATCCTCCTGTATGTAATTAAAGTTCAATTTACGGAGCAGGAGATAAAATATATATATTTTTTAAATGAAACCATATTGTTTTCATGTAGGTTGTGTCAGTCACAGTCAGGGGAGGTGTGACTAGGGCTGCATAAATAGTAGTGAAACATGATCTATACAGAAAACCGCTTCATTAAGCTAAAGTTGTTTTGGTGACTATAGTGTCCCTTTAATGTACACTAAAGATGTAGCATTGACATCACGATGCAGTTCAATCAGGGCTCAGCCAGGGGACACATTGCATTGGAGGAGGAATTCTGTTTATCCTTCTTTTCCTATGCCGTCTATGGTGATTGCCAGAGCAAAGTTTATAAAAATGATTAACTGGGAGCCAAGATGTATTTGCAATGTCCTCCTGGAGGAGGAGAGCTCCCCGCCCAGTGCTGGAAAAAGGTAAGTTTTAACCCCTTTTCCCTTTCCAGAGGCGGGCGGGAGGGGGACCCTGAGGGTGGGGGCACCCTCAGGGCACTATAGTGCCAGGAAAACGAGTATGTTTTCCTGGCACTATAGTGGTCCTTTAAGTGGTTAAGGTGTATCAGCAAAAAGCATTCCAATTCTATAGGAGTAGATAGGAGACAAGCTGCAAGATAATGACCCCAAAAGGCTGTCATAATTTTCATGATACTGGATATAGAGTCCTACCATATATGCTTTAGTGTTAATTTCAGTGAGATGGGTTCTCTGGCTGTTGGCAAAGGAAATAACAGTTTGCTATAGCCAGGAATATAGTATGGATTATATAGTGCTGTCACTCAAGCCTGATGGCAGAAAATGTAGTTAAATAATTTGTTAAAGAAAAATATTTTTTGCACCCAAGGAAGTCCTCCCACCCCCCAAGCTGGGGTCTTCTATTAGTAACGAATAACACTAAATTATTTTTCTTCGAACAGTAGAGATTGTCCCCCTCACAAGGTCTGTGAGATTTGCCTCAGGCAATTTAGCAGGACTCAGCTACATGTGCTTTCCATAGGGACAGGAGGTAGCAGAGTGCTATAATTAAACTGTGGCATGCAAACTTTCTCCATGACAGCATGTCTCTCTCTGAGATGAGTAGTGATCTCACTTGCAAAAGTTCATCTAAATTGCTGAGTAGTTCTTTAGCTGTCTTCGCAATGTAGAATCTCTGTTAGGAAGGGGCTCCACAAGCACATCATTATTCCAGGACACCGCAGCAGCTGTGAAACAAGATTTTACTGCATAGATTATAGATTCCTCGAGAGCAGTTGTCCTGATTAGAAAGAAGTGACGACTGCATAGGCAGCATTCCTTGGTATGTCAAGTACCCTCTTTAAGGCAGCAAGAAACTAGCGACAATTATAACTAATAGGTATTAAAAGGAAAAAGCGAAAGAGATGGACTTAAAGGACCACTATAGGCACCCAGACCACTTCAGCTCAATGAAGTGGCCTGGGTGCCAGGTCCCTCTAGTTTTAACCTTGCAGCTGAAAACATAGCAGTTTCAGAGAAACTGCTATGTTTACATTGAGGGTTAATCCAGCATCTAGTGGCTGTCTCACTGACAGCCACTAGAGGCCGCTTCCACGATTCTCACTGTGAAAATCACAGTGAGAAGACGCTGACGTCCATAGGAAAGCATTGAATAATGCTCTCCCATGGGCGGTTTGAATGCGCATGTGGCTCTTGCTGCGCATGCGCATTCGGCGCTGGTGTTGGTAGGAGGAGGAGAGTTCCCCAGTGCAGAGGGAGCCTGGAGCTGGAGAAAGGTAAGTGATTAACCCCTTCAGCCCCCTAGAGCCCGGTGGGAGGGGGGCCATGAGGGTGGGGGGGACCTAAGGACTACATAGGAAAATGAGTTTGTTTTCCTGGCACTATAGTGGTCCTTTAAATTCAAATTAGCTGCCAAACTATATAAGCAACCCACGGTTCACAGTGTACAAGTAACAACAAAAGCAGAAGTTGCTTTGTCTTGCGAAACCGTATGAGAATGACCAGTGTGTCTAAGTAATATTGTGTGACTTAAAAGAACTTGATACATTTAATGGCCCAGTGCTAGACAGGGCTGGATTAACATACTGGCTGATGGAGCTGCAGCTCCAGGCCCAGGCCCATTGATATATCTTTTTTTTTTCTTACATTTTTTTTTTTTTTTTCACACACTACTCTTAGGGATTCCACCTGGCTTTTATTTTATTTGCACAGCCAGTATTTGAGGCTGCCTGGCTGGTGCCAATATTGCAGTGATACTGGCAATACAAATGCTGGTATTTTTCTCAGTATAAACAAGAGATTACTCTGCAATACCAGCACTGGCCAGTAGGGGTCACTGTGTATGGAGAGAGGCAGGGATAGGAAGTTCCAGCATATCCCTCCCTGCCTATCTATACTCACTGATCTGCATGGGTGCAGCTACAGAGCGTCTAGACAGCAACTCCCACCCTGCAGAGATAACACACAGCTCAGGGAAGTAAGGGATGGGGAAAGGCTGCAAGGAGACATACACTGATACACTAAGGGGCACTGGGAGACATTATGGCAGACACTAACACTAAGGGACATTGGGAGACATTATGGCAGACACTGAGACACTAAGGGATACTGGGAGACATTATGGCAGACACTGAGACACTAAGGGACACTGGGAGACATTATGGCAGACACTGGGAGACATTATGGCAGACACTGGGACACTAAGGGACACTGGGAGACATTATGGCAGACAATGAGACACTAAGGGACATTGGGAGACATTATGGCAGACACTGAGACACTAAGGGACACTGGGAGACATTATGGTATCCCCATGTCTCTCTGCCAGTGTCCCTGGTGTCTCAGTGCCCCCTAGTCTCCCAGTGCCCCCTGTCTGCCAGTGTCTCACTGTCCCCATGTCTCCTAGTGCCTCCATGTCTCCCAGTGCCTCAGGTGTCTCAATGTCCCCATGTCTCCAAGCTAGTGTCCCTAGTGTCTGTGGCCCTGGTGTCTCCTTGTCCCCATGTCTCCCAGTGCCCCCATGTCTCAATGTCCCCATGTCCCCCAGTCAGTGTCTCTAGTGTCTGTGTGCCTGGTGTCTATGTCCCCATGTCTTCAAGTGTCCCCTATTTTCCCAGTGTCCCCATGCGTACCAGCCAGAGTCCCCTAGTCTCCCAGTGTCACTGGTGTCTCCGTGTCCCTAGGTCTCCCTGTGTCCCCAGGTCTTCCCGTCTTCCTAGTGACATGGGGACCCTGGGATACATGGGGACACAGGGAGACACTGATACATAGGAACACTGAGACCTGGAGTAATCAACACATGGGGGCACTGGGAGACATGGAGCCACTGGGAGGAATCCATCTATACAGCAGAATCAAACTAAGTAGTTTTTTGGTGATTTTACAACATTTTCTCTTATGTCACTCGTTGTGATTTACATCATGTGATGTCACCCATACATATTTAATTTTGCAAATTAGCAAGGCCGGTATGTTTTTCCAAGAAAGGTGGCAACCCTAACTACTTTTCACATACTCTTACTTAAGTATGGAAACTTAAGAGGGATGTATGGGAACAAAACTTGTGTGGACTGGCTGACAATGAAAATAGCTAAAGGGACACTAGAGTCACCAGAAGAACTACAGCTTATTGAATTTGTTCTGGTGAGTAGAATCATTACCGTCAGGCTTTTTGCTGTAAACACTGTCTTTTCAGAGAAAATGCAGTCTTTACATTACAGCCTAGTGATAACTTCACTGGCCACTCCTTAGATGGCTGTTAGAGATCCTTCCTGGGTCATGGCTGCCTAAAATGCATCCAAACATTCAGTTTCTCCTCCCTCTGCATGCAGACACTGAACTTTCCTCATAGAGATTCATTGATTTAATTCATCTCTATGAGGAGATGCTGATTGGCCAGGGCTGTGTTTGAATCATGCTGGCTCTGCCCCTGATCTGCCTCTTTGTCAGTCTCAGCCAATCCTATGGGGAAGCACTGTGATTGGATTAGGCCATCACTTCTAATGATGTCAGCAGACTGCTTGTTTTTCTGAGTCTAACAGCATGAGTCAGGCTTGAATACAGTAAGATTTTGCAATATTTATGGAGGCATGAGGGGCCCAGGGGGGCTAGATGGTGGTGTTAACACTATAGGGTCATGAATTCATGTTTGTGTTCCTGACCCTATAGGAGCGAGCGCATCATTAGATGCATTTATGCAAAGCTCAGGATGCTGTCTGCATAGTATGCCCTTAGTTGGCCAGCTGCATGATTGGCAGGCAGTCTGACATGCATTTATACCAGGCTGGCCTTCTAATTCTTTGGGCAGACATATCCTCTTTTTGGGCATGTTCGCCCCTTTTGGCAAGTTACGTGATTTGTGTCAGTGGCACACCCTTTTACCCCGCCCATTAACTTCCTGCTTGACTGGACACTGCTGTTAGGGGTTATGGATTTACTTAAAAGATGAAAACATAAATTAGAGAGAGATTAGCCTAGGGTATGTGTTTTATTATAGCGGCTGTTTTCTTTCTCTCCAGCACCATTTCCATCAGATACATGACGCTTGGGAGTGTTTTACTGTTTTTGGTCGATATGATTATATAATTAGGCTCGTCATAATTGTCAGCACCAGGCCCGCTGGGCTCTTAATCTGGCCCTGGTGCTAGAGGATGATGCATTCCAATCAGCTCACATGACACACATTTTCTTCAGCAGTAAAACAAAAGACAATAATATTGATATGAGAATTTTGTGTAAAAAAAAAGTGTAAGTATAAGGGGAGAAAAATCCTCAATGGATTGCTCAGCAGAGTGGGCAGCTTTGTGCATATGTTCTGCTGCAGTCTGAAATGTTCTAAGCAGGATCATAAACAAAAGATCACCTTTACATCCTTATCATCTATAAATCATAGAAAGCAGGGTACAAATAGTGTACAGTGAGGGGAAAAAGTATTTGATCCCCTGCTGATTTTGAACATTTGTCCACTGTCAAAGAAATCAGTCTATAATTTTAATGGTAGGTGTATTTTAACAGTGAGAGAGATTAACCAAAAAAATCCAGAAAAACCCATGTCAAAAAAGTTATAAATTGATTTGCATGTTGATGAGTGAATTAAGTATTTGACCCCTTCGACTTACTACTTGGTGGAAAAAACCCTTGTTGGCAATCAAAGAGGTCAGACGTATCTTGTAGTTGGCCACCAGGTTTGCACACATCTCAGGAGGGATTTTGTCCCACTCCTCTTTGCAGATCCTCTCCAACTCATTAAGGTTTCGAGGATGACGTTTGGCAACTCGAACCTACAGCTCTCTCCACAGATTTTCTATGGGATTAAATTCTGGAGACTGGCTAGGCCACTCCAGGACCTTATTGTGCTTTTTCTTGAGCCACTCCTTTGTTGCCTTGGCTGTGTGTTTTGGGTCATTGTCATGCTGGAATACCCATCCACAACCCATTTTCAATGCCCTGGCTGAGGGTAGGAACCTCACCCAAGATTTGATGGTACATGGCGCTGTCCATCGTCCATTTGATGCAGTACAGTTGTCCTGACCCCTTAGCAGAAAAACACCCCCAAAGCAGGCCCGTCGCTACGGGGTAGGCAAACCAAGCAATTGCTTGGGGCCCCAAGCAGAGCCGGTGCCTAATATAATGCTGCAGCCGCCTGAGAGCTCTATAGAGAGCCTCAGGCGGCTGCAGCACTCCTCTCTCGTCACCTCCCCTTCCCTATAGAGTGGCTGAGCTCCTCTTACTCCTGGCTGTCAGTCTGGCCAGGTACCGCGTGGTACAGGAGATTCAGTTTCCTGTTCCTGGCCGGACTGACAGGAAGTGCACACTCAGGACTCACTTCCTTTCAGTCCGGCTGGGAACAGGAAACTGAATCTCCTGTTACCGCGCGGTATCCAGGCTTGACAGCCAGGAGGAAGAGGAGCTCGGCCACGCTACAGGGAAGGGGAGGTGAGAACTGAGAACATGAGGGGGAGTAAAAAAAACATTGGGGGGGGAGTAAAAAAAAACATGGGGGGAGAGTAAAAAAAACACGGGGGGAGTAAAACGAACATAGGGAGGGGAGTAAAAAGGACACGGGAGGGAGTAAGAAGGACAGGGGAGGGAGTAAGAAGGGGAGGGGGAGTAAGAAGGACAGGAGGGGAGTAAGAAGGACACAGGGAGGGAGAGGGGAGTAAGAAGGACACAGGGAGGGAGGGAGTAAGAAGGACACTGGGAGGGCGTAAGAAGGACACAGGGAGGGGAGTAAGAAGGACACAGGGAGGGGGAGGGAGGAGTAAGAAGGACACAGGGAGGGGGAGGGGAGTAAGAAGGACACAGGGGAGAAGTTTTAGATAATTTGCACATGTTTGTGAGAACTGAAAAATGTTAATGTATGTGTGTTTTAAGTATGTTGGATTTAGTTATTGTGCACTTTTTTAACCCCTTAAGGACCAAACTTCTGGAATAAAAGGGAATCATGACATGTCACACGTCATGTGTCCTTAAGGGGTTAATGTAAATTTGATTTTATGGTACAGTGGTGTTTTTTGCAAATGTTCAATTGTTGAAAATGTTCAAATTTTATGCACATTAAATTTAACAGCAGTATTTGCACTGTAAACATTTTTTATTTATGCACAGTATATGCAACAGCAGTATTTGCACTGTAAACATTTTTTATTTATATAAAGTGATGGTGAACTTAAAGGCTATGCTGTGGTTCCTGTAGGCTTTGCGTGCGTGTGGGGGGGATTGGGGGGACCTCCATGTCCATTTTGCTTGGGGCCCCCAAATTCCTTCAAACGGCCCTGCCCCAAAGCATAATGTTTCCACCTCAATGTTTGACGGTGGGTATGGTGTTTTTGGGGTCATAGGCAGCATTTCTCCTCCTCCAAACACGGCGAGTTGGGTTGATGCCAAAGAGCTCGATTTTTGTCTCATCAACACTTTCACCCAGTTCTCCTCTGAATCATTGAGATGTTCATTGGCAAACTTCAAATGGGCCTGTACATGTACTTTCTTGAGCAGGGGGACCTTGCAGCATTGCAGGATTTCAGTCCTTCACGGCGCAGTGTGTTACCAATTTGTTTTCTTGGTGACAATGGTCCCAGCTGCTTTGAGATCATAACAAGATCCTCCCGTGTAGTTCTCGGCTGATTCCTCACCGTTCTCATGATCATTGAAACTCTTGCATGGAGCACCAGACTGAGGGAGACTGACAGTTCTTTTGAGTTTCTTCCATTAAGACATAATAATCGCACCAACTGTTGTCACCTTCTCACCATGCCCATTCCAGCCTTGTGTAGGTCTACAACCTTGTCCCTGACATCCTTGGACAGTTCTTTGGTCTTGGTCATGGTGGAGAGTTTGGAATCTGATTGATTGCTTCTGTGGATAGGTGTCTTTCATACAGGTAACGAGCTGAGATTGAGATTGCTCCTAATCTCAGCTCGTTACCTGTATAAAAGGCACCTGGGAGCCAGAAATCTTGCTGATTAATAGGGGATCAAATACTTATTTCACTAATTGAAATAAATTGCAAATCAATTTATATCTTTTTTGACATGCATTTTTCTGTAAAATACACCTACCATTAAAATTCGATCAAATACTTTTTTCCCTTACTGTAACTTTTGCATACATGTAACCAGGTTGTTTTCAATAATACCTGAAGTCACCCATAAAGCATTTCCCCATTCTCTAAATTATGAATGAAACCTGACACTTAATAATGAAGCCATAGCTGTACCCTTATCCTCACAAGACCATCTCTTTGGTACAATACGTATTTATTTGGGTAAATGATGACAGGTATTTTGACATGAGTGCCATGCAGTGGAAAGTATCCTTGACATCCTCAGAAATAGTGCATACACATATATATTCCTTGTCCCTAGATCTAACTCCTAAGATATAATTAGGTTTAAAAAATGGGTAATACTCAATATATCTCCAGTTTCTCCTTGGAAGGAGTGCTTACAGCAACAAAACAACATTTTTAATAGCCTACAGAACCTTCCCTGTCAGGCAGAGAAGTTGCATCAAATTTTACAATATACTATAAAGGCTATTCACCACAGTGAAAATTCAAAGTGAAATTCAAATTTAAGGTCAATATAGATGAACTGGAAAAATGATCTGTCATCTATGCTTTCAGTTTGGCTGTTCTCTTTGAATTCTTACTTCAGTGAATAACCTTGTAGACTTTTTTTTTAAATTCTTTATTTTATTTTAGGCGTGCAGTGGTAAGTACAAGCTTTTGTAATGACAAATGACAGGAGATAAAATGACAATATATAAGCATATAAGAGCAAGATGTGCTGCATTTTGTGTGGTAATAAAGATATAGCAAGCAGGCTAGTGAACATGTCTACATAGAGATAGTAACATTTGTGCATGAACAGGTTGAGTATTTTAGGCATAGTAGATTCATGTAACACTTTTTAATAAATAAAATAATAAAACAAAGAAATACGTGCTCTGATAGCCAGGCCCTCAGCGTGTGACTGTTAATATTTTAATTGCAAGAGGGTTGCCTCTATTGGAGGGATACCTGTTAAGGTTATGCGAGTGTGGCGATGGGCTGTTATCCTGCTCCTGAAGGAAATATGAGTGTGAACAATTAATGAGCCTGTGTATTAATATACGCTTGTAGGGCTCTCTATCTAGGGCCAGTAAGGGCCTTCTAAAAGTGAAATAGGCTGGTGACCATGCCAGAGGCATGATGAGTTGTGTACCAGAGTGATGGTAGTAAGCTCCTTAACCCCGGAACTTAAGGGGGGTGGGGGGTGGAGCGGGAGTGAGGTGATTAGAGGCACTATATAGATAAGGGCCTGTATGCTTACTGACGGTGCCCCTATGATTGTATAATTGGGTTCAGATGGGTTAGTACATGGACACAAAATTCATATAGCCTTGCAGCGCTACGTGAACTTCCTTTTGAAGTATAGCATCATGCTATCCACTGTTATTCTTGTAGACTTTTTTTTACAGGAATGCCTAAGTACCCAAAGATTTGGTAGTTAGGAAGAATCTTCATAATAGCCCATTAACAGGAATAGCATAGAGACCCTGACTCTAGCGGATTAGTTGATACCCATCTCTAGTCTACTAGCATCATTGCTGATTTCTAGTAACCCATTTCATGTTTGGGTTTTGTGTAGTGTTGTCAGATCTAGCATGTTTTTCTGGGCGCATACACCTTATACACGATGGAAGGCACAAGAAAAGTGTTGCTCTATAGTTGTTAGAATTTGTATGCCACTTTGTCATTTTGTTTTAAGGATAGTTATATATTTTTTCATTCTGTTGGGCACGGATTGAAAGAACTAAAGTAATAGTTTGGACATTTTAGGCCAAGTTTTGCCATTCAGATGTAATTCAAATTCAGACTTTAATTAATAACTCTGTATAATGTGAATTGTTAGAATTCCAAGTGAAATTGTAATTTTAAGGCAAATTACAAATATTCCCCTGGTCAGCTAACAGTCATTAAGGCTACTTGAAGTACAAAAATATAACAGTGTACACTTAGTGATTGTTCTTCGCATAGTCAATACTTGTTTTGTAAATATGGGGCTGTAGATTAGAACATTGACAGCAGAGGGCGCTGTGACATGGACTGTGTTTATTGTAACTTCGAATCCTCTATGGTTTCTCTAGTCCATGTGGAAGGCAGGATAAATGAATGTGTACTGAGCAAGGTGAGTGTTTAATGTCCATTTGTATTGTGACATGTCACGTCTGCTGCCTTCACACAGTCATATTAACCGGACGAAATAAGCAAAGTTGCAGCAAGTACAGCGTAGGGTTGCAGAATGTTAGCACATATTATTAATGATTAGTACTTGGCCACGATTACACAAGTAATTATATATACACGTGGAGGAGAAAGATATTCCATTTAGGGTCATACATTAAGATACAGTTGGGTGTTAACACAGAAAATGTATCATTATAGTGTAGTGGTTATGGTATTTGGAGTGTTCCTTTAATGTAGTAGTTTTTGTGCAAATATTTTGTCTCAGCAGTCTTACTAATATAAACATTACTGCTATGGATAAACTGCAATGTTTACTACCTTTGTCATTATTCCTCTAGTTGAAGTCATTTGGACTGCCACTGTAGGCACTACCTTCTGAAGACTTTCAATTATTGAAAGTCATAACATTCTGTATTTCTAAAATATTTGAATGCTTTTTATTGATAAAATATTGAATTCAGATTGTTGACCATGCCCAGTAAGTCCCCAATGCTTTGTTATAATTAATATATTGATTAGTGAGGTAATAGGGTTAGACTATGTATCTTAGAACTGAGAGCAATTTCAGAAGAGGAGGAGAGTGTTGCTAACTGAAAAGTCCTAGAAGATTGTCCTTTCACCAGAGTATATTTCAATCGCCTATTCATAGTGACGTTATTTTAACTTTATTTTAACTTATTGTTCTTAATGCAATGAAAAAGAATATGGTGGTATGTATAATAAGGCGCTATAAAATTAGAGAAAATATAATAAGAATACAGTGCAGCTATAACCACCGTGAAATCAACCACACAATTTCACAATAGAACAGAAAATACAAACTAATACAAAGAAGTGGAAAGCGCATTAGTAGACCTGTATATGTGTGATAGTACTCTTTTATATAAAGTGTAGTAAATAAATATTATACATACACTTAGAGGAAAAACTTGTTCCAGATGATGTGTCTACAAAAGAAATGCTCACATAGGGGCAGTACAGTCTGCATAAAACCCAAATCATACAATTCACAAAATTTAGGCGCTTAGTTAGGGATCGACCGATATTGATTTTTTTAGAGCTGATAACTTAACATTGCTCTGGCAGTAGTGCGCCTTAAGTAAAGCCACAGTGCTGGTAAGTGATTCTACCTGGGATTGGGATTCTTTTAGCCAGCCCTCTCTTGAGTCTTCTCTCAGGATTCAACATCATCAATGCGTCGGTGTACTCCATCTATCTCTGTCTGCTTTCCAGACTTCTCATAGGTAGAGTAAAAGCGTTTTGATGTCCCCTTTAGTAGAGGGTGAAGTATCTGAGTATGTTCTCCGGTACATTCCACCTGGGACCTGTGAGACATTAGGTCTCTCTTCATCTTAGGTGATTTCTGGGTCCTTTGAGCCTCGTGGCCTATTGGACGCTATTTTAAAGGGACTCTCCAGTGGCAGGAAAACAAACCCGTTTTTCTGGCACTAGAGAATCCTGGAGTGTCCGCCTCCCTCCTGCCCCCCATCCAATGTTGCTGAAGAGGTTAAAACCCCTTCAGACATTTATCTGAATCCAGCGCGGTTGTCCCCCATGGGTCCGCCCCCGCTGATGTCCGCCAGCGGAGGAGACCTAATGCGCGGCAATGGGCGCGCGCATTAGACCTCCCCATAGGAAAGCATTATTAGGAATGCTTTCCTACGGGGATTCCTATAAAGGACGTCCAGCGTTGTTTAAGTGACCAAAAAGTCGTTTAAGAACCTGGAAATCCCTCTAGTGGTTGTCTGATAGACAGCCACTAGAGGAGGATTTAACCCTGCAAGGTAATTATTGCAATTTATAACAAAATGCAATAATTACACTTGCTGGGTTAAGGGTGATGGGAGTTGGCACCCAGACCACTCCAATGGGCAGAAGGGGTCTGGGTGCCTGGAGTGTCCCTTTAAGTTGGGGCTTCATTAGTGGCCTGTCAAATGACAAATGTATATCAAGCAGGTGAGAGCCTTTCCATGAGCTAATTTTTGGCATTTTCAACCCATCTCTCTGTAGGGGGCTATAAGGTGTTATACAAAACACAGAGAGAAGGGTGCGCCAAGGGATAAGGGATGAAACAAAATTTAGAGAACTTTGTGGGTGTGACAAAATATAATAGGATATACTATAAAAGACTGTCCAAAATATCAGAGAAAAAAAAGTCCAAATAGTCAACCTTGATGGATGATGGGATGATTATGCCTTGCGTGGTATGTTGATCAGCGTAGGTGAGTATGTCATCCGATAAACTCATAAATTCAGGGACATATGAAAAAAGAAACAAAAGAGACTCCAATGGTGCAGTACGTCTTGGTACGGGTATTAGTATATAGAGGTAAGTCTAAAGAAGTGCCTACTCACGTGGCATAGAGCTAAGACCAGCTCTGGTATGGATTACCTGTAGTGGTATTGATCCCCCACTTATGGGAAAACAGAGGGCGGTATTGGTCTCAGCAGCAGTCTTATTCAACAGGGGTTATAAACCTCAGGTATATAAAAAAAATAGAAAGTGCAACAATAGTGCTCACTGTATAAAATATATAAGATATGATAAAAACCAAAAGGTTATACTCACATTTGACTGAGCAGACAACCCGCTCAGTAACCAACAACCTTTTATTATAACAAAATAAAATCAATCTACAACGCGTTTCACCCGGTGGGCTTTTTCAAGTGGCCTTTTGGCTTTAAGGTGTTATCTGCTCAGCAAAAGATCGCAAATATCATGGCAAAAGGGCTATTATAGTTTTTTTTAAATTATTACTGGCATTTATATAGTGCTAACTTATACTGCAGCGCTATGGAGCTCTACACAGACATGTCTGGCCATTCCCCTACCCTCGAAAGATACACTTTTAGACCAGAAAATGCTACAGTAATTCTTAAGTATTTATAGAGCTGTCATTGTTTTTCCTCAGAATGGATGCTTCTTCTGCATGTTTCTCATCAGAATCTGATTTCTGCTCAGACTGTGGCTCAGTGTTGCCCCCCCCTGGTGACCAGGACACAGTAACTTGTCGTCGTTGCTCACACCGTACACAAGTAACAGGTCAGGACAGATTGATATATTAGCCGGTGTATATGAAATATGGTTCATTTATGTTAATTTCTCAATTATGTTCACCACTTTTTATTCTTGTTCTATGGTGAAACCTTAAGTTGTCTCCTATAATATTAAATATTTTATTTATGTAGCCAGGGCCATATTGCTGTTGAATGTAACATAGACTCTCTTTTGCAGAATTCCTTGGGAAATATGTTCAGACATCTGTTATAATTAACAAGCTTGACACCATTGCATTATCGAACGATGCTGATGACACTGGAGCGTTAAATGGACCCCTGGTAAGCACTGAGTAGCCTGTACAATATCTTGCTATCTGATGTCAGGTTGTATTTTATTTTATTTACTTACTATCCTGTGGTAGATCAGTTTTATTATCTTTTATATGTAGTTTAGATCAAAATCAAGTATTTTTGTTTTTGTACCCCCCTCCCCCCTCTCTCAGATTGACAGGCGATGCTCACGCTGTGGATTTGATAAGATGGTTTATCACACAAGACAGATGCGATCTGCTGATGAAGGACAGACTGTATTCTATACATGCACCCAGTGCCGGTAAGAGTACAAATTGGTCAATTTCTTATGTTTTCTGACCATGTAGAGCTTATACAGTATTATCAATTTATTTATAGACATTGCATGTGATAATTTTTGCTTTCTACTTGTGTGTATGATGACCATGAAGGAAAATATCCTTGAAAGGCTTTTAATCCTATTTTATTATATCAGTTTATTAAAGAGACTCCAAGCACTCTGACAATCTAATCTCAATGAAGTTGTCTGGGAACCATGACCCCTGACCCTGACATTACAGGAACTGTAATGTTTATATTGCATGTTTATCACTCTTCGAGTGGCTGTCAGGTGGTCAGTAGAGTTGCTGTGTTATGTTTTGCCATGCATGCACACACTGCTTCCCTATAAGAATCTTGATGATCACATCCTGGAGAATGTAATATAAATTAAAGCGGCACTGTCTTGCCAAACTTACTTTTCCCCAAACCCTTCCTCTTCTCTCCCTCCTCAGGATGTGTTCTTCATTTTTTTCCTATCTGCTTTAGTTTTCTTTCAAACATAAGACAAAGTAGGGACTACTTTGTCATATGTATTTTTCCTACGCTTGACCATTTCTGAACTACTTCTTGTTGTGAGAGAAATTTTCCCACAATACTCACCCTTTCCTCTATGATCTCGCAATACCGAATGTTGTCCTAACAGAAAAAGAACAGTTTGTTCATTCATGTTAGGACGCAATTCTTGACTTTTGTTAGGATTTTAATTTAATTTGAATTAATAAAACTCCAATCCTATTCATGCTGCGGCTGCATATTGCAGCCGCTTAGTAGATAGTTCCCTAGTTCCCACGGTATTGGGTAGCTATCCTCACAAGGCTGAAAGACCTAATAATACTTAGTATTAGTTAACAAGGGAGTTTTAAATCTCCTGAATGCCCCTACTTGCTATACCGTGAGTAGGGGCATGTCTAATACACAGTGTTCTAAAAAGAAGCTCCCCACTCCCCGAATCAATTAATGCGGAACCTAGTACAGGTCCCCCATGGTGGGGCATCTATAAAAATAATTAACAGGGAAGGAAATAGTGTACTCGCGAGTTTGACATGCTTGATCTAAACCTTATTCTGGCAATCATTAAACAATCTTGGAAGGTATTGACTTAAATTGTTGTTTGCCCAGGTACCAGGAGACCTCCTCTTCTATGGTTGCATTGATCATGGGGCTGGGCTTTTTCGCCGCCAATGTAGTCGGAGTTGGGGAAAATATAAAGTGCTCCAGTCTAAGAACTGCTCAGGAACAATTTCACATTAAAGGACCACTATAGGCACCCAGACCACTTCAGCTTAATGAAGTGGTCTGGGTGCCAAGTCAAGCTAGGTTTAACCCTTTTTGCTGTAAACATAGCAGTTTCAGAGAAACTGCTATGTTTACCTATGGGTTAATCCAGCCTCTAGTGACTGTCTCATTGACAGCCGAAAGAGGCGCTTCTCACTGTGATTTTCTTGCCGTGCATGCGCATTCAGCCAGGGCCTTCAGAAGAGGGAGGAGAGTCCCAGTGCCAAGGGAGCCCCACGCTGGAAAAAAGGTAAGGGATTAACCCCTTCAGCGCCATGGGAGTGGGACCCTGAGGGTGAGGGCACCCTCAGGGCACTATAGTGCCAGGAAAACGAGTACCGTATGTTTTCCTGGCACTATAGTGGTCCTTTAAAGCAGGTGATGGTGCGAAGACCAATATATGTGCTACTTTGAACATTACAAAAAACAAACACATTTAAACCCCAATTAGATGTTTTTTCAAATAATCATTCAAAGAATTACCAATACAGAACAAAAGTTCATCAAGCTCTTGGCAAAGACAATTTGTTTCACTTGTGTTAAACTTATGTCTAGAAGTTCATAAAGCCACTTTCTCACATAAAATCAATGTGTTAATATTTTTCTATTGGTTTGCTGTATATTAAATATTTACATGCTATTTCTTGGTGACACTGTGGAATTTCTTATTTAGGTTAATCCCTAAATTTGCTTTCAGTTTTTGCCTTCGGTCTTGATTTTATAACTATTTCTATTATATAAAGCAGTGCTGTGGATTTTTTTTACTTGCAGACTAAATCCCTTTTAATTTATACATCTGAAATGTGTTAAATATTTGCCCTCTCAACTTTTCTTTAATCCTCTTTTTTTTCTATGTTTGTATTAATCACTTTTCCTGTCTCACCCACTCTAGCTTCCAGGAGAAGGAGGATTCTTGATGTTATACTCTGGGCTTTAGATCTTGTCCTGCTATCACATTCCCCATCAAACCTGCTCTGGACACTTTGTCAATAAAGTTTATTTTGTTAACATTTCCAGCTTATTTTCCTAACGTATGTCATTTCTAAAGTACTGTAGAGATGCTTTATCTCTATAGCCAACATCAATTTTATGTATTTATTAAACTCTAAGTCTGGCAGGGAATGAGCATAGGTGGTACCTCTAACGCTGATTTTGCAGAGATTCATAGACTGGAGCTGGATTTTATTTTGCCCATTTTTTTATTTTTTTATATGGTTGAAAAAAGAATCTTTAAAAATAGGTTTAATATGAAAACTTTTAAAATGATAGTTTTTCATTTTTAATTACAGCTGATTTTTCTTCTGTTTGATATATTACATTGTTTTGTGTAATGATCTACATTTCACCACTTCAGTAAAAATAGAGCCTCTCAAATTGCACATCTTAGAAGAGTGATTTTCTGTCCGGAGGTTTATCTCTCAAGTTCTTAAAATACTTTGTGTAAATGTTGATGATATTGCAAGTAAATGGTTAAAAGATTTAGATCATTGTGTCAAGAAAGTCATATGTAATGTTATATATTTAGTCATCCCTCCATAGTGCTGGTATTCTTTCCACAGCTTTTTGCTATTCAGTATGTCTTATAACTTTATGAATCTATAGTAATATACCTATAGGGATTGCTTTTATGTTAAACAAAAAAAAAAAAAAAACCTCTTTCAGTTTTGATTTCACGTTCTAGCTGAAAGATTTATATAGGGGTGTTTTGCACAGTTTGTTAAAAGAAATCGTGAATCCCAAATGTTTAGGTAGTCTTCATGATATATTGTTATTAACAAAACTAAATATATGGGACTTGACATATATGCATGTATCCGAGATATTGCGTATTCATTGTGTTGTTTGCATAACGGAGTATGACGCATGTCTTTCTAATGATATCGCATAAATACCATTGGCATAATACCGAGCTGACTCTGGTGTCATTTATACTTAAATATTAATCTTTAGTGTGTCTGTGTACATTTTTCTTCTCCATCTGGCTGTACCAGTGCTTGTGGTAGATGCACAAATGCAAGAAAGGAATTTTTGCTCTTTGAGTAATAGTTTTTTTGCTCCCTATACATTTCATTGCCGAAGTAACCATATGTATCAAACAATACAGCCGTTCTGCCTATATAAGAAAGCAATTTGAAAGATGTATTTCCTTTTGTTTCTCTTAGCGTTTCTGTGGAGATGTGTAAGTATCCTAGAACTGTTGCTGATTAGACTCTGACATTTCGTAGTTTACATCCAGTCCTGTCACTGTCAAACCTTGGCGTGTGTATGATATTGAACTTTGGTTGTGAGCATTTAGGGAATTATGTTCCTAAACAGATAGTCAAAGTTTATTTAGTGACTTCACTTAACAGGATAAACAAGAAAGCCATCTAAAAGTGAAATTTATACTGTAAAACTTTAAGAATTCACTGTTTTATAAAATAGGATGTGACATTTATTATATAAAGTTTTAAATGAAAATTAAAACAAAATGGCAGTGTTTTCTTTTTCTTCTCTCATTCTAAATGTAGGGTATTCTGGTGACACCAAGTGGTTATACAAAGTATTGCTGTGCATATTAGAATATAGTTTACAGGGATATAGGATGGATTATAAAATGGACAGTGGAAAATTAGTGACTATATCTTGCAATAAATAATAAGCCTGAATACATTGCTTTATATTAATTAAAATGGACAAAATATAACCACAGCAGTGCTACTGTAACCCTATTACAAATTTATTCTTGATAAAAATGAAGTATAATGTAACATGGGATGTATAGGTAGTGTAAAAGTGTAGCATAATTTACAATACAATTTGCTTGTCATGAATACTTAAGATATAAAAATGATGTAAATACAATGTTTTAATTTGTCAGCTATTGTATGTAGAGGTTATATGCAATCCCTTGTTACGCAAGTACTGGTTTTGAAATGTTAATATAGATCTATTGCCAAATACAGTAGGCATGACTAAAATATGCATGCGTGGAAAAGGTGAAATTAACCACATTCTAATTATTTACAAGGAACCAGCTGATGTTTTAGCAATACAGATCCTCAAAATGCATCTAGAATAAAATGTATGTGTGGGCATAATGCTAACATGAGATATTTGTATTATATATCGCAGTGTTGGCTAATTATTCCCTTCAGTCTGTGCAAAGAGCCTTCTCTTCCTTGGCTGCAAGAATACATTTTGCTTTTGGATCTTAAAAGTTCCAGAACAGACCAGTGCTGTTTTTTTCATTCGCATGAAAACACATATATTCATGCTCCTAATGCACTCAGTATGAGTGCTTCTTTGGAAAATTAACTCCAGCAAGATCAGCAGCAGCACAGAGAAAGAGCCAGTGATTTATTGCACTCGCTTTCTGAGAATGGAATGAAAGAGAGAACAGATACCTTTTGTTTACATATTATAAAGCCAACATAAAGTGTTGATGACTTTTAACCTGTTATTGATAGCAAATACAGTTGCAAGAAAAAGTATGTGAACCCTTTGGAATGATATGGATTTCTGCACAAATTGGTCATAAAATGTAATCTGATCATCATCTAAGTCACAACAATAGACAATCACAGTCTGCTTAAACCAATAACACACAAAGAAACATTCACAGTGCGAGTGGAAAAAGTATGTGAACCCCTAGACTAATGACATCTCCAACAACTAATTGGAGTGAGATGTCAGCCAACTGGAGTCCAATCAATGAGATGAGATTGGAGGTGTTGGTTACAGCTGCTCTATAAAAAACACACACCAGTTCTGGGTTTGCTTTTCACAAGAAGCATTGCCTGATGTAAATGATGCCTTGCACAAAAGTGCTCTCAGAAGACCTACGATTAAGAATTGTTGACTTGCATAAAGCTGGAAAGGGTTATAAAAGTATCTCCAAAAGCCTTGCTGTTCATCAGTCCACGGTAAGACAAATTGTCTATAAATGGAGAAAGTTCAGCACTGCTGCTACTCTCCCTAGGAGTGGCCGTCCTGTAAAGATGACTGCAAGAGCACAGCGCAGACTGCTCAATGAGGTGAAGAAGAATCCTAGAGTGTCAGCTAAAGACTTACAAAAGTCACTGGCAAATGCTAACATTCCTGTTAGCGAATCTACAATACGTAAAACACTAAACAAGAATGGATTTCATGGGAGGATACCACAGAGGAAGCCACTGCTGTCCAAACAAAACATTGCTGCACGTTTACAGTTTGCACAAGAGCACCTGGATGTTCCACAGCAGTACTGGCAAAATATTCTGTTGACAGATGAAACCAAAGTTGAGTTGCTATCATCGAAGGAAAAATGAATTCCCAAGTTTATCAAGACATTTTGCAGGAGAACTTAAGGCCATCTGTCTACCAGCTGAAGCGCAACAGAAGATGGGTGTTGCAACAGGACAATGACCCAAAATAGAGGTAAATCAACAACAGAATGGCTTAAACAGAAGAAAATACACCTTCTGAAGTGGCCCAATCAGAGTCCTGACCTCAACCCGATTGAGATGCTGTGGCATGACCTCAAGAAAGCGATTCACACCAGACATCCCAAGAATATTGCTGAACTGAAACAGTTCTGTAAAGAGGAATGGTCAAAAAATTACTCCTGACTGTTGTGCATGTCTGATCTGCAACTACAGGAAACGTTTGGTTGAAGTTATTGCTGCCAGAGGAGGTTCAGCCAGTTATTAAATCCAAGGGTTCACATACTTTTTCCACCTGCACTGTGAATGTTTACATGGTGTGTTCAATAAAAACATGGCAACATTTCATTCTTTGTGTGTTATTAGTTTAAGCAAACTGTGATTGTCTATTGTTGTGACTTAGATGATGATCAGATCACATTTTATGACCAATTTGTGCAGAAAGCCATATCATTCCAAAGGGTTCACATACTTTTTCTTGCAACTGTGAGTCCCAAACGGGTATGCAGGAGAGGTGTCTGCAGATGACACGGGTATTGGAAATTAATTAAAATCTGAGTTTTTAATAGTATTAAGGGGGAAAAAGAACATGAGTCAAGCCAGATGGTTAGAAAACTGTACACCTATATCGGTCATGACGGTGTCACTTTAAACATAATGTAACATTTGCTCTTATGCTCTATAACATTTGTTCAATGATTTAAATTGTGCAACTTTACGTGACATTTTCCTTTGACATCTTTTTTAAGTTCCCTTTTTTTCACCTCCTCTATCAACAAAGATCTCCCACAACACCCTTAGGACATACAAACGTTTCAATTGATGTATAGAAATTTTTCAATTGATTTATAGAAGTTTGTCATATGTATACACGAGGAAATGAGTACTTATGGACTGTTCATAATATAAACCCATTTACAGTGTGTTACATATGTAGTGGCGTGGTAGTGATTTGCTCTGATAAAGTTGCTCATGGTGGAAACCCTTATTTGTTAGTATGTAAAGATTTCTTCGACTATTAGATGCCTGTGTAAAAAAAAAAAAGGGCAAGTCAGGCACCATAATGACTTAGTGGCATAGTTCTTTTGCAAGAGAAACCACAAAGTCAATCCCTTATAGGAATAGTCCAAGTACTGTAACTACTACAGTATGCTGTTGTGGTAATAATGCCAACAGTGCCCTGGTCCCATCACAGTAAGATGTCACACCATCTTGGTATGGTTACTAACTTACCTCAGTCCACTGGGCTCCTGTGCTGCTTTTCTTGCAGTAGAAGTCTGTCTCTTTGGAATAAAGCATGGACAATCTAGCGCCAAGTTTCGAAGTTGAAAATGCTCAGCTGATACTCTCAGCCATTGAGTGCCGCCCTGCATTACCCAGTTTTGCTCTATACAGCAATTTGGATTCTGCAGAAAAAGATCAGATATAGGTGATGTGCCCAACAGGACCTAGGTAAGTTGTCAAAAAATGGCTTGATTACTTAGAGTGGGATAACACCATGGCACTCCTGGCATCATAACCACTACAGCTGGTTATGCTGTTTAATGTCAATCTGTGATTCATGTTCATTGTTCTCAATAATATTTATATCTGGTCCCATGTATTATTTTCTATAAAACGCCTTGCACAATCTACAGCTAATCCAGTATTCTATACATTATCTGCAGTCCTCCAAATGCAAAGCATTTTATTCTAAATATAGCCAATGCCAGACTCTGAAAAATACTTTATTAATAAATCACTTCAATTCCATATTATTCACAGAAGAAATACAATTAAAATTTTCTTTTAGAACTTTAAAAACATAACACCGTCATATGTATCCCACAAATGGAATGAAACATAGGGTATACAAAACATTCTTGATGTCTAAAACATTCACAATAGACAAATGGTTTGATGTAAAGAGCTTTTTTCATTTGTATGTAGTACATCTTTGTTTGGCAGTGAGTAAAGAGGAAACTATTTATGACTGCTCCATTTCAGTGGTTGAAGGTACGGTTGATTTTAGATCTTAGGATGTGGTGGATAACTGGGAAGCTTTGAAGTCAATATTACCCAAGTTGACCTGGCTTATGGCTTGCCCTCTCTACAGCTCTACACAATGAAAATGTAAAGATAATTTGTGACTTGCTAAAATCTAAACCTACATTTCAATTCATTCTTCTTGGTTTTGCACATCCCCAATATATAAATTTATCTTTTATCAGATTCTGCTACATCTTACAGATTTGTGTTTTGTTGCTAAAAGATTCTAGGATTAAAATAAAGATACAATGTATATGTGTGTATCTTAAAAGGACACTATAGTCACCAATACATCCTTGGCTAAATGAAGCAGTTTGTTTTTTTGTGTGTATGGATCATGCCCGTGCAGTCTCACTGCTCAATTCTCTGCCATTTAGGAGTTACATTACTTTGTTTATACAGCCCTAATTACAACTCCCTGCATGTGACTTACACAGCGTTCCTAAACACTTTCTGTAAAGAGTCCTCTAATGTTTATATTTCCTTTATTGCAAATTCTGTTAAATGTAGAATTTCTTATCTCCTACTCTGCTAAGTTTGCTAGACCATGCAGTAGCCTCCTGTATGTACTTAAAGTTTAATTACAAAGCAGGAGCTTAAAACGTTTAAAATAAGTTACATCTGATTGAAAATTAAACCACTTTGTTTTCATGTAGGCTGTGTCAGTTACAGCCAGAGGAGGTGTGGCTAGAGCTGCAAAAAGATGTTTTATTGACTATAGTGTCCCTTTAACTCCTACATAGATGTGAATTGAGCAGTGGAAATTCAGAGACACAAAAACAGCTTCATTAAGCTAAAGTTGTTTGGCGACTATATTGTCCCTTTAAGTGGCAGTAGGAATTAGTATATAGAACGATTACTTAAAAAATAGCTTCACATGAGGATAATAGTGTCTAAGGTTGAAAGATATAGCCAATATTTGCAGTATTCTAATATTACAGCCAGAACTAGCTTAAGCTAGTTCATGCAGTCCCTCTGAATTTGTCAGGTAGTGAGTATTGTCATTCCCTGAAATACTAAACATATTTGCAGTATAAATTTGGACCCACTGGTCATCATATTTTACAATAAGTTATTACAAGGGTCTTATCAGCTTTGAGACCTGCTGCTTTTGATGTTGCATGGCGTAAAGTTATTGTCCTGTAAAAAAAGTCTGACTTGCAAATGTTTTGGTAGTAAGACTACTGAAGAGTCAGACTATTGAAGAATAACATATATATATATATATATATATTATTTTTTAAACTGACAATTTTTGAATGTCATGGGGAGTAGCATAAAATATACTTTGGTACAATAAGAACAATGGGTTATAATTGAGGAAAAGTAGTGTGAAGATGTTACATGAAAAGAACTGGCTGGACCTGAACACTATCTGTTTTTAAAAACACTATCTATTCTAGATAATATGTTAAAAATAGGGAAACCATTATATTCATGTTTTGCTGCACATAAAAAACGAGCTCTCATTAAATCGGCATCCTCTAATAATACGACAGTATGTGATGATGGTGTTGTATAGAAATGTATAAAAAGGAAACCGCTGGTTTGGGGTAAAGGAGAATAAGAGATGGACTAATAGAACAAAATGGTTATTCAAAGAAATAATACAGAATAAACATCCAGCATAATTAAAAGTAGCCTAACCTTGTACTATAATGTGTATAGTGTTTGAAACCAACAAATTGTAATAGGTGTATTTATACAGAATAATAGAACGTTGCTGTAGAGATGGGTTGTAGCTCAGTTAGTAACATTATGAGTTTTTTGAATGATCAAACTACTTAAAAATATGTAATATTGTTTTATATCACTGATGTAAAAGGATTCACTCTCCCAGCTATCGGATTTATATACAGCATATCCTCAATATTTGGGCAGCACAGGATCACTAGATGTTTTATCTTAATAAAATATAATTTGGAAACATTATAAAGTACTCTGTTGAAGCAATGGCACAGTTTAGGGAATATATGGTAACCAATAACAAAACTATGAATAAAAACTACTTGACATTTATAATAATATTTATACCAGTACATCAATAGAACTTCTTGGTGATAAATAAATACAACTTCTGCCTAAAAATATGTATTTTATACATATCTGCTTGGTTTGCTATTACAGAAAGCTCCGTAAACTAGCATGCCTGCAGCCATTAAGTCCCATTAGGTCCTCTTCCCAAAACGTTAGTCGCATTCAAAGGTCAATGGTATCACTTCCAACACTTAGAGAATCTATGGGTCCAAAAACATCTATTAAATTCTCTCTTAAGCTGTTTTCCGTATTGGTTGTAACATCCAAGGACTCCTGGGATGGAGGAGACAGGGTATGATATACTCCCTGAGATTGACGATTAGACTCATGCTTCTTTTCGGAACTGTATGTGAATGTGCCTGCATGCTCAGGGCTGGAACACAGCACCAGGGATGACCCATCGAGAGACATCTTACACAGAGAACTTGTGGTGCTCTCCTCTCCCTTCCATGTCCCTAGGTAAGAGGTTCCTGCAGTATCTTGCTTGATTGTGCTGGTGATGGCAGGCTCTATTATTGGCACACCTGCTTCTATTTCCATGCAAGAAGAAGTCCTGTAAAGCCCCCTGTCCGCTGCCTTCTCTTTGAATACGCAGTCTTCCAGCTGTGTTGCACTCCTGACCGTGAGGGATAAACTGCTTGATAAAGTAGTACCATGGAAAAGGCTTTGGGGTATCAGTGACTCACTGAATAATGCTTCATCAATGCTGCGGCGCAAGTTTATTGGAGATGGGGGCCGGAAATCGACTGTGGAGTCACTGTCCATCTGAACACTAATGAATGAAGGTGTTTTTGAACCATTGTAGAGGTTCAGACCTGGCACCTCAAGGCTTTTACTGCTGTGGTATATCAAGCTCAGTTCTTCCCCAACGCTCATTCGCTTCTCTACCAGTGTGTACAGTGGGAAGAACTCAGAGTCACTTCTGACAATGGTGTCACAGATCAACTTTTCATGCTGTGAGGATGCCCACTGCGAGTTGGAGGCCAAAATGGGTGCCTTCATTGTAACGTGACTGGGAGAAAGATGGAATAGCTTTGTCCAGCAGTTTGTTCTTCCTATGTTGTTGGCACAGAAGAGTGGGTAAGCACCTACTACAGCAAGGGGAAGGCACACGCCCACTTCGCAAACACTAGAACTCAACTGGAAAGCCCACCAAGGCCAAGGACCAAAAACAATAGATCCTCCATAACCCAACGCATAGAGCATTGCATATAATTGTAGACCAGCGTTCAAAAGGCCGAAAAAGGCAGACACCAAAACAGTGCAAACCACCCTGTTCCAATCTTTTGAGTCTGCAAATGGACATCCATTGGTATATTCAGTTGGAGGAGTAGAGCTCTTGAGGTCATAAATTTGGGTGTTTTGGTTTCTCACTACGCAATAAAAAATAAAAAATGAGAGTGAAAGTAGAACAGTAAGGACTACATATACTCCTCGAGAAACAAGTAGTAGAAATAGAAACTGTTGCAATAGATCCACAATTACCACAGCACCGGCAGCAACCATGAAATGAAGGAATACTACAGCACTTAGAATACAGAGTCTAGGAAATCTGGGGGTGGAATGCTGTAAACGACATCTTGAGGAAAGCAACAGGAAAGCAATACCAAAGCTTGAGGTCATGCATGGAAAGGCCAGGTCATGAAGGAGCAAGGCTGTGAAAACTGGGAGTCTGTCTTGATGGCCATATGCATCATAGAACAGAGCAAAAGCTCTACTGCTACTAACAGCGATTAATAGTAGGTGTAAGATTGCAAAGTAAAAGCTCCCTGATGGACATCGGAACACAAGGCAGAAGAATGAGAGAAGGGCAAGTAAAGCCACTGTCCCAAAAAGACCTACAGAGCCATATACAAGGGCTTCCCAAGCAACTCCCCAATCAGCCACTGATGTATTCCAGTCAGAGTGTAGGGTAATGAAGATTGGTGGGGAAGATAGGATAGAAGAGCGTCCATTGACAGTAGGATCTACTTCATATGGAGTAGAGCTCAGTGTAGCCGTGAAGTTACAATTTTCTGGATTAGAATCACAATCCCAGGATTCAGGAGGATCGATTGCTAAAGTGGAGCCAAGTGGAACAAGAACAGCATCTGAAATTAAAAAATAAAACATACATTAGTAAAAGAGGATTGAAATTGTCTACAAGTTAAATGCAAAATATCACAAGTGCAAGATGTGTTTGGCATGACATTGGTTTTAAATAGTTGTGACCAATATTATATAGATTGAGTTTACAAGCCTTACAAATCTTCTTTAAAGTGTAGAACAGAAAATTAAAAATAGCGTATTCTGTTTTCCATATAAACATATGTTTCCTTGACACTTCTACATTCTCCATATTAATATAAAGCATTAGAGGGGCACTATAGACACCCAGACCACATCATCTGATTGAAGTGGTCTGGGTTCCCTATCCCTGTCCACTTAGTCCTGCAGCAGCAAACACTGCAGTTTCTCTACACTGCAGGGTTAAGACAGCTTCTAGAGGTTGTCTCCCAGACAGCCACTAGAGGTGTTTCCTGGCCTTTCATGGATTTTGACTGAGTGAAACAACGCTGGATGTCCATCTTCTAATACCCCACAGCAAAGCATTGAGTTAATTATTTCCTGTGGAGAAAGCCTAATGCGTGCAGCATACGCAATAGGTCCCTTCATCGGCTGACGAAATCGAAGGAGCCCAACCCAGCACCGAGGGACTTTAGCACCGAATAAAGTGTATAAAAAGAGGTTGTTTATTTGTTTAACCCTTTACTTGCCACTGGGGATCCTTTAGTGTTAGGACACCCAACAGCTCTTTAATTGGGCACCAGACTGGGCCCTGTCATAGTGTTAGTTTCCCCCCAAGGCCAAGTAGGAGGAAGTGATTTCAGGTCACTTGCTCCCAGCTTGCTGAGGGCCATGCTGGAAGACAGGAGCAGACCCACACACACACACACAGGAGGGGGAGATTAAAGGGACACTATAGTCACCTGAACAACTTTAGCTTAATGAAGCAGTTTTGGTGTATAGAACATGCCCCTGCAGCCTCACTGCTCAATCCTCTGCCATTTAGGAGTTAAATCCCTTTGTTTATGAACCCTAGTCACACCTCCCTGCATGTGACTTGCACAGCCTTCCATAAACACTTCATGTAAAGAGAGCCCTATTTAGGCTTTCTTTATTGCAAGTTCTGTTTAAATTAAGATTTTCTTATCCCCTGCTATGTTAGTAGCTTGCTAGACCCTGCAAGAGCCTCCTGTATGTGATTAAAGTTCAATTTAGAGATTGAGATACAATTATATAAGGTAAATTACATCTGTTTGAAAGTGAAACCAGTTTGTTTTTTTCATGCAGGCTCTGTCAATCATAGCCAGGGGAGGTGTGGCTAGGGCTGCACAAACAGAAACAAAGTGATTTAACTCCTAAATGACAGTGAATTGAGCAGTGAAATTGCAGGGGAATGATCTATACACTAAAACTGCTTTATTTAGCTAAAGTAATTTAGGTGACTACAGTGTTCCTTTAAGTCTGGAACTACAGAATCCCACCGGCCTTGACCAGCCAAGTTCCACTAGAATCTAGGAACACCTCCTGCACCTAAAAACAAAGGATACATGAGGGTGGCTAAAGCTATTAATTGTTACTTATATATGTGTGTCTGTGTACCTGTGTGTATCTGAGTGTACATATCTTTGTTAGTGTGTATCTGTAATTGTGTATCTATATGTGTGTAACAAGGTCATTCACTAAAGTGAGAATTCAAAGAGAATTTCACAGTTAAGGTCAAAATAGCCAAACTGGGAAAATTCTCCAACTCCATTTTGGCTCATTTTGCCTAAAATGTGAAATTCACTATGCTCTCACTCTGAATTCTCACTTTAGTAAATAACCATGTAAGTGTGTTTGTGTATTTGTGTCAGTATGTGTATTGGTGTGTGTGGCAGTGCATACACTAACAATGCACACAAACATACCCCTGCATTCAAACGCACACACTACACACAGACAACTTCATGCGCTAACACTATGCATAGATATACTCTTGCTTTCTACTGTCAACACTACACACAAACACATCATTGCATTCAAACTGCAATAGTACATACTAACACACAACTGCATTCAAACGCCAACACTACACACAAATGCACATTTATTTATTGTTGTAAGAAAGCAATAAATTGCATTTATGACTTTATGTAAGTGCATTTATGACTTTAAGTGCCTACTTACGGTCTTGTCTGCTCATGTGTATATACTGTATTTTCTGGCGTATAAGATGACTTTTTAACCCTGGAAAATCTTCTCCAAAGTCGGGGGTCGTCTTATACGCCAGGTATAGGGTCTATATGGCTGCCGGGGGCGCCCTGCGCCCCCATCGCCGGCCCTTCTAATGCTGCAGCCGCCTGACGCTCTATAGAGAGCGCTCAGACGGCTGCCGCACTGCCTCTCTTCTCACCTCCCCTTCCCTGTGCAGAGTGGGTGGCCGAGCTCCTCTTCGTCCTGTCAGTCCGGCGGGTACCGCGTGGTACAGGAGATTCAGTTACCTGTTCCCGGCCGGACTGAAAGGAAGTGCACACTGAGTGCTCACTTCCTTTCAGTCCGGCCGGGAACAGGTAACTGAATCTCCTGTACCGCGCGGTACCCGGCCGGACTGACAGGACGAAGAGGAGCTCGGCCACCCACTCTGCACAGGGAAGGGGAGGTGAGAAGAATGTAGGGAGGATTGGGGGGGGAGTAAAAAGAATGGAGGGGGGGAGTAAAAAGAATGGAGGGGGGTATTAAAAAGAATATATCGCAATTAGCCTCCTGTGTGCTAGACCAGCAGGCATGGATTATATGCCCAAACAGCCTGGCACATACCTGGGCTTTAAATGCTATTTCAGATTATCATTATTTTATGTCTTGCTGTGTAGCTCTGTCTGCTCACTGTACATCATGGCTAATTTTTATTTGTAGTGCATTGGAAGAGGGGTAGTCTTATACGGCGAGTATATCCCAAACTCTATATTTTAACTGGAAAAGTTGGGGGTCGTCTTATACACCCAGTCGTCTTATACGCCGGAAAATACGGTACATATAGAATTTTTATGCATGTAACCCTCCAAACCTATTTCGGTGGACAATTTGGCTCCATAGAACAAATGTGTTTTGACACCCCCGATCTAGTATGTAGGATTGTTGCTATCAACAGATGAAAGGACAATTCTATGTTCATGTAGGCTTTTAAAATACTAGGTTGTTAGAGCACAATTACTGCATCCTTGGCCATAAGGAGCTTAGAGCCAATGCCAAGCCTCCTTCTTAACAGCAGATTAAATCAATATTCATGTTGTGTTTTGCCAGTTGGTGAAACACCGAAGTAGGCATTTTCTTGAGAAAGGAGTGCACAGGGAGAGAGTTGGGTACTCTGTATGATATCATTGTGTCTGGAAGGAAAGAATATGTAGGCCAATTCAGTAACAATTAAAAAGTGCAGCTAATAATTATTTAAATGTTTAATAAATCTAAATATAAATTGATGGTTCCTCCTCTTCCTCCTAGAGTTGCTTCTCTTGATCTCCTTCACAGGAACTAATTTGAATGTGATGTACTGGGTGTAATTATTTCAATGTGGAACACTGGAGTATACAAGTAGAGTCACTCCTTTCAGACATGATTTACTGGCATTGAAGCTAGCTGGTTGACATAATGCACTGGGGAAATGCTCTCAAGCAGTCAATTGTGTAGGAGAGGAGTTAGCCTGGTTACACCTCCCTGGCTGTCAATCAGACAGCTGGTCCTGTTACTTCCTGGTTTGGTTAGCTCAGTGGAGTTAAACTCAAGAGCTAGCAGGTTTGCCCAGAGCACCTGCCTTGCAAAGACGTCTCAAATGAGCTGCATTGAGAAGTCTGAGATTGGATAGCTACTAGCCACAGGATGTCTGGGTGGGATTAGAAGGGGAGGGCTTGCAAAGACTGCAGTCAAGAGATCTACAGCTTTTGCAAGCTGTTTTTAGTTATACCCTCAATGAAAAAATGCATACTGAAATGCGTGCATGTTTTCATTTGGTATATATCGACTAAATATTTATTTTTGTAAATAAATACATTTGTATTTGGGCAGTGTCAATTCTGTCCAACATGAATTACATTGATTGACTGATATAAGCATTGCAACCTATCAATATCCAATGTTCAGGTTGGATGGATAATGGTAAAGGAAAACCTCTGCATCAGGCGACAAGATGGGGTTTAGGTTCTGTAAAAAGCCCTGTTTTTTTGTTAAAATCTCTCACATGTAGTGTACAGGATTACGTCAAAATTAAAATAGAACATAATAAGGGACGATGCATATTGAAACAATAAAGAAGTGCAATGTAGCAAAGAGGAAACTGTGAAGCTTGCCATATTTCTTTTCTTTTTTTCCTCCTTTGCTGTTTTGGACTAATATATGTTTTGGAATAATGAAATAATAGGTTATGAAAGGTCATACCAACAGCCTCATATTGGGACAAATGATTGGATTAGTCATTCCTCTTAATGCAAACCAGAAAGTACTTGGAGCTAATCTGGATATTCATACAGTTCTAGCTGTCAGAATTATCCCTCCAACTTAAAAAATGAAAATTGACACCTAACTGCTTGTGTAAAGTAGCAGTGTACAGCCAAAATACGTAAACTGGGATTGACACTCTTCCAGATAGCTTCGTTATGGTAACCAGATGATGTCAAAACTGGTGCTCATGGAAACTCTAAGGACATCAGGATATATTTAGCTGTGCCATCATTTGTGCTTGACCAGCATTCTAGGTCTCATGTACTGGTGAAAAAGATGTAATTCCGACAACACAGTGGAGTTTCATGTAGTGGACCAGAGGGCACTATGGTGTAAGGTATACAATTTTTGTATTCCTTACACTTTAGAATCCCTTTAATGATAGCTGTTTAGAACACAAAACATATTTTAAGGCTGTATATATTAGCCAAAAATCCTTGCACTATATTGCATTGTTTTTAGAATTAAAATGTCTGAAAATTTTAACCTAATGCAACATAATAAACGGAGGCAAAGGGAATCCAAGGATATATAAAGAACTTTGCATAGAGTGGTCTGATCTTTATTAAGAGAAAAGAAATAAAGAGAAGAGTTATAGCAGATGTCAGAAAAGAGCTGAAATGAAAGAGAAGAGGAAAAAAACAGCTGGGGACTCCGGAGAAAGGAATTAGTTTATTTCCTGAAGGTCTAGTATCCCAGATGCAGAGCTAATTTAAAGCTAACGATGCGCTCTCGCTAGTGTTCCCAGAAATGGAACACCAGCGAATATACCTGGCAAGACAGGAGCCCAAATTTTGGACTGTCTTGTTGAATCCTTTTGGGAGAAGGACTGATAAATAAATGTTAGCTATGAGTTCTATTTTCTTTTTATAACCATTTTTATTCTTTGATATGAATGATATATGAGACTGGCCCGGCACAACGACAGAGTACAATGGGGGAGGGAAACTTGACATCATCAGTAACATAAAGCAGTATGTTCAAGCCCCCTTTAAGGGTTATTCCAAGCACCATGCTCACTTTAGTGTTTTAAAGTCATCATGGTGCTTGGAGTCTCTATGTGCAACAATTAAAAATTTAGCACATACAGGGTTAGTGACCATACAGCAAAAATACACACATTAGGTGGAGCAATGTAGAGAACACTACTTTTTGTATAATTACCGCCTAAATATGCAGAGGGATGATCGCATCACTTCTGGCACGACGGATATTCGAGTTGGAACAGGTCACAGAGGATGCTATCCAACTCGAATGTCCGTTGCGCCAGAAGTGACGCAACCATCACTCTGAGACTCGAACTCTAGAAGATGGAATGCAATCTGAGTTCCAGGATGGAAAAGTGGTATCCCGGATGTAAATTTCGATCGTAACTTGCCAATACTTAAAAGGAAGCTCAGAGAGGGGAGGAACACAGCTGAAGAAGCCTATATAGGAGGCAAAACACATTTTGGTTATTGACATTGGACACTGGATTTATTCCCTCCCCATTTTGGGCATCATTTATTTGTATTTTATTTTCATATTTTTATGTGTTTTTATCTTTTACTGCACCAATAAAAGGATTTGTTATAATTCCTGTGGAAGACTCCTGGATATTTTAATACCATGTATATTCTGAATGGGCTACAAACATTTGTAACCATGTTAGTGCCTCTATTTATATACATCATTTTGCATTATTCAGTATTATGCTATGAAACCTTTCCTGTTGAGATATCACAAGAATAGTTTCAAGGAAGTTATCTTTCAAAAGAGGATCAGGATCTACCAATATCATCCTAGTGTGCCATACACTTGAGCCAAGTGGCAAAACTGTCTCTAAGTTTGTGAGTGTGATTACTTTCTATTAATTGTGCTTTATACATACACACACCTCTTCTCTTTGTTTTCCCTGTAAAAAAAACATTATATCCAGTAATAGAGACGTATAATTCACATTGCTTCACCTATTGTGTGTTTTTTTGCTGTAATAATGAGCACCCGTACACAGCCCACATTCACGGGTATCATACACAATACATGTCGAGACCATGTGACACCAGCAGTCAAACATTAAAAATATATTTTTTATAGCTCAATCGGTAATCTCCAACTATGATAGTAAATACCATCTGCAATAAAAAAAAGTCCAAGTTTGTTCTAAAAATTCTATTTATCTTTTTAAATGCTATACAAATATTTTAAAAAATCAACACACGGTATAAGTTGTTTTTTCAGAAGTGTCAGCATAATGCTTATCTACCTCTGCATATGCCCAAATGTGTGCCCTGAGTCTTCATTATCTTCTTCTCCCCTGTGCATACTATTCTATACATAATATTAATCAGTGCAGTAGAAGGTGATGCAATTTACAGTACTGATGTGAAAGGTAAAGAGACAGACCACAGCTAAGACTGCAACGTTTGCTGCTCTACCAGATAAACACAAGTGCTAAAGCAGAGGCAAAAAAGAGATTGGTATCTGAAAATGTAGTTTTCACATGGAATGCAATGCACAACAAAACCAACAACATGTGCACGCATTGCTGATAGCGGTTAAGGACCACTAAAAGCAGCCTGGCCATTTTATCTCAATTACGTGTTCTGGGTGCAGTGTTCCCGTGTGTTTAGCCCTTCAAGGTAAAACATTGTCGTTTTGCAGAAAAAACAACTATGTTTACCTTGAAGGGTTCAAAATTCCTCTGGTGGCTTTCATCAAGACAGCCACTAGAGGCATATCCACTGCAATGGACAAGAAATTTGGATCACGTGACATTCTAGCTCATAGGACATTCGATCACATGACATTCAAGCTCATAGGAAAGCATACCTCCCCATAGGGGGCAGTATTTGCACCACTAGCTCTGCCCCAAAGTGTAGACACACTCAGAAAATGTCAGAAAAAAAAATGTCAGAGTTATTGGCAGGCCAGCCAGCCTGGTGTGAATATATATCATTCAGGCCAGTCCACTGTTTTAGTGCTCCTTGCAGTGTCCTAGTGCCCTGATCACAGCGCAAGCATATCTTATGCTCATGCTACAACTGTTGTAGTCAGTTCCCTGGTGTCCCCAAAAGCAAAACAACAAGACAGGACCTGAAAGACATGACAGTCCCACAAGGATGGTTGGGTGGGATGGGAAAGCATTGGATTAAATTATTTCATGTGGGAAGCATTGGATGCAGGGAATGTGCACATCAGTCCACAATACCCCTTTATAAGGAGCCTTGGATTAATCAAGCAACAAGGAAGCAAACCCTCCTCGATGACATTGCTGGAGGAAAAGAGAGGTCAGTAGCGTCTTAGGAGTATGAAGGAAAAAGGGAATGTTCCTGTAATTGAGTTTCCTTTCCATGAACTCCATGTCATTAATAGGGTATTAATTATATTATTGTAACGGAACGTGGCATGGAATGTCTAAGTGAACGAAAATGTACAAACCTAGTGATGTAATGGAATGGAGCTTATGGAATGTGAAGAAGTATATTTTGTTTACACTGTGATAGTTTTCTATAATGTTTTAAGTTTTATATTATATACTGACTGTGTTCTGCTTCATTCACTCTTGGATCCAACTAGTTACAAAAAAAAAATGAAAACTGGAACTTGATCTTTTACTTTCCATTTAAAAGGCATGCCAATATTGTAAGCAGCTGCTGGTGTCACCTTATGTGAACTGTACATATACTATTCATACTGCAATTGGATTATAAGCAATAAATGAATAAGTATTGATTCTACACTATTTGTTTCAAGCATGCATTTTGTAACGTAATAATGACTGACACCATTAATTCCATAATGCAACAGGACACTCATGTTCCTGGGTTTACTTATGCTTACATGCGAATATACATTTTTATTATTTTAAATAATGGAAAAGGTAAGACAATTAGTTAATAAACTCTGATATTTTATTAAAAGGATACTCTAAGCAGCATTATGACTACAGTCGGCGGGCCCCATAGCCCCATTCCAAGGTAAGCTGTCAAACCGCATGTTTGACACTTGTCTGGCTCTGTCCGGCTCTGATGGTCTGCCTGACGTTAATACTTTAACATTCATCAATATATCAAGTTTGGACATTATTCACTGACAGAGAGAGTCGTCCAATGAATAATGCATGATTATAGTGCTTAGAGTATCCTCATAAAGTGGCTCTGGTACCTTCAGCAGTATTTTGCTAAGATCCCAAAGACAAAATCCCTGCTTGGACCAAGGGTGCTGTAAAGAGCAGATATCCTTACCTGAAGCTATCCCTCTGGGTGCTGTCCATTTCCTTATTCAGCACCTGGCGCTTCATCTGCTAGGAGGGGTATCAGAGCTCTACTTTTAATTTTTTGTGCAACTCCCTTTTGGGTCATAGATTTGCATGTACATTTTCATAGTAGCCATATGCAGAGGCACACAAAGAGTTAATTAGCTAAGTAATTTGTTTGATTTTTTTTTTTTTTTCCTCAAGCTGACAGCGGTTCTCTCCATCCCAGAGCTGAGAATGATACCCTCAATAAATTTTTAATTTTGATAAGGCTACTTGGAATCACCTATCTCAGCAAACAAATATGGGGATTCAGTCCCACCACGTGGCCATTTTGTGTTAAGCCCACCACTACTTGATAGTATTTGATACTTAAATAAATTCACTGTTATACAGTGATGTTCCTAAAGTCTGAATAGGTTAAATGTGTAAGTGGATCAGGATGTGCTTTCCCTCTTGGAGAGATAATCCATATTTTTCCTGAACAAACATTTTAACTAATGAAGACTTGTGGGAGACTCTTGATATTGTGCAGTATGAATCAAGCTTAAATGAAAGCCCAAAGGGACCTGCTGACAAACATTCTACTTTAATGTTTGAACAGCAGTATTTATGTTAGAAATAGAAAATACTGCTGAAATGTCAGTATGTGATATGGTTTACAATGGTTTAAGTTGCACAAATAATGAAAATAAACAGTAACTTAACTCTTAAAGGGACAATTCGGCAACTTAATCACAACAATGTTGTCATGGTGCAAGGAGGTTTCCAGCATCCTCTTACCTGAAGGGGTAAACCTTTAACGAACTGTTTAAACCCCAAATCTGCAAACTGGCGCCCCGTTACTCTGTCCCTACATTTCCACTCAATATCCGAGGCTTCATTTAGGAAGCCTCAAATCAGGTGCAGCAGCTACTCCCAGCTTATCAGCCTACCAGTAACAATCCATTGACAAAAGTAGGTGATAAGGATACATTGAGTGGAAATGCATGGTGATGAACATATAGGGAATTTTGTCCAAACCACTGATTACACATACACCTGATCCCCAGTATAATAAAACCAAAGGTTATCGCGGCCCTGTGTGTGCCCTATCCCACAACATACGTTTACAGTGACCAAACAGTGTCCATGTTAAGTACCAATAAGAAGAAGGAAGGGTAGATAGTAAAATAATAATATTTCAACATTAGTCTCTGTCTATAGATTAAAAAAATGCATTGTAATACTATTTCCATAGTCACCCTCTCAGTCTCCACCTCTAAATGATAGCCCTGAAAGTAAAATGAGAGCCACGTGCCATCATCCTCTGCCTATCAATGTAGATTAAAGGGAAACTATAAGCACCAAAACCACCTTGTAGTGGTTTTGGTGAATGGAAGCTGTGCTTTATCTTGGACAATGTAAACTATTGGTGTTTCAGAGAAATGTTAACGTTTACATTTGTCCAGAGGCACAACACTAGTCAGACTGACAGACACCAGAGACATTTCCTCCTTAAAATTATCTGAATATTCGGCATCATTACACACAGCACAATGACATAAATGCAGCTATTTTTTTTTTTTTTCATTAAGAAGCATCTGATTCAGTCCTTCTCTGTAAGAGGCAATTGCTACAAATACACCATAACTCCTCTTTGGCAGGATTGTGAATTCCAAAACTGAGTGCTTAATGTAAGGCATACAATCCGTTTTCATCCATTCAATAGTCTGGACTGGACATTGGGCAAACTGAGCAAATTCTTAGTGGACCGCAATGGCCATAGGCTAAGACCAAGTGGGAGAGATCGAGGGCTTACCCTTGCCAGCCCCTACAGGGCCGGTGCTGCTCGAGCGGTGGCCAGAGAAGTCTCCACATCCAGTGAGGAGACCAATGATATCCCCCCTGGCCATGCCAACTTTGGGAATGTATATGCCTTTGGTGAGGACACAGGTATGCACACAGTCTCAGCCCCTACAGCACTGAGTGGCTTTTAATTCAAAGCCAGCCTGCAGACAGTCAGAGAAACTATAAACAGTGGTGAAATCCTTACTATACGTCACCCAGGGTGTCCTCTAATTCTAATCCTTCTAATGTGGTTGTTTTGTTGTTTAGGTCATTCAGTACTGTCATTGGCTTAGGTGTGTGCATATCTTTGAAGTCTTTTTATAGAGTGAGAAGACATTTGTTTCTTTTATGCAAAAACCCCCACGATTTGAAACTGACAAAATACCGCACATTAATGAGGCTTAAAAGTATCAAATGCATTAAAGAAGTATTTATAGGAGCACTATAGGGTTAGGAATACAAACATGTATTCCTGACCCTATAGGGTTAAAACCACCATCTAGCTCCCCTTCCACCCTCTTGCCTCCCTAAATATAGTAAAATTTTACTTGTATTCAAGTCTGCAGCTGCTTATTTTCTCCCAGTTTCCTTTAGACCGGCTGAAATCATCAGAAGTGGAAGCCTGATCCAATTACAATGCTTCCCCATAGGATTGGCTGAGACTGTCAAAGAGGCAGATCAAGGGCAGAGCTAGCACAATTCAAACACAGCCTTGGCCAATCAGCATCTCCTCATAGAGATGAATTGAATCAATGAATTTCTACGAGGAGAATTCAGTATCCGCATGCAGAGGGAGGAGACACAATGTTTGGATGCATTTTAGGCAGCCATGACCCAGGAAGGAGTTCTAACAGCTGAGGAGTGGCCAGTAAAGTTATCACTAGGCTGTAATGTAAACACTGCATTTTCTCTGAAAAGACAGTGTTTACAGCAAAAAGCCTTAAGGTAATTATTATTATTATTATGTTATTTATATAGCGCCATCAAATTCCGCAGCGCTTTACAATGGGTGGATGAACAGACATGTAGTTGTAACCAGACAACTTGGACACAGGAACAGAGGGTTTGAGGGCCCTGCTCAATGAGTTTACATGCTAGAGGGAGTAGGGTAAAATGACACAAAAAGGTAAGGATAGTATTAGGCTAGTGACAGTTGCAGAAGAGTGATTCTACTCACCAGAGCAAGCTCAATAAGCTGTAGTTGTTCTAGTGACTATAGTGTCCCTTTATGTCTGGAGTGTCCCTTTAATGAAATTATTATTATAGTAAAAATATTTTGGAGGGGACAGTTTTCCTTTTAACACCAGTATACAAGCTTTAAAATCAAAGCCGGGGCGGGGCCACGACCTGAAGCTGAGCAGACGCCATATTTGCGAGCTGCTATCCTGGAATAAAATTTATTTATTTTTTTAAAATTTGCTAAATACCTCGAGCAGCACTCGCCACTCAGCCCATAGCACATCACGATCGATACCAGGATCGAATACCGAATTGATAGATGCCTTTCATGCACACACCGAGGTCTGGCACACTCAAACGCAGACCCAAGGCCTACCACACTTCATCTATCCACGACTTGGAGAAGCTAATCGGTGGAGCCTACATCCAAGGTGACTCCAACCCGGACAGCGACTTCTACCCATACCAAAACAACACACTAGAGACCATGGGGAAGCCCACACAAAAGACTCGCCCTGGTTCCACGACAGAACAGCAGAACATAGGCGCCTTACTACAGCGGCAGACGCAGCCTAAAATGGCCCCTGCAGACCTGATCACCGACCCACACAGCCTCTCAAACGGACACAGATTTCACAATGCTGGCAATCACTGCAGCACCGGATGGCACATCACTCGCCACCAAACAAGATTTATAAGCCTGGGTGCAGGACATACAGAAAATGCTGGCTACAGATGTGGGTCTCCTAAAAGCTGACATGCAAAATGTCACCGACCGCGTGCGAGCGACGGAGGAAGACATCTTGGACATACAAAGCGGCATGACTACCATGAAACATACACTAACTCAACTACAAGCTTCACGGTGAAGCCTAACGCGGCAAATGTCCACGCATGAAGACCGCGCCAGACGCAACAACATACAAATCAGCGGCATACCCGTTGAAATACAGGCAGATGAACTACCACACTACATAAGGAGGGTCCTCGCCACCATATTGCCACCAGCAGTCAGCCGGAAGAATGCGCTGGACGGCCTATACCGACTCCCACCTAGCCGCCGCACTTACCAGGGATGTCATTTTGCGCTGTGCCACCTGCCAGCAGTTGAACCATGTTATGGCCGCCACCCGCCAAAACCCTTCTCACCTTTGAAACAGCCCAATTATCGTTCTTTCAGGACCTAACCCGAGCCACATTACAATGGCGCAGGTCGCTGAACCAGCTCACAAGTCCCCTACGCACAACAGGAATTCCCTACCGCTGGGGAACACTGAGAACCCTGCTAATCACTCACAATGGCATCACCCACAAGATATCCTCGGACATGGAAGTACCTGCACTTCTAGCCAAAATTGGACTGCCGGACATACCAACCAACACTCCTCAATGGGCACAACCGAGGGTATACCGAGGGTATGGAACCCGGACACCACCGCACCGTTCATTTCAAGACAGATGATTGCCTGCGCAAGACCAATGACTTGACCGGGATCGGAAAAGTCCACAACCTGGGCCATACCCAGGGGTCCTAAATGACTGGTTGGCACTGACAGAAACCAAAGAAAGTGCTATCTCATTATTCTTATTGTTTCTCTTGTTCTCTTTTCTTTATCATGTTGTGTTACCTGTTATAACAAGTTCACATTTATTATGTTATGAGGCCCATGTGCAGCCCACACCTCTGCTCAGCTAACTCATTCACTTATTCAATACCCAAAACTATGACACCATAACAACATCCCCCCCCTTCCCTCCCTGCCACACCCTAGGTTAGGGGTAAGCCTGAGTAGCCATAGACACCTGAACGCTATGGTAAAAGGACCACACGAGCCATCCCACGGGGACACAACCGACACACAAGAGACGCCCCCAGACTTCGCCGATCTCTCTGCCAAACATGAATAACATTATGGACCCCCTCACCTCAGCTTTGCGCTAAACTTAATTCCAGAGCGCTCGCCGAGCCTGAACACCCGTCCACATTTAGCCCCCAACACAGACACCCACTTGAAACCACCCCAGCCACCCTAGATACTAGCATGTAACGACCTCACATCAACCAACATGCCAGTAGACACCAAAGGCCTTAACATACAGGACCAGCGAACCACCTAGGAACATAGCCTGACACCTGCACCTGACGCCCTCATAGGGCCTTGGAGGCTGGAGGCCAAACAAGGGCACTGGAGGACTTGTCCACCAAGGCGCCAATGCAGGAGGTTCAGAACCACGTCTCTTTCAAGCCCCTCCACTAATCTCCCAGTGGGTCCCACTCTAGCTCCGCCCCGGACCATTCTGCAGTAATACTCTGCATCCCAAAAATACCTTGGTGCCAAAGTACACTTAGATTACTATCAACAAGTATTACCAAGCCTAGCACTGTATTTCCCTCTAATGATAATCTACCAGGACCAACAAAATAATAACCAACCTAGCCTGCTCCATATACTACTTACACCTACCCATTTATTGACATCTACTAGGAGTTTGTTATGTGTGCAAAACATAATTCATCCTGTTTATATACCAAAAATTTGCAATTTCTTGATCACTATGTACTACTCGCTACTATGCTCCCTTTGTTGCTAATGTGACGTTAATTGCTGGAATGCATCTACTTCCACAACAAAATAAAGAATTAATAAAATCAAAGCCATCTAATAGGTTGTTTTATTATATTTACATATATTACTTTTACAGCTTCATAATCAGACCTGCACGTGTGTTAAAGAAACACACCAAGCACCACAACCACTACAGCAGGGCTTAGCTCATTGGCTGAGAGCAATCAGTTGATGTACACTCTGGATGATGTAGTGTATTTGTGGTGGTTATAGCCCTTGCAATGTTCATTTAAGCAAAATGTCACAGGTGGTACCAGATGGAGAACTGTCATCTCATCTTAAAATTAAGTTATTTTTACCTTATGACAGAACCCATCTCCCTTTGCTGTTCAAACTTAAAATGCAGGTAACAGATTGTACTGCTGTCAATCTCATATGTAGTCTGTGCTTGCTAAATGTTTCTTGTGGTGTGTTTGTGTAGGATTTATACATATATATATTTGTGTGAATGCACATATCACTGTGACAAAGGTCAGTGTATCCCTCAAAGATAAACTCCACCACCAATACCCCAAAAGCAGACAAACGAACAAGACAGAATTCCTGACTATTGTTAAAGTTAGATACAATCCGTTGACTAGTCTGATGATATATGAAGGTCTGTTGTTGCTGCCTGGTGTTGAAGGGAAATTTGTGCAGTAGTCTATGCAATCTAAAAATGATGACATATTTATTGATTTAGGTTACATTTCATAGACATCATACTTCTGTGCACATTTCATAAATCAGTGATCATACAGTTCTAAATTAGAACATTGAACAGAATCAGGTGGAAATCTTGAAAAGTAATACTGACAACTGAACAAGAGATTGTTGTCAGGCAATAAGTACAATTGATGGGAGAATGCAATAAAAGGGAGAAGATTAGGTCAGATAAGCTGGACTGATAGGGACAGGTGGGAATGAGGCCAGCTAGAATGAGGAAGGGGATTGAACTATGAAGAATAAAGTAAGGGGTTAGACGAATTGTTAGTGAAGCTCGTCATTGCTTGTGTCTGTGTGGCCAAATCTCCTAGAAGCTAGCTGGTATCGCCAAGATCGAGGGGTGAAAAGTGAAATGGCTGTGATTCATACAGCTATCATGCACACAGATTATGGTGATATGGGAAATTACTCACTTATCTGAAAATTATATTATATACTGTTTTTAATAAAAATTGATATTTTGACTAAAAGCCTTCACTGCTTTCTATTTCCTTTTAGATGTTTTGGATTGGAACTTCGCTTGGCTAAATCTCCAAAAATCTGTTTGAGCGATTACAGTCAGAGCAGCACTAAGTCTGCTTTAACGTTATAAGTGCAATTCATCAGCCTCTTGGCTTATATACTCACTTTGACTTTTATATAATACTTTTATTTTATTTTCATATTGTAATTGGAAATTAGAGTCATCCAACTTTATTGAAAAATACTGTTAGAGTGATTCACATAATTTTTGCAAACTAGATTTTGTTTTTTGTTGTTGTTGTATACAATATAATGTTATTTTGTTATTATTTTGATGAAATCTGTTCCTTTAGTACATTTTATAGAATAAGTGGTAACATCCTTCGAAGAGGTGAGTTTTTGGGGACTGTTTAAGCTACCTCATATGGCAAGAGTCTTAAGAAGACCATCAATTTTCCAAAAGATAGTGGCTTCATGGAAAGATTCTATGAAACGTTAAAGGCAGAAAAAGAAAAAGAGGGCACCCAAGAGAGAATATGAGCACAACAGTGAAAGTATAGTAGAATCGAGTGTCCAGTGTCATGTAAATTTGGGTAATGACTTAAAATTTTATTTTGGTGATGATGAGATGCCAAGGAAAGCATTGGTTGAGGGAACAGCAAATGACAAAACAAAATCAAGCACATTTGTTGCTGCTAGTCAAGCAGACCAATTAAAATATTGTTGAGTCAACTGAAGCAAGGTTCAAATACGGTGGATGCGGAGAAATTTGAGGACCGGTAGAAGTGCAATTCCAGTTGACAATGCTGGCAATATCTAGCATTGATAATTAAAAAAAATATAGGTAAGTACACTGAATAAGTATACCTGACATTAGAGTCAGTTAAATGTTGTTGATGAAGGTCCCTAACACTAGTAGTAGGCAAATATATTGCACTAGTCTGCCTGATCATGGTCCCCAGGATGTACTTGGGGACAGATGACCTGAATCTTGATTTGGTTATTTGCTACAAAGAGCATTTCCACTTATCACATAATTATCTGACCTTTAATGTGATTAAAGCTGTAGCTTGCAATATTTGGCATTGATTAGCAAGTTAAGATTAACAAGGCAGAAATTGGAATTTTATTGAGTAATAGAACATGAAATAAGTAGCTCTTCTCTAAGATGTGCTTATAATGATTATCTGTGGCTGTTTTGATGGCAGGTTATTACTTTGAAGACACATGTGTAACCAGACCAGTCAGTGTCTATATAACTCGGTGCACATGGCTGGAGATATAGAAACAACCATGATTTAATCAGACAACAAGTTTTATTTCCAGACCACCCAAGCGATTGATATAATTTTCCATTGGGGGATGGGGAAATGAATGTTCATCTGTGTATAAAATAAGCAAGAGATAGGAGATGTCAGCCAGACACCTAAGTCCAGACGGCATGGGTTCAGTGATAAATCAACCCTCATTCATAATCCACTTTCCGCTTACGAGCAGCTTCCTAATTGGCATGAAAATGATTATGGTGATGTAATTTACTATGGAAAGAGAAGGTAAGCAAAAAAGGAGGACATTTTCCATACAGTATAAATTTGGTCATGTCACGTTAATAAGCTAATAATTTTAAAACAACATGCAATCCAGATGACTCCAATTGCCCTCTGCAGCAACTTATTTACCTAATATATAGAGACTTCGATTGTTGGTGCATATATATGTTTGCAAAGTGTTCACATTCTAACCAACGCTGTATATGATCAGTCCATTGCTGGACATAGTAACAGTGGTGTCAAGTTTAAATCATGTAGGTCAGGTAATGACAGTTTAAGTCAGGTAGTTTAGGTAGAAACACTAATAAATAGCCAGCACACACCAAACACTTACACACATCATATAGTCAGTACACACCAGACACACACTATATTGTTAGTACACACCAGACATGCACACTATATTGTTAGAACACACCAGACACACACACCATATGGTCAGCACACATCATACACACACAACATACAGCCTGCATACACCAGACAAAGCTCACTGCCTGACAACCCAGGCAGTTCCCCTACAGGCAGTTGTGCAGACTGGCGTTCTGGCCATGTAAGCGCTACATCATGTGCAGGGTGGCATGATGTGCCCTAACAGCGTTAATGGGTTAATATAGTGCCCGGATATCATACATTTGAGTACCTCCCTGGATGTCAGTAAGGACACATCAGGTGTTTAAATTTCAGCAAAATACTTAGTGAGGTCAGCCCATGTCTGCTCAATACCTGTAGCAAAATATTATTAGATATTAGATTTTCATTACGTTTGCATTGGCTTCCACGTGGTCTGTGCAGGGGTGACAGTGTCACAAAGACTAAAGGAATGTATTAAACAGGTAGCCGATCAAATGTCTGAGGATAATAAAAGTGGCAAGAATTCTTGTGCCATTAGTAAATAATCCCTACCATACCTTCGAGAAGCTCCACACTCCAACAGTCTGCCAAGCCCACCCACCGTAAATCTCCATTAATGTGGTTGATATTGTGGAATAGGATTGTGCTTTGACCTCTCGATGTGTCCCCTTTGTAGTCGAGGGCAATGTTAAGATCTCCCGCTACTATCATTAAGCCTTCCGGAACTTCTTCAAACAAGCAAAAGTGTAAGGACAGTCTGCTATAGTGCCTTTATAAATAGGAAATGGTTCAATGGGTCTTCTAACATTGCTGTGCAGTTGAATGGTATCGTTTGTGCAAACACAGCAACTCCGGCTTTTTTGGAATCTCTTTTATTACCCACAACCCCAGTGGGGAAGCTCCTATCCTTCAGTGCAGGAGCTAATGCCTTCCTAAAGTGCATTTCTTGTAAGAAAGCCACTGATACCCTTTGTGCCCGAAGCCTTAAAGTTTGGAGCGTTGTTCAGGGAAATTCAATCCATGGACATTATTAGTCCATAGGTGCAGGGGGATAGGAGAGAAACTCTCCATTGCCAAGAAAGGATGGTCGAAAGAGACAAGAGGGAAAGAGGAAGAAACAAAAAAAATAAAAGTGGGTGGGACACAAAATTACCCTAAAATCTAAATATATAGAATTGCGATGATGACATCATGTCTGAGGGAAAATGTGAGGGAAGAAATTCCACAATATGAGTCAAATCCCCCTTCACCATACCTGTTTCTGTGCATATGCCCCCGGGACAAGATTGAGGGACAGTCTGTACCAGTCATTCATGACTCTCTATTTGGCAGTAAATATTTGGCGCATGACGGTTTATGAGCTATCATGTTGTGATTTCTTGAAGGGTGTATCAAGAGCAGTCCCGCCTAATTGCAGCCAGAGGTGGAGCGTAAGCCATCCCATCTCTGATGCTATCAAAAGTGCTTCAGTGGCTCTCCGACCAAGTTGATTACAATAAAGGCCCTGGCGGTAAGCATTCTCTAATTTCTGCCTCCCTTAAATTATCTAGACCAATACCACATATTCTCGTGTCAGTACTCTTGTACCTGGGAAGCTGGTAACATTTATAGATTAAAAAAACAGATGTTATGCCATTGGATTATATTTTATCAGTATATGTGATTGCTTAATGTACATGTACATGGAGGAGTAGCGGGGATGACTCTCTCCAAATGGTCTATATAACATTACAATACTCATACATTAATCATTGCATGGGGGGCTTCTGTCTGACTTATTATAAGAGTAAGGTAGCATAAACATTAAAATTACAGCAAAAAACATGATATTAGTGAGATCATTGGTGAATGTTGTAAGAAATCCTATCAGCATCCTACACAGGGTTGGCCTGCATTCTTCCTCTCCTGTTAAATCCCATTCCCCTCCCCAAATGGCTTACACGTAGAACCAGATCCACTTGTACGCTACAGTCCTGTAGGTTACCAAGTCCCACTTGTACTCCAGTCCAGGTGCCAGGTGCTAGCGTGATGTATTACTTGAGCAAATTGTAGAGGCGTAAATTGTAAAAAAAAAAATTAAAAAATTGAGGGGCGGCTTGTGACAAATAAGCCTAGCAGTGGAAGATACCTGGCATCTCCACAGTTACTTGGTGGATTCCAAACATCCTCATATCCCAATACCCCTCACCAAGCGGTGCATGGACAGTACTCTGCTTTATTAAATGAAGAGAGTATATTTAAAACAAGACCACAAGAGGACATAGACTTAAATTATAAGACTTTAAAATAATATCAGGAAGTACTACTTTACTGAGAAGGTAATGGATGCATGGAATAGACTTCCAGCAAAGTGGTAGAGGTTAACACATTGGGGGAGTTTAACCCCTTAAGGACCAAACTTCTGTAATAAAAGGGAATCCTGACATGTCACACACATGTCATGTGTCTTTGAGGGGTTAAGCATGCGTGGGATAGACATAAGGCTATCCAAGATACTAATGTAAGTATTAAGAAAACTGGGCAGACTAGATGGTCCGAATGGCTCTTATCTGCCATCAAATTCTATGTTTCTATTAGTGTCGTGGGCTTTTTTCTTTCCCCTAGGAATGTAAAAATAGTAATGGCATTCTTCCAAAATGAAAACAAAAAACAGAAATTGTACAAAAATAAATGATAATCTGTACCATGAGCATTGGGATCCTACACCTCTGCAGCAGAACATTTTGGTATCTTGTTATCCACATCACAAGTGACTGCTTTGTTTGTCTTCAAAAACTGAAGGCAACAATTTGTGTAAGTAACTGCTTATTCCTCGGGTCCCTCTGATCCTCCTCTGCACTGCGCAAAGTGGCAGTTGCCAGCGACTCTCATTAGCAGCCACTCTATGAGCATCCGCGTGGTTAAGGATCCAGTTGGGCACCGATAATGCTGTGAGGTGCAAAGCTCAAAGGTAGCGTGGGACATCTTAAGGCTATTGTATAACTTGCCAGATGTTTCCAAGTCTGGCCTGTAGGCTGAACAGAAACCCCAGTCAAGGGCAACAGTTCTTGGTAGGGAGAGATTGTCGATCCTTTGAATTGTATCGCAGAAGTGCACCTGGCTATTGACATTATGCGTTCTTTCAAGCCAAAAGCATGAAAGCATGGAGGCAGTAGATCACATCTTGTGGCAGGCCATCCACTTGGAGGGGAGGGGGGGGGATGGAGTGCTCTATAGGCCCTGCCAGTGGTATGGAGACTGGTGCACTAGTCATAAGATCTGCTTAAATAGTGCTTCAAGCATTTCTGCAACAGGATACCCATCAGATAGGCCTTGAACCCTTACATTGTTCCACTGGCCTCTATTATCAAGGTTTTCAACTTGTCTTCTAAGTTCATGGAGCATATTTTCTTTTTCTTGTGGCCGCTATCTCTGCCGTTCTAAGTTGCTGGCCCGACAGATCTCAGTTTCCTCGATCTCAACTTTTGCATCAAGAGAGGTCAGGTGACTTTTTTTATCTGGGTACGTTTATCTGGATAAAAACTGTTAACAAAAATGTAGCTGTCTGAATATTTTCTGAATGCACTGTATAAGACAAGCAGTGGAAGAATTTTTCAGAATCATTATTCTTTATATTTTGTAATTTGGATTTTAATCCACTACAAATCTGTGTTTAGTACATAAACGCCATGATGTAACAACCCAGTTTTTGTGCGCTTTAGATTGTTGAAATCTCAAGGGATCCTAAGTTACCCCTTAGCAACAGCATAATAGTTCTAGACTTTGACGCCAGCACATCTAACACAAATGTTATTTACCTTTACTACTGAGGTATCTAAACAATCCAACGGCACATTTAACTAAAATTACTTTTGTTTTTTTGTCAGTTCGTGACCTAGTGTTGCTTTGTTTTAAAATTACACACATAACTTGAGGTTGTTTGGGAAAATTATGACGTTAGCAAACAAGTATAACAGGCAGCATCCTTTCATAGTTGTATTATCTTATTTAGTCATAGTGCTTATGTAGGAAGCAGGAACGCAGGAAAATTTATTTAATTGACTGCATGTATTATGAAAAAATTACAAAAGAAACTGTTACTGCGTGACTACCATTTGTTCTTTTATCATCAACATCTGAGGTTATGATGTTCAGATTACCTTTAAAAGTACTGACGGAATTGAATTCTATAGAACATTGTGTAATAAAATACAGGTTATTCACTATAAACTTTTTGATTGTCAAGCCTTACCCAATACATTGATTGCCTTGCATTTCTTGTTTTTTAGAGAATAGACAACCTAAATAGGCAATTGTGAGTGTCAAACAGAAAAAAAAAATGCTAGGTTTCGCCTCCCATTTCAACATTTGACAAGTTATTGATGCATTACATGTAACGATGGTGCCTATAATTGATAGACGTTTTCAGCATTCCTTGAATTGACGTTTTCACCAGATAATTCTACCCCATCAGTAGCAGGCTATTCTCTGTTTTTCTACAAACACACTTCCCTGTCTCACAAATCCTACACAGGGGAGGACTGGCAACTTTTGGCCTGAAGGGCAAGAACAACTGAGTAGCCCTTTTTTTGCATACAAAATGAGCTGCATGGCATAAAGGAACATACCTGTAACTCCATTGCCCCAAATAACAATTGGCATCATTTATGAATATCATGTCTCCTAACATTTCAAATGGACAAAGAGTTTTAGGGGTGCACACTGGGGTGCAGTCAGGGGTAAGGCTGTTCTGAGAAATTTTAGGTGACTTACTAATAAAACCATGCACAACTGTAAACATGTAAATTAGCACAAAAACAATATCTTATTTATACAGATTTCAATTTTTTTTTGTATTATTAACCCCTTAAGGACTGAGCCAAATGTACACATTGTGATCAAAACAAAACGTAAACAAAATCTGGAATTTGACTATATGTCTGTTCAACTGTAATTCACCTCTTTCATATTAAAGGGACACCATAGTCACCAGAACAACTACAGCTTATTGAATTTGTTCTGGTGAGTAGAATCATTACCTTCAGGCTTTTTGCTGTAAACACTGTCTTTTCAGAGAAAATGCAGTGTTTACATTACAGCCTAGTGATAACTTCACTGGCCACTCCTTAGATGGCTGTTAGAGATCCTTCCTGGGTCATGGCTGCCTAAAATGCATCCAAACATTCAGTGTATCCTTCCTCTGAATGCAGACACTGAACTTTCCTCATACAGGGAGTGCAGAATTATTAGGCAAGTTGTATTTTTGAGGATTAATTTTATTATTGAACAACAACCATGTTCTCAATGAACCCAAAAAACTCATTAATATCAAAGCTGAATATTTTTGGAAGTAGTTTTTAGTTTGTTTTTAGTTATAGCTATGTTAGGGGGATATCTGTGTGTGCAGGTGACTATTACTGTGCATAATTATTAGGCAACTTAACAAAAAACAAATATATACCCATTTCAATTATTTATTATTACCAGTGAAACCAATATAACATCTCAACATTCACAAATATACATTTCTGACATTCAAAAACAAAACAAAAACAAATCAGTGACCAATATAGCCACCTTTCTTTGCAAGGACACTCAAAAGCCTGCCATCCATGGATTCTGTCAGTGTTTTGATCTGTTCACCATCAACATTGCGTGCAGCAGCAACCACAGCCTCCCAGACACTGTTCAGAGAGGTGTACTGTTTTCCCTCCTTGTAAATCTCACATTTGATGATGGACCACAGGTTCTCAATGGGGTTCAGATCAGGTGAACAAGGAGGCCATGTCATTAGATTTTCTTCTTTTATACCCTTTCTTGCCAGCCACGCTGTGGAGTACTTGGACGCGTGTGATGGAGCATTGTCCTGCATGAAAATCATGTTTTTCTTGAAGGATGCAGACTTCTTCCTGTACCACTGCTTGAAGAAGGTGTCTTCCAGGAACTGGCAGTAGGACTGGGAGTTGAGCTTGACTCCATCCTCAACCCGAAAAGGCCCCACAAGCTCATCTTTGATGATACCAGCCCAAACCAGTACTCCACCTCCACCTTGCTGGCGTCTGAGTCGGACTGGAGCTCTCTGCCCTTTACCAATCCAGCCACGGGCCCATCCATCTGGCCCATCAAGACTCACTCTCATTTCATCAGTCCATAAAACCTTAGAAAAATCAGTCTTGAGATATTTCTTGGCCCAGTCTTGACGTTTCAGCTTGTGTGTCTTGTTCAGTGGTGGTCGTCTTTCAGCCTTTCTTACCTTGGCCATGTCTCTGAGTATTGCACACCTTGTGCTTTTGGGCACTCCAGTGATGTTGCAGCTCTGAAATATGGCCAAACTGGTGGCAAGTGGCATCGTGGCAGCTGCACGCTTGACTTTTCTCAGTTCATGGGCAGTTTTTTGCGCCTTGGTTTTTCCACACGCTTCTTGCGACCCTGTTGACTATTTTGAATGAAATGCTTGATTGTTCGATGATCACGCTTCAGAAGCTTTGCAATTTTAAGAGTGCTGCATCCCTCTGCAAGATATCTCACTATTTTTGACTTTTCTGAGCCTGTCAAGTCCTTCTTTTGACCCATTTTGCCAAAGGAAAGGAAGTTGCCTAATAATTATGCACACCTGATATAGGGTGTTGATGTCATTAGACCACACCCCTTCTCATTACAGAGATGCACATCACCTAATATGCTTAATTGGTAGTAGGCTTTCGAGCCTATACAGCTTGGAGTAAGACAACATGCATAAAGAGGATGATGTGGTCAAAATACTCATTTGCCTAATAATTCTGCACTCCCTGTAGAGATTCATTGATTCAATTCATCTCTATGAGGAGATGCTGATTGGCCAGGGCTGTGTTTGAATCATGCTGGCTCTGCTCCTGATCTGCCTCTATGTCAGTCTTAGCCAATCCTATGGGGAAGCACTGTGATTGGTTTAGGCCACCACTTCTGATGATGTCAGCAGACTGCTTGTTTTTATGAGGCAAACAGCATGCAGATTTACAGCTTCAGGCTTGAATACAGTAAGATTTTGCTATATTTATGGAGGCATGAGGGGGCCAGGGGGGCTAGATGGTGGTGTTAACACTATAAGGTCAGGAATACATGTTTGTGTTCCTGACCCTATAGTGATCCTTTAAGTGCACCCACACTTATTATATATCATTTTATTCAGGGGAAACAGGGCTTTAATTTAACATCAAATACTTAGCTATGAATCATAATTTAATATGAATAAAATATTTTAAAATGGGAAATTGTTATTTTTTTAGTTCTACGTGACATTTTAGCTGTGAATGTCATAATACTGTTTGCTTTTACTGCAATAAAATACACATATTTGTATTCAGTGATATCTCACATGTAAAACAGTACCCCCTATGTACAGGTTTTATGGTGTTTTGGGAAGTTACAGGGTCAAATATAGCATGTTACATTTTTCAGTTTTTTCACATTGTAATTCGCCAGGTTACATTGCCTTTGAGACCGTATGGTAGCACAGGAATGAGAATTACCCCAATGAAATGGGGTATGTCCAGTCTTTTTTAGTAGCCACTTGGTCACGAACACTGGCCAAAGTTAGTGTTAATATTTGTTTGTGTGTAAAAAATGCAAAAAACTAATTTGAACGCCAATTTAGTGGCTTCTAAAAAAGACTGGACATAACCCAATTGCAATAACTTGGGTTGTCTACTATTGCAAATGGTATGCCATCATGGAGGTAATTTTCATTCTTGGGATACCATACGGTCTAAAAAGGCAACGTCACCAATCTGGCGAATTTCAATGTGAAAAAATTGAAACGCAAGCCTTATATTTGACCCTGTAACTTTCCAAGACACCATAAAACCTGTACATGAGGGGTACAGTTATACTTGGGAGACTTCGCTGAACACAAATATTAGTGTTTCAAAACAGTAAACAATTATGGGAAAGTTACAGGGTTAAATATAGCAAATTAAATTCCCTGGACTTTTGGCCTGGGTTGTCAGGCAGGTCCCACAAATTGTAATCAATAAAATGACCTAATTATGTAAAAATATTACATAAATATATATACGTAGAATTATTAGATATATACACACACACACGTATATATATATATCTCACAAGAAAAAAAAATCAGCACTCCCAGGTATTTTCACACAAACTTCTTTACTGGAAAAAGTGTCAAACAATCATCAACGTTTCAGTTCCAACTAGGAACTTTCATCAGGACAAACACTCCTTCATAGGGTATGGAATGTCATGGGCACAGTCTCATCTCTCCCCATAGTCACTTGTAAACACCTTCAGAGACCTCATTCATACTCATCTCAGACTGGCAGGGTATTTAACACAAGATACTGCAGTTCTGGACCAGTTCAGATTTGGACAACATTAAGATTATGGGCCACCAGCCCATGCACAAACCTAGACAGTGTTTGGCCAGCAACGGCCCTGTTCAATACCTGTCTGGCGCTTCACTCCTCTATTACTGTGCCAAAACACCTCATGCTGTTTTAATCTACAGAGAAATAGTGAGAGGCTGCAGCTCACAGTCACAGCCACTGTATGCTAAAGGTCCAAGGAGTAATTAACCCCCACCTCATCTTGCCAGGCCTGTTTTAATTGACTTCATATTGCCAATATGGCCTGATTCTTATTTGATTAACTGGCCCTAAACAATGTTAAAATTTTCACAATTTTTACGTTTAAATTATGAACTATGGCTAGTCCATAGAAGCATCAAAAATACAGAGAGAGTGGGTGTGTGTGAGTTGGTGTCGTGATCCATCTACCTACAGGCTCACAATTAATAAACATACTGTTGATTTTTATTAGAGATTATGTAAATAGAATAAAAAGGGGAATTTAAGTAGGAGCAGCTTGAAAGGTTGCATTTTACCACAATAAAGGCAGGTTTTTTAAAATGGCATTTATCCTCACTTAACCCTACACATAAAGTTAGATGAAACAAGTTAAACAATGCATTACAATATAGTTTAATTACAGAGCCTTTTTTTAGTGGAATGGGTACACACCCATAATCTGGGTGTCTGTTCTTTGCCTCCCCACTCTCTATCACCATCCCCCTCTCACTATCTGATTATATGCTGTGTCTGCAGTGGAGGGAGGGTGAAAGCATGTGTATTTGTCCATAGTAATTGAATTTAACTTCTTTTCACCTTGAATCTTTTTACTGCTTTCAGCCTGAAATCTTCAGCATATCCAGTATACATTATGACTTTCTCCTGCACTGTTTTAAAAACAGCACCCATTTCTTAATTTAAAACATCGGCAAGCATCTCTTCTCACGTTACCAGCCCCGATCATTTCCTTTAATTTAAACATTGCTTCGAGTGTCCCCTCCCGTTCCTTGTGGTTGTGTCACTGTCATTCTGTGGTGGCACCAGCAGATCAATGGGTTAAATGTCCTCTCTCAGTATTTGAGTTTATCTCCTCTGGCAACATTAATAGCTTGAAGGGTAAGTGATCTCATGTCCAGAGATCAGATTAAATTACAATTAAAGATAATGTATCTTCTTGTAATCTAATGTATAAGGTATTTTAATATCAAATATTGTCTTCACATTATGTAACATTAATATAGAAAAATGAATGACAGGTTGCAAAAAAAAAATTTCATTACATTATGATAAAAAAAAAATAATATATATATATATATATATATATATATATATACACATATATACACACACACACATTCTGACACTTTACACAGGATTATTCATTAACGTGAGAATTCAAGGTAAATATCAAATGTAAGGTCAAAATAGCTGAACTAGAAAAAACAATATCTAAATCGGGTATGCTTTTGCTTTACCTACTCTAATCTTAAAGGGTTACTCCAGTCACCATGACCACTTCTGCGTTTACATGTGGTCATACTAGTAGCAATCTAGATCTACATACAGCCTTGATTCCACATGTTTTATCTCTCAAAATGATTATTAAATAGAGAGATTGATATCACTCATTGGCCGATGGTTATTAATACCATATTTTGTATTACAAGATTTTTTATTACTTATATTTAATAATATTATTTTGATGTTTTTATTTTTCTTTTAAAATGCACACCTTAGGCGATCCGCCCTTTACAAATTGACTTTTAAACTTTATTATTTCTTAATTGAATGACCACTCCTTTAGATGCAGGGTATATATACCCAGTTTGTGGACAACAGATCTTTGTATTGAGAAAGTCCTTCATAGGGGACGAAACGCGTAGACGATCTGTTTTCCGTCTCCTCCGATCTTCAACCCGGCTTCATTTACGGTCCGGGAGGGATTTCTGGCAGCTGTTGAATTCAGACCTACACATTTTATCTCGTGGTAGGGAGTTGGCGTGCTCCCCTTACCTTACACGAAGGTCGGGTGAATAGGGTAAGTTGCTCTGACTTAATCCCTGGGTTTATAACGCTGGGAGACTATTCACAGCGGCACCCCTCACCTTTACCCAGTGGTTTGGCGGGTTTATGAGCTCCCTCCCCCCATGAATAATATATGTGTTTGAGGTCTGATATTCATTTTTGATGTTCTACAATTTGATGTGCACAGTCCTTTTGTTTTTTAATAATTTTTCTTCTTTGATACACAATCTATATTAGTGTTGGGGGCCCCACACTGTGTATCTTCGAACTCTGGTCTGGACATATTTTTGTGATAACTTTTATATATATAAAAATCTCTTTATTGTATTCATGTTTGATTAACTTTATTGTTTATATATGAATAAATACTTTGTGTACATTTACATTTTTATTTTATTCTACAGCTGCTACTTTGGAATATAATATTTTTAGTGGTCATATCTTATTTGGAGCGCTCACATACCCTTGTTGGTTTATATTTTATTTAGTAGCAATCTAGTGCAGTGAAAAGCAGTGTAAATTTTGGCAGCAAATTTCAATTTAGTTTTAGTCATAGTCTTTTGACTAAAAAGCCATTTTAGATTTAGTATTTTAGTCATCTGAATTGTTTTAGTTTTAGTCTAGTTTTAGTTGACTAAATCTCCAGAAGATTTTATTCAACACGACTAAAATCTAATGGGTTTAGTTAAAGCCTCTGTCTGTCTCTTTTGCCCCTTCCACAGTCCCACTGTGTCTCTTAGTGTCCTCCAAGCACCTCTGGGTTTCTCTCTCCAAAGCCCTGGTCTGTCTCTTTTGCCTCTTCCACAGGCCCTCTGTGCACTGCTAATTTTGGCGGAAAATTTCAATAGAGTTTTAGCAATAGTCTTTTGACTAAAAAGCCATTTTAGTTTTAGTCGCATTTTAGTTGTCTGAATTGTTCTAGTTTTAGTCGACTAAATCTCACAAATGTTCGTCAACAAAAATGTAAATTTGCACTTATATGTCAGGAGCTAGTTGCACCGCACGCACATGTGACTTAGGCAACCATGAACTGTGTTCCTGGCTGCAAAATATCAATTCTGTACAAAATGTACGTTAGTTGGCCGCACACAAAGCGCACTGGTGATAGACATACAGAGTTTATCCTTTCCAAGCAGCACCTAAAAGGGGAAGAATGTGTCCCTCTTTTATCTAATGCCTCCCTGCCTCCTTATAGTCTCATTGAGCCACCAAGAACGTCCATCAAATGCTTTTTTTGTGAGAAGCATTTGATTGGACTGTCCGTGGGAGATGTGATGACGAAGGAGGAGTGGAATCCAGAGTTGGTTGCTTTGCCCAAAGAACTTTGTATAGGTTGAAACATTGCTCTTTGCATTTTGATCCAGTAAAACTGATTTGTATTTGAACCCTGTGTGTGCCTGAAGCCTCTTTTTGGATATATCGTATACTAAAGTTCAGGCATGATAGTCATGAATCAATATACTTTAAGAACCAAGAGAATCAGAAGTGTTAAGTTAAGAAGGAAGGTTCAGTGCCTTGTGGTTTGTCTGCAGCAATACCTTGACCTCGCCACAAAGCTCTATTTTTATCCCTAATTCATTCTTAATTTACCGATTACATTTTATCTGGTGGAAACTCTAGCCACCAATAAAATTAAACTTTTTTTTATTTTTATATATATATATTTTTATTTTTTGGAAAAAAAATTTGTTTTGTTTTAACATTATCAAAATACATACAATACCTCAATGAGCATTACAAATATACAAATAAATATGTTCCATTAAAGCAAATAAAATTAAACTTAATTGCCACGCTCCCCTAAAAACACTTGTACTCTCCTAACTTCATTTAACTCTAACCTAACCCAGCCAACCCCATGGCTGAAAAAACATTAACCTAACATACTTAACTTCATGGCCGAGTTACTCTCACCTAATCCAGCCAACCCCAAAGCATCCATCGTTGGGACAAGTGCTTTACACCCCAATGTTAACTTGTGTTAAAGGGTTACTCCAACCACCATGACCACTTCAATGATTTGAGGTGGTCATGGTGGTAGGAATCGGTATGTGCAGTGTTTCTGCTTAAAAGAAAAGCTGCACACACTCAGATATTGATCATTGTGTGGTGCAGGCTAGTTGCACTCCCAGCACACGTGACACTGGCAGCCCAGAGCTCTGTTCTGGGCTGCCTAATGTCAATTCTCTGCATAAATTACATCTGTTGTCAGCATGCACTGCACGCTGACAACAGATGTGAAAATCTTCCCCTTGCAGGCATAGCCAAGATACAAGGTGAGTGAACTACCCTATAGGGCCCAGCAGGGCATATTACTCAAGAAAGGTCCCCATCTCATTAAGGTGGTAGTAACCATATAACATTCCAATGAGGAATTCTCAAATCACTCAGCAAGGAATTTAGTTTGGGCTCTTTTCAATAACATGCTCAATCATCTCAATAGTTACATACAAGTCATGAATTGTTATTTAATGCTCTGCTTCTGACTACCTCCCCACAATTTAATTCATTTATCTGTTTGATAGGTTGTGAGCTATAATAGAGTTATGACAGCCAGGGGAAGAGGGGCAAGTGGAGGGGGATAATGTATCATTTTTTTCCAATACTTTATTACATAGACTCTATTGTATTTGTAAAGTTGGGTTATTTTAGGTGAAAATGCAAATGCACAAAAATTACAACTTGCCCCACATCTAGTAAGACCAAATAATATGATAGTAGGGGATAGGTACACCCATCATATCTGCTGTGAATTAGTAGGCTGTGTGCTCAAACTATATTATTTAAAGTTTGCTAGTAAAAACAGTGACAAAAAAAGGAAAAAGGAGTACTTGAATGTATCGTGTTTTTCAATTTTTACACAAGAATTGTTTTGAAATATAACAGTTCACATGTTGCCTCTTGTACAAAAATGGAACAACCACTGTGCCATCAGGCATTTATAACAGTGGAAGACGCAGAGTTGGGTACATTGTCTATAGATTTTCCAGTCTGGTAATAGCTGGTGACCCTTAGGATTCTGGGTAATGTATTAGTCAAATCCTGAGAGGAATGCAGACGAGTCCAGAGCGGTGGGCAAAAATTCACATGTTGTATTATAGGGACTACTGTTTGTTTTTTTCACACAAACTGTGATTAAAATTTAAATAATATATCTGGATATCTGGATAATATTATGCCAGGATATAATTTATTCTTTTTTTTTATCTTGGTTTTACTGTGTTATATTTAAATTATAAACAGGTAAATTAAATTGTTGGTGTTCTGTTCTAATCAGTTTAAGTCCAAAAGAAGCACAGACTCAAAATATACTATTACTGCATGGCTGCTGGTAATCTGTAAGGTTATTGGCCTTAACAGCTCTCTAATTCCAAGTCTGTTTCTTCCACTATGATGCTACAATGATATATTGCTTTCACAACTGGGTCCCACGGGGGATGAAGGCAGTGATAAAGACGTCACACACTTGCCAATATTTATACCAAAAAAATAATAATAATAATGGCAGATTATTTCTTGTGACAATATGTGTAGAAAATAAAATATATAATTTAACTGCATTTCCTGCAGCCCTAGCTTGTTTATTATTGAGTGTGTTTTTTTTCCAATCTCTTGTTTATTAATTATCTTCCAAGAAAGGTCACAAGAACAGGACAGATTTTTCTCACCCGTGAGCTACATCCCAATATTATATCACCATACCTGCTGCTAATTCTTGTCTCAACATAGAAAATGACATTCAGCTACATTTTGCTACTGCTGTGCCACATTGTTTGCATTCAAAATAGCAAGTCCCAGGTTTATTTCCTTTACTGCTATGTCAATGTAACATTCATTCGACATAGTACCTCTGCAAACTGTGCTAAATGCATTATTTTGCATGTGTACACATAGCTAGTCACCACCATCTCACTGCAATCAATCTTTGCCACTCATGCAGAGAGATATCCCCTCCCTTGTAGAAAAGACTTCACTATAAACCATGATGGCTCACTCACTGACCTGAGAAAACATCTGAAAGCCAGACTGTTTAAATAAACTGTGGGCCAGAGCTTGAATAAAATGTCAGTGGCATGATACAAATCTGTAATTAGAAAACCCTAGTGCGGACAGCAAATCACAAAATGGCAGGGTATGTAAACCCTGTAAAATGAATATAATTTTAATTTGTATATATGTGTACAACTAAAAGCCAGTGCCAGGACCATGAGCAATTTAAGTTGCTGAGTCCACACCACTGTCATACTTTCTGAATTTTCACCTGAAAATATAGATAATAAACACAATCTGTATTTAGTGTGAGCTTCCTTTATTCTCACCAATACCATTAAAACCTACTGCCCACTCACATAAACCATTTAACTTGAATCACACATAGTATCTTAACCTTAATCCTTGACTCACACCTACCACTTTCACCTTTATCCTTCTATATTGCACACATTACTTTAACTATCATATGTCTTTTACATGTTTAACTTTAAAGGGATCCTATAGGGTCAGGAAAACAAACCCGTTTTCCTGACACTATAGGCTCTTGGAGTGCCCCCTTCCCTCTTAACCTTAATCCAGCACCAGTCTCCCTCGGCACTGGTGACCTCTCCTCCCCCGCCAACGTTAGCTCCCTAGTGGAGCTGAATGCGCATGTGCGGCCAGAGGCACGCACACTTTCAAACCCGCCCATAGGAAAGCATTACTCAATGCTTTCCTATGGGGATCTTTTTTGACACTGGACTCCATGAGGACATCCAGCATCAAATAGGTGCAATTTACTTAGTGTAAATCACGGAAGCGGCCTCTAGTGGCTGTCTAGTGGCTGTCACTAGAGGCTGGATTAACCCTGCAGTGTAAACATAGTAGTTTCTCTGAAACTGCTATGTTTTCAGCTGCAGGGTTAAAACTAGGGGGACCTGGCACCTAGACCACTTCATTAAGCTGAAGTGGTCTGAGTGCCTATAGTGGTCCTTTAATCTGTAAGCAGCAAGTTTTGAAATTATTTTTTTTTAAATGTATTTATTTTTTATTGTAGGGACTATTTTGTCTTAAAAATTGTCAATCTTTTGCAATCGTTGGCAAAATGCAGAATTCCCGCCACCATTTCCATTTTGTATCTGATGTAACTTTTCACATGTATTGTGTAAAGTTTTAATTCCAGTATGAATAGCAATGCAAGGTTTGCAACCAGTAACTTCAGTAATTAAACAGATCAGATCATAATCTGTTTTATGGAAAGTTTTTATGTACATGTCAAAATATCCAGTCTTGTGACTTGCATAACTGCTTCTGGATCTTTACCTATGTCATACACACAAGATGCCTCAACTTTTATTTCTTGTCATATTTTTCTTTTGGTTCTTACCTGATGTCACAACATATGTCAAGGAGACAGACGTTTCCTCATTCATCTGTTCTGTTATATTGTCATCTACATCTGTAGAAGCTTCTAGAATCTCTCCAGGAATCATCTGTGTCATACTGAATGCATCTTCATCAGTGGCTAACTTTGCATCTATGTCCTTTCTGTTAGAGGGCAGTGTTAGAGAAGAGTACTCACTAGGCTTCACCTCAGGTTCCTGGGAAGCTGATCCCGGTGAAGGCCAGATAGATTTTAGTGACGGAGTAAAGGAAATAAAATCCATTAGTGAAAAACTCATAGTGGTAACACTGGGATCAGTAAGGTCATTGATCTTTAACAGCACCGAGTATGGTGAAGGTGTATCCCAGTTCAGTGTGGTCTCCTGGACAGAAGACAAAGTAATGTCTACAGCAGAAGAAAATAAAGTTGACAGCTGAGAAGGTTCTTCAGACCATTCAGATGGTGATGACTGAGAAATAGGCAAAGTTGAATGTTCATTTGTGGCCATTTCCATTAAATATTTGTTGGTTGCTTGATGGACGGGAGTAGATGACACATCAGAAACATCTTCTGCTTTAGTGTTGGCTTGTAAGAACATTTCAGTTTGTGGGTGTTCTGAAACTAACATTGGTGAATGATGAGTTGGGCCAAATGGTTCCTGCTCATCATCTTTTTGGCTTGGAATAAAAGAGGACTCATCATTATTTTGAAGCCACACAGATGCCAGTGTTGATGAATACTCAGTTATTGATTCAAATCTTCTTGAGGGAATAGCATGCTGTAAGTTTGGATCTTTGGTTGCTTTCCCATCCTGAGAGCTAAGGTGCACAGAGGCCAGCACGAGGATTTGAATACAAGTCCAATGTGATGAAGCCATAATCATTTTCTTTAAATAACATTAAGTGGGAAAAGTAATATCATCGTATACTCAGTCTTCTCTGCCAGCAATAACTGGAACAAGAAAATACAATAAATATTACTTGTCATATTTAAATTGCAAAATATATATATAAGTAATGGTTAAGTGAACATACAGAAGAGATTGAGAATCTGCTTCAGGAATTAAAGACTAGGCAAGACAAAAACACATTTTAATCTGATTTCTTTTACTACAGCCAATATATGTTAAAACAAATCTTTACTTGGCATTAATGTTTGTATTCAATCCTAAATTTTTCAGGCAATTGCAAATTATCTCCCTTGAGACCGTGCCCCATAAAGTTCATAATAAAATATTTTGTACTGGAGCAATCAAGAAACAAAATGCGTTGACTTAATAATAAGGACACTATTGCCCATTTTGAAGTAAGATAAATACCATGCAGAAACAAAAGGCCCACTTTAACCACTTTAAGACATTTAAGTTCAATAGCCTTTTGAAAATGAAAACACATGTGATAGTGCATTCACATATCATTTATGAAAATGGTGAATAATAAAAAAACTAGCAAAATGTAAATAATTCATGCTTGCTCGGGCACAACAACAAAAAAGGCCTGGGAAAGGTAAAATACTTTTACAATGAAATATGACCTCATAAACAACAAATACAGTATTTGTGTGTGGAAAACAGTGGTATAAAATGACCTTGCAAACACCTTAAAAGGGATTTATCATATCCCATGAATTTTAATGCTATGCTTATTTCTTCCTATATGTTTTTTTTAGTTGTAAAAAGTTAAATTAAATGTAAAATCCACACTTCTTTAACCTGCAAATGGGAGCCTCCATTTTAGCCCTCTATCAGTCAATGTTTTAAGTTATGTCCTTTACATATGGCAGCTAGCACAGAGAAAGCATACAGGGTAGAAGAAGCCCGAGACAATGTTTTAATTTCTTCTCTTTGTGTACAATGCTTGGCCTGTCCTTTTCTAAACTGGATTATGATGTAAATCGTTAAATATTTAATATAACTTTAAAAGAAAAAGGAATACAAGTAATAGTTGATTTTTTTATAACATTAAAACGATATATAAGGTATGTAAGGTATGTCTGCTCAAGTGTGCTTCTTCATGCATCATTAGACATTTTGTGCTAATTACCCTCCAGCCAAGTCCCTTGCCAGTGCACTTTAAAGGAACTAGGCTAATTTGCATAAACAGCCTTTGGATATGTAATAACTTTCCCGAATTGGCATAATCCGTCTATTAGATGTGGAAACATTGTTTGTGTGAAATCAAAATCTGGCGATGAATGAATTTGAATGAAATGTAATGAGTTCAGTTAGCTTTTATGTAACAGCTTCATTAATTTTGAGACCTCACAAACATATGTTTGTTAAATATAGAGGAAAAGTATACATAAGAATAGAAATCCTAGGAAGTGTCAGTCCCTCTTTAACCCCTTCAGGACGGAGTCAATAGTACACGTTCTGATCAGAACAAAATGTAAACAAAAACTGGAATATGCGCTATATGTCTGTTCAACCATAACTCACCTCTTTCTTACTAAGTGCACCCACACTTATTATATATCATTTTGTTCAGGAGAAACATGGCTTTAATTTCACATGAACTATTCGTATATGAAACATAATTTATTATGAATAAAATAAAAAAACTGTGAGAAATTAAATATTTTTTTAAAAATTTGTAGTTCTGCCTCACATTTTAGCTGTAAATGTCATAATACTGTTAGCTTTTACTGCAAAAAGAGTACATATGTGGATTCAGCAAAGTCTCATGAGTACAACAGTAGCCCCCATTAACAGTTTTACGGTGTTTTAGAAAGTTAAAGGGTCAAATATAGCACATTCTATTTTTCAGGTTTTCCACATTGAAATTTGCTAGATTAGTAATGTTGCCTTTGGTATGGTAGCCCAGGAATGAGATTTACCCCCATGATGGCATACCATTGACTACCCAAGGTATTTGAAGTGGGGTATGTCCAGTCTTTTGTAGTAGTCACTTAGTCACAAACACTGGCCAAAGTTAGCATTCAAATTGTTTTTGTGTGAAAAAAGCAAAAAACTAATATTTGGCCAGTGTTTGTGACTAAGTGGCTACTAAAAATGATTGGACATACCCCATTTGCAATACCTTGGGTTGTCTACTTTTGCAAATAGTATGCCATCATGGGGGTAATTCTTATTCCTGGGCTACCATACAGTCTCAAAAGGCAACATAACCAAATTATGGCAAATTTCAATGTGAAAAAAAATGAAATGCAAGCGTTATATTTGACTCTCTAACTTTCCAAAACACCATAAAAACTGTACATGGGGGGTACTGTTTTACTCAGGAGATTTCACTGAACACAAAAATAAGTGTTTTAAAACAGTAAAACATATTACAACAATAATATCGTTAGTAAAAAATGCAAAAAAACTTCACTTTTACTAAAAATATCATTGTTGTAATTCAAGTTACCATTTTGAAACACTAATGTTTGTGTTCAGCTAAGTCTCCCGAGTAAAACAGTACCCCCCATGTACAGGTTTTATAGTGTCTTGGAAAGTTACAGGGTTAAATATAGTGCTTGCAATTCAAATTCTCTGCACTTTCTGCCTGGGTTGTCAGGCATGTCAAATTTTAATTAATTAAATCACATAATTATGTTAAAAGATTACTTAAATATACACGTAGAATTTTAATATATATATTTAAAGTCTACGTGTACACTTATGTAGTTATTTATGTAATTATATATATATATATATATATATATATATATTTGCGGTTATTTGTATTTTATATATAGATAGCTATATATAGAATGTCATTCTAAGTGTATTTTAATAATTAATAACAAAATACAGTTAGAATGAAATTACATATGTATATATAATGTTTTAATTTTTAAACATTTTTATTTATTTTCTATTGTAATAATACGTGTATATATAAAATATATATATAGATGTATTATATATATATATATATATATATATATATATATATGTAAGTAACGTCATTCCAAGTGTATTTTTTTAAAATATATTTTATTTAGTTTAGAATAGCATAATCAACTTTTCCAATATATCCAGTTAAGATGTGAGCATACTGACATCGTAATGGGTATGAAAACATTAACGGCTGTAACAGTAGGGATCAATAGCAAGATGTTGGGCAGTCTCTGTTGTCTTTATGTTGTTACTTTGTGGTTGTTTGAGGACCATAAGGAGCTGTGTCCAGTGGCAGAGTTCTGTGGACCATTGTGTCATGGTGTGTCACAAAGGGGTTTTTGTAACTCCTTCTGTCTCTGTGTGGTCCGCGTTACTTGTCGGATCTGAGTCTTGCAGCCTTTGGCAGTGGAGTCAGCCTCTTAATTGTGTTGTTGGATAGCACACTGTTCCGGCGTTTGTTAATGCTCTCTGAGTCCCCTGGATTCTTGGTTGGAGGTGAGGTCCCTTGCTGTGGCATGTTTGTCAGGCCGGCCCTTTGTAGGAAGAGCTCCAGGTCATCCCCCGAAGTAAGTGTGCGGCTCTCTCCCTCAATTTCTGTGAGGAGGGACCCGTAAATGCCCCAGCGATACCTCATATTGGCGTCTCTTAGTTTCCTCACTATAGGTGACAGTTGTCTCTTCTCCGTGAGGATGGAGAATGGTGTATCTGGGTAGACAGCTATCCTGTGGCCCTCAATTGATACCGTCCCTATTTCTCTGGATTTTGTCAGTATGGCAGATCTCGCGGAGATGTCCCGGGTCAGCACAATGACGTCTCTAGGTGCTGCGTCGGGTGCTGCCGCAGACTTCCGTACTCTGAATGCCGAAGTGATCTGTGGTAAGTCGAGGTTGTCGGTAATGCCCATGGCTGTCAGGAGGCTGTGAGCGTAAGTCAGGAGCTGTGTGTTGTCAACCTTTTTGGGGATGCCTCTGAGGCGTAAGTTTTTCCGCCTGTGTCTGACCTCCATTGTGGTGATTGTGCGTCTCATTTGCTTTACCTGTGAGGTAAGCTCTTGTATGTCTCGGCCTGTGGTCTGTATTTTTTTGTCCCTGGAGGTTTCTCTTGTTTCTAGGCTTTTGACTTTTTGTCGTACCTCCTCCACCTCTGTCTGCACTTTCTGGAGGTCATCCCTCCAGATCTGCCTCATCTCTACCAGAAGCCTTTCGTGGCAGGTGCCTCATCTTCATCAGACTCCATGATGTAGGATCGAGGAGAGGGTAATGAGTCTTCCTCTTCCAGGGAGGCTTCAGATGCCTCGGGTATGCAGTAGGCCTCAGGCGCCATCTTAGGTCTCTGTGAGTTCACAGGCCTCTCGAAAGCTAGTCTGAAGTCAGGCTGTTGGAGCTTGGCTGGACCTTGGTGACTCTTATTTTTCTTTCCCATTCTCTCTGCTTTGGGGGTGTCTGTCTCCCGGGTAGAGTTTCCACGATATTGTGGCTTTTTCCCCGTGTTTTGCTCTGGGTCTGAGCGGAGCTCCGTGAGAAGACGTCCGCTCAGTTTCGCTGTCGGCCACGCCCCCTATTCTAAGTGTATTTTAATACTAATATATATATATATATATACATATATATATATAATTATATTAACATTAAAATACACTACGTATGACGTTACATATATATAACATACATTTATTTTATTTTAAAACATGTTTAATCATTTTTTTTACACTACCCACCAGCAGGGGGATTGTCTGACATTTTAGACAGTCCCCCCTGCTGGCAGATCCACAGCCAGCTATAGGGGGCCATGTGATCACTCTTTGGCCTGATTTGCCTTGGGAGGGCTGCCTGGGCTGTTAGGCAGTCCTCCCGAAGAGGATCGCGGTGGAGGCAAGTAAATCTTACCTCCTCGGGGGCTTAAGCCGTTACGGCTTTAAAGCCCATTTAAATGGGGACAGCATAGAATGCCGTAACGGCGTTAAGAGGTTAAAGGAATACTATAGGGTCAGGAACACAAACACCATTTAGGTGGCTTGCCCTCCCTTAGCCCCCATATAAAAGATTAAAACCTTATTTCCAGCGCCGCACGGGTCAGGCTGTACTGGCTCCGCCCCTTTCTCAAAGGGAAAGTATTGGATTGGCTAAAATAGGCACAGGGCGGGGCCAAATCCCGTTTTGAATCAATGCATCTCTATGAGGAAAATTCCATGCAGAGCGTGGGGACGCTGAACGTCAGTGCTGCTTTTTCGGCAGCAATGACCCAGGAAGCACCTCCAGTGGCCATCTAAGAAGTGGCCACTTGGAGGTGTCCCTAGGGGCAACGTAAACACTGCCTTTTCTCTTTTTTACTATTTACATGAAAAAAGCCTGCAGTTGTTCTGGTGACTATAGTGTCCCTTTAAGTGTAAGTTTTTTTGGGGGTATGGACTAAAAAATGTATAATGAAAGGTTTGGATAGATATATTTATGCTATTAAATGAGACATGGTTATAGCCTTATGACTGCTATTTCACAAGACACCATTACACAAACTGAAATCACAAGGCACATATGATCTGGATCTTAAAAATCATGACTCCATGATTCTTTTGAACTACCAATGTTGTTGCCCTTTGGGTATCTGAGCATAATGTTCTAGTGAAACAGTTACACTGTTCTGCCATAAATAGTAATCATCTGAGTGGTTTAAGGAAGTGTGTCCAAATTCACACAACATTGAAATTGAACTCAGAGTCTTGAGTTCTAAAAAACAAGATAAAGAGACTGGGTAGATCATAGGATGTGGAAGTTCTTATCAACCATCCACTTACATTCTTTGTGATTGAGAACCAATACAGGTGCCATTAGTCTGTCTCCCCCAGGGATTAGTGCAAAATTCCAACGTTATCTCATTCAAGTAATAACCTCTCTGACCAGGTTACAGGATTTAACATATGCAAAATCTGCATTCCTTCTGAGCAAACAGGAAAATTGTTTACATATCCACCCTTTTACTTTAATATGGAATGGAAACTTTACACCATTGATACAAGTCTGTATCTGGATATTGCAAATTTACAGTAATTTCCATTATTCTGCATAGCTAAAAGGAATATCGCAAAATTTGCATTTTCATAAGTACATATTTTATCGGGAAACTGGTGCAGACTCCATAGAAGGATTACTTCCAATTTTTGATAATAGGCATGTTATTGTATACAAAAGCTTTAAGTGGTTTTCTGTGTCCTATTCGAGCTTACGTATTCTGAAATCTCTATAAATTAGGCATGTTTTCTATATGTTTTAGCATCATCTCAGTCTATGTGCCATTCCGTTTCTATAAATCAGCAATCTTTGATCTCATTATAAGCTGCATTATTATTATTATTATTATTATTTTATTATTTATATAGCGCATTGTTTTCTTTCCCATTTTCATCAGTCTCTACTCTAATATGCCATGTAAATATTTTTGCCTTTTGTGCTTTATGTCCTTTTAACCCCCCTGCCCCTCCATTATTAGCTGTGTTTGAATCCATTTCCTTTTGAAGACAATTTGAGCTTATTTGACTTTTCTACATATGTCCAATAATGAATTTAAAATACCATGCATGATGTCAAATTGTGCTACAACAAAACTCTGGTGTTCTCACTGTTTTTTCATTATTGGTTTCATTTTATAAATAGCCACTCACCACTTGGTGTCCATTTTTCTCTCAAGACCAGATGCCATCTCATACTTGAGTTTTGGCACTTAATCTTATATATAATGTGTTTGACTATAAAATAAACAACTCTCAAAATGTAAATTAGTGATTCAAACTTGATGGCAATGGCTACTAGACTTGTGCACGGCAAAAAACAGTTTTCTTCTTCTGTGTCTATATTTTACATTTTCTTTCCTTTACATGACATTGTGACCTCATTTCAAATTTCTATGTACACTGTACAGTGTTCTACATGTGTCTGCCTTACATCATAGATTTGAGTATCGATATGAGAACTGGAGAAGTGTTTATGAACCAGGCAATGAAGATAAAGAGTATATACCAGGATTATTTTGAACATTAGCCAGTTAATTATGTAAAGGAGCACTATAGTGTCCATGTATTTCTGACACTATAGCTCTAATATTGCCATTTAGGTGTATGGTCCCTGCTCTTCCCGCAGTAAAAAGGTGTTAAACTTACTTTTTTTCCAGTGCCATGCAGGTTCGTCGTGGTTTGCTCCACCCCCCGCTCTGTCTCCTTGGCTGAGATCATCAAACCTGATGATCTCTGCCAATCCAATGCCTTCCCATGAGGCAATTGCGCATGCGCCACAAAACGCCCTGCTGTGCCAATCAGCATCTCTCCTTATAGAGATTAATTGAAACAATGCATCTCAATGAGGAGAGTTCAGTGCCTCATTGCAGAGCGTGGAGACACTGACCGTCAGTGCTGCATGTTGTGCAGCATCTCCAGTGGCCGTCTGAGTGACTGCCACTAGAAGTGTTACTAGGACAGGGGTAGGCAACCTTCAGCACTCCAGATGTTTTGGACTACACCTCCCCTGATGCTCTGTCAGTATAATGGCTGTAAGAGCATTTTGGGAGATAGTCAGCACAACATCTGGAGTGCAAAGTACACACCAGAATAACTATATCACGCTGTAGTTGTTCTGGTGACTCTAGCACAATTACACAAACACATCACAATGATGGTTTAGTGTAATTGTGTGGCAGGAAAAAGTATCACTTTTATAATCAAGTCCAACCTGAAAGAATTTCAAAAATAATTTATAATTTTAGGACAAAGTAACCAAATTAGAAAAAAATTGGCAAGTTAGTTATATTTTGACAAAGAGAACGTTACCTGCGCTCTGGCCTAAATCCCTATGTACATTTAAACAAAATGGAGGCTCTTTAGTTTTATTCCAATGGCCATTTGAATATAAGCTCACCTGCCACGTCAAGGCAAGCCCCAAAAGGTGAGTCCTACTCTAGCCATTAGATTTGCTGATATCAGCCAAGAATCTCCAATGAGCCAGGAAGGGGTATTTTATAAACCCTTTCACATTTAACCCTTTATAGGGCTTCTACACATACAATACACTTTCCTAAATGTACATAGGGATTTAGGCCAGAGCGCAGGTAACGTTCTCTTTGTTTTTACTATGTATTTTGAGCTGTTGGATACTAAGCTTGTGCTGCTGTAAGCGCGTGCTTTATCTTTGTGTTAGTTATGTTTTGAGTTTGGTTATTTTGTCCTAAAAAGTCCTTGAAATTCGCATTGAATCCCTGACAATTCCTACTTTAATGAATAACGCAAATTGTGTTGATTTTACCAAGACAGATTTGTGGTCAAATTCATATATTAATTTGCCAACAGATGAATGCAAAATTATTTTAGTTTAATAATAGATCAGAATTTTTTTTACAATATTCATACAACAGATCCTATGTGCGTTATATCACAATAGAAATTAGCATTTGAAGTATGTTAAGCACTGTATAACACTGCACACTACAAACATCTTATACTAAACAGGGAGCTTAGGGGGGTCATTTGTGCATAGGGTTAACATTTATTATATTCATGAACTACATTGATAACATACAAACAAGAGTTTGCAAGAGAAAATGCATGTTACTGTAACAGGCACACATACTGGGGTTTGCATTACTGTTATGGAGTAGCTACGTATTTACAGAACACACAAAGTAGTGTATTGCTGCAACAAAAGGGGCTATATGGATCTTTTCCATATAAAGAGGTTAATTCTTCTCTTTCTTATCTATAGTGTGAAGTGACTTTGAATGATATTTGAGTCCAGTTTGCCTGGTTTGTGATTATGATAGGATTCTCTGAAAAAGTACTTAGATTATTCATGTTGCAATGGATGGAGGGATGGGTAGAGAAACTGAGACTGTGCTGCCAAAAAACATATGTAAAACTTATTTTCAACTGACGAAGATTTTCACTGTGTTCTGATGTAGTGGGTGGCTGCTGCAATTTCATAGTGAATAAATGATGTCATTATAAACAAGCCTTTGAAACACCAACACACATACATATGCATGGCATGAGTTTAAAGGGACTAATCATTAACTCTTTCACAACTCCAGCCACACCCGAAGCTGTGTATTCTGTGGGGTGGCTACGATTATCCAGGGAACACATTTATATACTCTGTCTTTAATTACAAACAATTTCCTCTGTTACTTCAATAAAAATTCTCAAAAGCCACACTGCTAAATGAACATGTCATTAGATTAGGGTATTTTAGGGAAGTTTCTGGAAAGGACAAGATACAAGCATATTATTGCTTTTAAAGAATTTATTTTGCGTGAAATGGAAAACTGTCACATTTAACTTTTTCATAAACAAAGAGTCATTATCAAAAACACATTTAGAATACACTGAAATTCCAATGAGCTCAGAAGAGATCATAAGACAAAATGAGAAAAAGTTTTAAGATTTTTGAAAAATGCTGTCCTTGCTGTGTGTGCACAGATTACATATGTTGTGCATGTGAAGAAGATTTTGTGTACTCACACACTGAGCATGTGCATGGCAAGAAGATATTATGGACGTAGTATTGACTTTCACATCAGTGAGAACATTACTCACTGCCGGACACACTAACAAGTGAGAAACAACACTCATATCAACAATATTCTACAAAGAAACCAAACAGAGAATGGAAGCCTTTAACATCATAATGATTTACTAATGTGCTAATAGTGCTGAATGAGGTCTATCAAACAGTAATGTAAGTGAATTGAATTTGCCCTCTTCATCTAGTTTACAGCCTTGAGGAGAGGTGTGTAATAGGGTTTGTGCATGCCTGAGGTGATATATTTTAGGAGTATTGAACTGGGTTCTGTAATTTATTGGGACAACTTAAAGGGACACTATAGTTACCAGAACAACTACAGCTTATTGCATGTGTTCGGGTGAGTAGAATCATTCACTTCAGGGTTTTTGCAGTAAACACTGTCTTTACAGAGAAAAGACAGTGTTTACATTACAATCTAGTGATAACACCGATGACCACTCCTCAGATGGGCGCTAGAGGTCCTTCCTTAAGCAGTCCTGCCTAGTATGCATCACAACATTCAGTGTCTCCACCCTCTGCATGCAGACACTGAACTTTCCTCATAGAGAGGTATTGATTCAGTCAATCTCTATGAGCAGTTGCTGAATGGACAGGGCTGTGTTTGGCTTGTGCTGGCTCTGCCCCTGATCTGCCTCCTTGACAGTCTAAGTCAATCCTATGGGGAAGCATTGTGATCGGCTCAGACCACCACTTCTGATGATCCTATAGAATGTAAGCTCGATTGAGCAGGGTCCTCTTCAACCTATTGTTCCTGTAAGTTTTTTGTAATTGGCCTATTTATAGTTAAATCCCCCTCTCATAATATTGTAAAGCGCTACGGAATCTGTTGGCGTTATATAAATGGCAATAATACAAACATGTATTGCTAGTGCTGTAGTGTTCTGCCAACTATTTAGATGTACACCTCCCTTCCTGCATTAAAAAATACAAATTTTCTTAACTTTTAGCTCTTGCTTTGCTGGTCTATATGCTTCTGCACTGCCGACTTGGCTGATATCATCGGTCTTTATTATCTCAGCCAATCCAATGCTTCCCCATAGGTAAGCATTGTGAGGCTAGTTTGTATACAAGGCAAACTGTCTCACTGTGCCAATAAGCATCTTCTCATATAAGTGCATTAAATCAGTGCATCTCTTTATGGAACATTCAGCATCTCAGTGTTGAGTGTGGAGACACTGAACACAGGTCCTGCAAAGATTGAGGGGAAGTCCCTCTAGTGGCTGACTGAGAGGTGGTCTAGAGGTGGACTTTTACTCTTATAAAAAACTGTTTCTCTTAAATATTTTAGGTCAAATTAAGCTGGAAACGTAGGTGAGCTTGAGAATCCTTTTCAATCCAACTATTTTGGCCTACAATTTGAAATCCTTGAATAAGTGAGAAACCATGTAAAATTCACTAAGCCAAACTCAGTGAAAATAAGCTCTATCACTGAGCACAAGTTCAAATGTAAAGGATGTTAGATATTCTTTATAATCCCTAAGATTGCCATAGAAACTAATGACAAACAGGGTTATTCACTAAAGTACGAATTCCAAGTGAATTTAAAATTTAAGGCCACAATAGCCGACCTAAAAGCATAGCTGAGTTAGAGAATTTTTAAAGGGACTCTCCAGTGTCAGGAAAACATATCCCCCACAGCCCTCATCCCATGTTGCTGAAGGGGTTAAAACTCCTTCAGTGACTTACCTGAATCCAGCGCCGATGTCCCTCGGTGCTGGGTTAGGCTCCGCCCACGCTCCTCCCCCGCCAGCCACGTGCATTAGACCTCCCCTCCTATGGGGATTCCAACGACGCTGGAGGTCCCCATGAATAGCGTGAGGACGTCAAGCGTCGTTTAACACATAAAACTTTTTGTATATTAAGAAACCGGAAGTCCCTCTAGTGGCTGTCTGACAGACAGCCACTAGAGGAGGACCTAACCCTGCAAAGTAATTATTGCAGTTTATAAAGAAAATGCAATAATTACACTTGCATGGTTAAGGGTGGTGGGAGTTGGCACCTAGACCACCTTGGCTACTTTGACCTTAAATTTGAAATTAACTTTGAATTTCACTTTAGTGAATATCCCTGAAAATCTGTTAGATAGGAAAATTTCCCATGCAGTAAAATCCAGTCCTTTCTTATACTGCAAATCACACGCAACAGAATAACTTAAAAATCCGAGTGAAACAGTACCCTTGTTGCATATATTGTATACAATTCTTAGAAAGGAGCCAAATTATTATGTATTATTATGTATATCAGCAACATAAAAATAAAACAAAAAATAGTGTGGCATGTACTGTCAAGTGATGTCCTTGTGTTTAAATTCGCTATTTGTGTATTTAACAGTGGTGTGTATGGATAAAACATTTATTATGTGTAAGACATAGTGACGCGTAATATATTGGACAGAGTATAATCTTCACACATTTAAGTAATGAGCATCCTTACATTACATTTGCTACTCTTACTAAATCATTATGGTAGGTCTGCTCATGATATCTTAAGGGAACATGCACATAAATGTGAATCTCCAGTGATAACATGCAATTATTTCTAGTTCAAGATACACCAACAGTCCAGGATTTAGGTATTTACCAATCATGTTCCAGTAGGCATTCTGACAAAACCAGAACCCTTGAGTTTTTCAACCATTGCTTACATACTGAAGAGAACGCTCTCCTAATTCTCATACTATTATCCTGCTTGGTTGTATAGGTGTATGTATGAACGCAAAAACAATTCTAGGGCAACGTGTTAAATCTAATCAACAGTCGGATTATTTCGCCATATGTAGCACTCTACTCCAGCATAGCACCTGTTATGAATTAATAAAAAAGGGTTTTGAGATCAGTGGCATAATTCCCTCTGCATGGTATAGTTATGCGTGTATTTGGATTCCCCTTATTTGCCTGCCTCTGTAACACTGAGCTACCTGTGTATCTGAAACATGCAAATATGTATGTATATAGATGCACATATGATTTATATGCAGATATAAATATGCAATAGGATGCACGTTTTTACAGAGAGCAACATGCAAAGAAAAACAAAAATCTCTGCAGCCTTTCTACGTTTGTGTGTCTCTCTGTAAGATGTCTGCTTTGGGTGCATCTGTAACATTGAACAAAATGTATGCGTATAGAATTACCGTGTACAATCTGTGTGTAATGTGGCATCGTGTGTATATTTTACACGCCGTAGAATGCTGAGTTGGAGATCTGTTTCCAAACTGAGTATGCCTTTTTTTTTACTCATCAAAATGTATGATGTACAACACACAAAACACCGGTTTACCTGCAGTATGCAGAGCAGACGATAACACAGTAAAAAAAAAAAAAAAAAAAAGTGTGTAATTACATGCTAAGACTCGGTTGCTTGAGACGACAACATGTGAATATATACAGTAAATAGTGCATGCAGAACTGCACAGAAATTGTAAGCATCACGTAGAGAACATGGAACCTGCTGCAGGATTCTCAACGTTCTATGCGTCAAATGAATGAAGATGGTGGCATCACTCACCCATCCAGATCCATGGTGCTGTAGCGTCCTGTGTGCACAACCCGCTCTATAGTGAATCTGGTTTCGGCTCCAGAGGACCGATCTCCACTACTAAACCAGACCCACCCTTTCCCATACCAAAATTCCTCCTCCTCCTCCTCCTCCTCTCCCCCACCTCCTATCCTGTCTGCCACTATCTGTGCCTTCCAGTCCCCTCCCTGTCACTGGCTAACTTGCAGTGTGGTGCATGTCGAGTGTTTATAATTTAGACTTGTCTCTGTGTTGCATTATTTTTGTGGTTTGTTGTATGTGAGTCGCCTTCACGTGCAGCTGGGATTTATATTTTTGTTTTTTAGTTGAACTGGATCCAGGAAGAATTCATTTAAATTGTAGTTTGTATATGCATTATTTAAATATTAATATGACAAAGGTTTTAGTCATACATTATATATAGGATTTATGCACTTATAAAAATAAGCTCAGCATGTAGTATAGGTCTATGGTGAATTAGGGTAGATAGCTTCAATTCCCCTGTTAACCTGTATTCATCTTTTATGCATGTAACTAAATTATCTTGCTATTGTGAGCCATGTAAAATTAATCTGGCATGCCAAAACTGTTGCTCATGATCTGTAGTTTAGACAGACAGGAATGCATAGACTCAGATTTGTTAAAGAATGGCAATTTGTATGTTATCCCTGTTAACGATCGTTATTTCCATAGCATTTTCGCTTGATGAAGCAAAATGAAAAGAGCACAATTTTAGGCACATAATAGAAAAGTGCAAGAAATATGTAAATAAAAATATTTATATCTGTCGCTTCACTCCATTTGTGTGGCAAAATGTTTTTAAAAAAAACTCTGTCACCCTATACGTACTTTGCTTCAATGTCTTCCACTTCTCTTCTTCACTACTAATCTATTCTTCTTTTTCTCCTAAATAAACAAAGCAAAATAGGGACGACTTAGTTTTCTTTCGCTTGACAAAACGTGACATAAGGCGGCGCTATCTTTATCAAGTTTTGTAAATCGCTGCTAGACAATTTCTATGGAGGCTCCCGCTTGCAAGTAAGTGCTCATTGTTTCTGGGGGGGTGATGTGAGGTCTTCACCCTCTCTACTATGCATGTTGCCCACAGCTTCTTTATTCTACAATAAATTACTAAAGGTATTTCTACTTTACTTCAGTTTTTTTAGGTGATGCCTTTTTCCTGGATGACCCCTCGTTAGATCCAATTACTTAGATGTGTGCATATGTACTCTTTTACTGTATTAGGCTCTTTTTCACCTCTCTAGAGACATATATGTTAAAAAACCACTAAAGGCTATTGTGCATGCACTGCAAAACGCCCCACTGCGCCAACCAGTATCTCCTCATAGATATGCATGTAATCAATTAAGCTCCATGGGGAGTGTTCAGCATCTCCATGGAGAGCGTGAAGACACTGAACATAGGTGCTGCACACTGTGCAGCACTGGGCTAGGAAGCACCTCTAGAGGCCATCTGAGAGACTACGACTAGAATTGTTTATAGGCAGCTATCTAAACACTGCCTCTTCTCTGAAAAAGCAGCATTTACATTGCTCAGCCAGCAGGGACATGCTATAGACACCAGGGCCACAACATTAAGCTGCAGTGGTTCTGGTGACTATAGTGTCACTTTAAATAGAATGGTGTGGAGAGATAAGTACCAGGAGCCGTGAACAGTGTTCTCTGTAGTCCAGTCAGTTTAAGTAAGACCTGCAGGAAAGGTTTTAGAGGGTATATAATTCAGTTTTGTCCTTGCTACTATGGTGTCTGAGTGAGGCTGGACAGAAAGTAGAAGGGATCATTTCCTACCTGCCCACTAACAGCCTCTCACACAGGAAATACATTGCAGGAGGAACAGGTGAATCTCTTAGTGATACACAATGTATCACCACTCCTGCGGCTTTAATATCATCAATCATAGGAGTATGACTGGTATACAGAAAACATAGGAGGGTGAGTACTTTTTAAATAACCCTTCAAACTTCAGCACTCAAACCAGAAAATAAACCCTTTATGTTATGTCTAACTCTTCTTAAAGGGACACTATAGTCAACAGAACAACTACAGCTTAATGTAGTTGTTCTGGTGAGTATAATAGCTCCCTTCAGGCATTTTCAGTTTACATTGCCCCTAGGGACACCTCCAAGGGTCCACTCCTTAGATGGCCACTGGAGGGGCTTCCTGGCTCGGGGTTGCACAGTAGGCAGCCCTACCATTCAGCGTCCCCATGTTCTGCATGGAGACGCTGAATTTTCCTCACAGAGATGTATTGATTCAATGCATCTCTATGAGGAAGTGCTGATTGCCCCAAACTGTGTTTGGTCCCGCCCCCTTGCCGATTTTAGCCAATCCAATGCCAATCCAATGCTAAATTAGCCAATTGGATTGGCAAAAAATCGGCCATTTTGATGATGTCACAAAGGCAGAGGAGCCAGTGCCGGGAGACCCGTGCGGCACTGGGAATAAGGTGAGTTTTAAACTTTTAAGGGGGGAGGGGCAAGCCACCTAAATGTTGGGTTTAGAACTATAGGGTCAGGAATGCATGTTTGCGTTCCTGACCCTATAGTGATCCTTTAAAAACTAAACACTTCATACCCCCTAATGCTAAATTAAACCCGACTCTATCCCTAAACTCAATAATCCTAAAAGGTCTTTATACCACAACTTTAACCCCTCACATGCTTTAATCTTTTAAACACTAAACAAGGTATGTAATCTAACTTTGACATTAACCCCTCTCCAACCTTAAAGAAACATAGTATCAGGAATACAAACATGTAATCCTGACACTATAGTGTTAGAAACATGTTAGGTGGCTGACTCCCTGTTAAATAGGGTTAGCACTGCAAAACGCTGCACTGGCTAATCAGCATCTCCTCATAGAAATGCATTGAATCAATGCACATCTATGGGAAAGTTCAGTACCTCGATGAAGAGCATGGAGGCACAATGTAAGTGCTGCTCAACCCAGGAAACATCTCTTATGGCTGTCTGAGTGACTGTCACTGACGATGTCACTAGGCAGCAATGTAAACACTGCCTTTTCTGATGAAAAGGCAGTGTTTACATGAAAATGCCTGCAGAGACATACTATACACACCAGAACAACTACATTAAGCTGTAGTTCTGGTAACTATAGTGTCCCTTTAAACCTAAACCCCTCTTAATCCTAACCACGTCCATCACTATCTTTAGCCCTGCATGCATTTACACAGATGCATATACTCACAGATTCAAGCACAATACATTACAAGCAGGGTAGGAATATGCACATACATACATTTATACATATTGTTTATAGATGTCAAATGTAAATTATTTTTTAAGATGTTTTACGCCTTATACTTTATCTGCCTTACTTTTGGGTTTGGGAAACTCTTTACTGCACCTCTTTACCAGGAAGGCATGCCTTTCTAGCTTGTTCACAGGTTGAGGGCTGTGGGGGGTTAACCTGTTTGGCCCAAGGCCCAGAAAACTGAGACAAAGGTGTTATCTGCAAATGGTTCCTGGTGGTGCCCAGGTTCCTTCTCACTAGACCATGCCGCTGGTTGACAATGCTATAATCCAGGATCAGTGCTTAAACGAGTAAGACGTAAATCAAAGCATTCCCTTTACTAGATCCTTGACCAGAATTGTGCACATATCTTATCAAATGCCCTAAGACTGTCTTTAAGAGTTCCCCAACAGAACCAATAAAAAAAAAGCAGTTGCCTTGATTTAATCTAGATAATAAATAAATAAAATAATGCTTTTTTACTGCCTTGACACAGTGCAGGGACTGAGGGTGAAGACCATATTTTTAACCCTCTCCTACTGCTATTGGAAAAGGAGCACTATTGACTCTGGGCTGTCTACCCTTGGGATTATTTACCCCTCACCCACATCATATTGAGTGACATGTATAGGAGGGAGCCTAAAATTTGAATACCTGAATTTGAAGAACAAGACATTGCATGGATACGTTATATTCACCATGGGCAAATAGTAATATTCACAATTTGAGCAAATGGCCCAAAATGTGGACACATTTGCATTTGTCCATAACCAAATACCCCCTCATAATAGTATGTCCTCCTTTCCCCCAGCTAATAGATGACCTTTTCATGCTCTGCTGTTGATCTGCAGCAACTGGAAACTAACAATGTGTGTGTTCCTGGGGGGGAGCTCACTGCAGGAAGCAGTTCACTGCTAATAGTCAAATTCACTAGTAATCATTTGAAAGCCTTCATACCCCCAGACACAGGTTTTATTTTTTTGCATGGATCACTGCGTTTTGTTTTATTACATAATGTGCAATTTGCACAAAGCTAGTTATAAGTAAAAAGCTGAATGTAACCCAAAATTATGTTTATGTAATCTGTATTGCATTATTCTAAATGTAATACAAAGTGACAGAATAAAAATATGTTGAAATAGGACTGGTAGGCTGAACTGAAGGTTTATTTTCTTTATGGAGAGAAAATGTGCAAGTTAAGAAGTTGTATATTTTCTGTATATTAGTTTTCATTACTTGCCCACGTATTATTATTGTCAGCCTTAGCCGCTTGTGCCCCACTTGCAATGTACCCTAACTTGGCAACCTGTTGAAATATGGAGGGTGTCAGTACCTGGATAAACTGGTTACCAAATGTCAATATTGCAATTTTGATTATTGCTCTAATGAGCCAAATGAAATATGCACATTTGGAGATAACAGCTAAACTGCTTGATATGGGATTTTGCACCTAAAGCTTCCACTTTGTAGTGGCAGACACACCTTGATGTCTCTTTGAATACTGTGGTCACATCATCACATCACAGAAGAGGAAATAACTTCTCCACGACACAGGTTCTCTGTGAGGATATTAGGAGCTTTATCTCTCAGTGGATTACCCTCATGTGCTCTGGATCTATAGGGCCATTTAACTGGTTTTCACTATTTGCTTTTCTACACAGTTTCTTAAAGATTAAAGGAAGACTACTGAGAACATTATATTGATATGTATTTTATTAGTTTGTTGTATAATTATTGTTTGGAAGAATGTAGTCATTTCTCTGCTTGATAAGTGAAGGCAGCAAACAAACTTTGTAATCTTTGATTCTTCTGTTGTCTTGAATAGAGATGTATAATTAAACTAATTGTCCTGTTTCCCCACTATAATTTGCTGATACACCTTTCCTGTGATATATGCAGCCTTTTACATAGGTAGATTAATGTATGCCTGGAGGTCTCCCATTTGATTTTATCAATAGGCTATACAATTACTTAATGGCCCCAAAGTGGGTCGTACCATGGTTTAAGATCCCCAAGCAAAGTAAACTCTTCAGTCTGAGGAATGCCATTAGGAAACCGGCTGTTGTCATATGAATGTTTTAAAATCTTTTAATGTAAAAACTACTAGAAGTGGTTAATTATGAAGCCCATGAATCATTGCAAAATGGTTTGCCTAATTACTGGTAAATAGGGTCAGGGTACTCTTGGCACAATAAGCACTACAGCTGGCAGTAGAGGTTATCATACTCCGAGTAACCCTTTAGCCCTGCAAGCATTTACACAGCTGCATACACTCAGATTCAAACACAGTACGTTAAAAGCATACATATGCACATACATTTGAAGTTTTAAAATATTATTATGTTTTTAGATGTTTTTATACCTGAATGTCCAGTTGATAAAAAAATTTTTTATTGAGTGGGGAGGGTTAAAATCACAATCCAGTTATGACACTATGGTACAATACTAGAAATAAGTTCAGTTTAGAGGCCCGTGAGAAATGCCAAATATCACAGTACTTAAGCACATTTGTATGTAGGGAGTTTGTATTTCTATTTCTTTCACCGTCTATTAGGCTGTCTCTTTTTCATAATTTTACCTTATTATTTTTATATGGGTTTTTAATTCTATTTTAGTTTGCAACCTTTTTACATTTTTTTATTGCTGGCTTAATTTTCAACTGCTTAGTCACTGTTCCCCTGGTTTCACTAAGGCAAACTGCAATCAATCCATTCACGTTTAATGTATCAATGCAGTCCGTATTTTTTGTTTTGGGATGTGTTTTTGTAATGATTGTACTATTATTACTTGTGGTGAAAACAGGATACATGTCTGTGGGGAAGTGTCTTTGAGGCATGAACCATGTAAATGTTTCTCTCTTTTTGTGTCCATTGGATGAAATCATTTGCAGATGGTCCACGCACTCAAGGTAAATGCATTGAGTAGGTTTATTGGAGCAGATGAAAAGCAACGTTTTGGCCCACAACAGGGCCTTTGACAATTGAGTCTGTATGCTTGTCCTTCAATTTAGCGTTGCTGTTGTTCCCTAAATTACAGGACTCTGTCCTCTCATGATGTTCCATATGAATATTCCAGTGAGAAATATTCACAAAATATATTCAAATGCTGATTCAGAAGCACATGGACAAATGAAACAGCTAATGGGCTGATAAGGGAACATAATTTGAAAGAAGAAGCTGAAAAATTACAGAGCAGATTATCAGTTAAAAAATGTTTAATTTAATCATTCATTATGGAGAAAAGAATGTAAATATGGTAGGCGGAGAAAATGAATTCCCTAATGAGTAAAAACATTATTTGCGCTAATGCATATATATTTATATAGTTTTCCCAAACTTTTCCTTAGCCTTTAGTTTTTCACAGTAACTGAGATGTTTTGTTGTTTTACCCCATTGCCTTTTTATTGTAACTGACAGATGGTAAGGATTCAGTTTAAGTAAAAGAGCTAGCTTATTGACCTAAAGTACAACATCTGATGAGCAGGTGATGGATAATATCCGAGTTTTATAACACAGGATAAAGATCCAAGGATTCACAGAAAATAGCTTCCAGGGTAGCTCAGGCATATTTTTAACATTTTTATGTAAAAGACAGCAGAGCATCTGAAATTGTTTATTTTTAAAAGGCTTCTATTTTTCAGTCATCACAGGGACTTTTGTGTTTACCTGTAAACTGGGAGGTTTACACAAGAAAACATGACTTTTTTCCCCTAAATGCAGCTGGTAAAGAAGTATTAGTTCAAGCTTGTAACCCTCTCCTGCTTGATCTTCCCAAAAGCCGTACTGCACCCCTACAGTCTGTAATGAATGATGCTGCTAGACTGATTTTCCTCTCTAGTCGGTTCTCTCACACCTCACCCCTCTGCCAGTCCTTACATTGGCTTCCTGTGTGCTATAGGAGTCCATTCAAGGCACTAACTCACACCTACAAAGCACTGAACAACTCTAGCCCCTCTTATATCTCCTCACAGATCCACAGGTATGTCCCTTCTCGGTCTCTCCGCTCTGCCCGTGACCACCTCCTGTCCGTTGTCCGCACCCGTACGGCCAACTCGCGCTTGCAGGACTTCTCGCGGGCGGCTCCCTTCCTATGGAATAGCCTGCCTACCGCCATCCGACTCTCCCCTAGTCTTGCATCTTTTAAGAAGTGCCTTAAAACCCATCTCTTTAGGAAAGCTTATGGCCTCCAAGACTAACCCCTACCTCACATACCCGTCTCTTGCCCTCTCCTAAAGGGCAGCCCACCTTATTTGATTGCAAATTCCTGTCCTAATGTGTTTTTCACCCCACCTCCTATAGAATGTAAGCTCGATTGAGCAGGGTCCTCTTCAACCTATTGTTCCTGTAAGTTTATTTGTAATTGTCCTATTTATAGTTAAATCCCCTCTCATAATATTGTAAAGCGCTACGGAATCTGTTGGCGCTATATAAATGGCAATAATAATAATAATAATAAGCAAAAATTGATCCAGCATTCTTCCATAGTGTAAGCGTTAATAGTGCATAGTGAAGAGCACCTTATTTTAGTAAGTGCTCATCCACTTATTTTTTTATAAAATAAATGAGAAATGGCATTGGCAGTTTTATGAGCATCTATGCTTCCGAATTTAGCATGTTTACACCGGCTAGGTAATAGCAAAATGTAATTTTTCATTACCGTCAGATTTTGACATTGACTAGTAGGGCTGTGAGGAATAGTCTCTCAAACATTCCGATGAAACATGCTGGATTCTGTGCTTTGGTTTCCAGTAAAGGCTACTTAGTTTATTTATACACAAAATGAACAATGATCTGGCATTATTTAGCTGTGGACAGACGCAAATATATAGTGTATGATGCAGTAATTTTCCATATGAGGTATAGAGAGCACATTTGGAACATAGATGGCACAAAGGCCATGCTCTGACTTTTCTAATGCCGTAACAATGTGTTCCTTTTTTTTTTTACCACTGATTGAATACTTACAAGCTTAGTTTACCCAGCTGTACCTTTAAACACATTGGCTGTATTTCTTTAAATAATTAAAACCAGAACCTCACTCGACGACTATGTCAGTTACTTTGAGCAGGGGTCTAGTTTAAGTCTATCTACGCAATAAAATGTATACATTTATACATGTATCTATACTTTAAAACATTTGTTATCTCTCTATTGGTGTATCTTAATATAAACACGTTTAATATACATTTTTGTAATCAACAAAAAAATAAAATTTTAATGCAGTCCTGGAATATGTGCAGCTTTATGTGTATCATTTGGAATTACTGCACAGACATTAAATGTTTCAGCATTGAGCGCACTGGTGTGTATATATATATATATATATATACATACATACATACATACACTGTTTGTTTCCCTGGTGGACTAGTTACTTCTGCTCTCATGAAACCTGAGGCATGCTGCAATGATACCAGATGGAGCATGTGTTTTACTTTTTTTATATTTTATAAGATTCAGCTGTGACACTTTGCTTATCGTGACCAGTAGCCCCACTTTTACCCATTACCGCCACAAATTGAATATCCAAATGTGGAAGTTTGTATGCAGTCCTGGAGTATGTGCTTGCTGTAGTCGTTATGGTCACTTACCCAGAGTAATCTGTCAAACCATACCATGGGAAATGCATGTTCTGGTTGTGCCACCAATTACCTTTTTCTTTTTTTTTCTATGTATGTTAGGAGTCCAGACCAAATTTATTTTTGGGTTCAGCACTCTGTCCAGTTCCCCAGCTTCAGATGCCTCTTTGGAGGTGACCATAGGAAAGTATAA